TCTTCAGTATTGAACACCTTTGCTAGCAAGTTAGCAAGCTGTGGCCATCAGTGCGCGAAGGCACCGTGCTTCAACGAGGGAGCCGATTTGTCTTCAGCTTTTCATCTGACGCATTCTGAAACCGGCTTGGACTTCCGTCAATGAGAGGGCTCACTCAAGGAAACATCGGTGCGCGATGCCGCGCGGGCCGCTTAAACGAGCGGTCGCGCGAGTGTGCCGCGCAAGCAGGGCTCGCATCGCACGGAATATGGTTTCGCGGAGACTCGATGGGATGGTCCCAGCGTCCGTCCGCGAGAACCATATGCAGCTCAGGCTCGTCTGTCGTGGCCATTGAGCTTGCCCGCAGGCTCGACAACAGCGGGGGGTGGGGTGGGGTGCCCCGAACGCGTCAGCTCCGAAACAAGGATGGACCCGAGGGTGAACTGCACACCGTGCCTTTGAAAAAAACTGTCGGCGAGAACCCTCAGTGCGCAACACAACAAGCTGATGGGCTGATAATTGTTAGAATCTTCGGTGCAACTGCCGAATTACATGCGAGTTCACAAAGCCGATGCAGGAACGTCTCTGAAATGGCACCGCCAAGCTGTAACACACGCAATTTGTGGCAGCAGCTTGCCAAGCCGCAGAGGCGTGTGAGATATGACGCGATGTGATTCAAATTCAAATTGTTACATAGTTGCATGTTGTGTGATGCAGACACTTGCATATGACATGTGTTGTTTCACTGTTCTGACCGTGACCCACGGTCGTTTCTGGGCATTCCTCTCTACAAGCATTCTACAGTGACCCATCCCCTAGTTAAAATTATAGAATGGGGAGGGGCATGCGGAGTCCAAACGTCGGTCCGTGAAGAAAAACGATGCTTCTGTAGCGCCAACAAAAAGTAGGCACGTGGCCTCTGTGCCAGGTGCAAGTTCCGCTGCAGTCTTGCCTTGCCGCCTGACGAGGTTCGAGCGTAAGCGACACCAGGCATGCGCAAAAGTCCGCCAGGGCAAGCTGTCCTAGGCTCGCCGAGCGCTGCTCGCGCCTGGCACGGAGGCCACGTGGCGCGCCCTGACCGGAACGCCCGGTCCAGCTCGCAACTGGATCAGTGGCCGCGGTGCTGCGCGAGGCCAAGCGGCGTTCGGCCACCCGGAGCACGGCCCCGCCGTCCGTATCAGCTGCGCCCGGCTGTGAATGCCCTGTCCGCGAGAATGGGGAGACGAGAGTGGCATCGCAGCACCATGCGCCCCCCCGCGGCGTGGTGCCGTAGACGACTTGGTCGAGCCGTCCTCGGTCATCGGCACTCCCGGTGCAGTAGTGTGCACCAGCCGCTGTTGGGTCTGACGTGCCCGTCGGATGCAACCGATTCGCGGGCTACGCGTACCCAGGCTCGGTCGACGGTCTTCGCGCGTCATGCCAACAACCCCGTGTGGGAGCAGGCCAGGGCGTAGTCCCCATACTGGTCGACCTGTTGGCCGCAACCAGTGCGTGGGCCGCAGCGGTTGGGGCTAAGCGGCAGGGGCAAACGCAAGCGACGCCGCAACGCGAGCTGCATGGCCTGAGGGCGAGAGAAACTGCAGCTTCGCCTGGCACCGCCGAGAGCCCGGCATCCGCGTGCGGCCCGCCTTGCGAGCGTAGCAGGGCTTGGGATGCAGGCCGGCAGCAGCACGCGATCGCGATAGTACAGGTTTCGTGAGATGTGAGTGCACTTCCTGAGTGGCGCTTTCACACAGTATATATGCGTCTGAATGTTAGTAGTGTCTTGACATTGTCATGTTTGCTTAACTCATGTCGGAATTGTTGGTTTGGTATGGTATGGTATGGTTGAGGCTTGTGTTTGATCATGTACATATTGTCTCACTTTCAGTTCTGATCGTGACACACGATCGTTCAAGGACATGTCTCTCTCTCCCTCTCTCGTGTCCACGTCGCGTGGAACTGCAAAAATTGCCAGCCATGCATCACGGGGCTGTTGCAGCCGGGCGCCGTTGTAGGCTGCTTGCCAGCTGGGGCGTGCGCTTCCCAGCCTTCCGCTTGCAACAGGTCTCGCATTGCCGCTGGCAGCGGGTTGTGCCCTCCACGCCCTGCTCCAGAGCCGCAAGCAGCGTACCGCGGCATGGCCCGTGTGTTGCCAACTTGGACCCGATGCCGCATGCTCAGCGACGGAGTGGGTGGCAGTGTCCAGGGCCGTGCGCGCGCGACCCCGGCAAGTGACGACGTGCAGATCATCCAGGAAAGCGATCAAGGTAGCATTGGACAAGAAAGCTGCCCGCAACATGGAGTCGTAGGCGCTGCGGCCCCGGCGAGACCACGACTGCATCATACTGCATCACAGCGTTGGGCGAGTGCGACCCGCACGTGAGCTGCGAATGCATCCGTGCCCGCCCGCGCTTGCAGCGCAAGCTGGTATGAGCGCGTGGCTTCGTCAAACACGGTCGCCCATTGCTTGGCGAGCGTGCAAGCGGCGAAAGGCGTCGCCCGTCGCAATGCCCCCGCACACCGCCATCGGGTCTGCGCAAAGCCGTCAGGCGGGCCATGGTTACTGCAGTCCGGATCTTTCTGCCGGGACATGGGCTCGCGCCAGCAGGGTGGCGGCATCTGCCAGCCATACCATTGCTTTGGCATCCTGGGATGACGTGCAGGCGACGTGCTGGCACGTCGATGCAGGTAGTAAGCCTGCCCCAGGTGGCGCAGTCTAGCGCAGCGGGGCAGCTGCCTTGCTTCCCTGCAAAGTCAAGGTTGTGCCGTGCCACAGTGGGATGCGCTCCCTTCGTAGAGACGAAGCTGGTGACCATCGCGAGGCTGGCAGCGCGGGCGCGCGTTCCAGACGCGTTTTGCTGACTTTCACCTGCGTCCCAAGCTCTGCTGCTGTCGCAGGCAGGCCTACATCCCAGCCGCTGCATGTGTGTCCTGCCGACACTTGCGGAAGTCACAATTTCCAGCGACCTCTTCCGAGTGCTCTTGCGCCGCATTCTCGCTTCCCGCAGTTGCAGCTGCCGCGGGCGCCTCGATGCCCTGGGACACCACCGTGCTGCTTGCGCTACATCTGGGGCCCTGGCTGCACTCGCCATCCCTCGTGAGCGCACTCTTGGGAGAGTTTGCCGCGAAACTGGAGCGCGGGTTGCCTTCAATGTGCTTCCCACCGACAGAGTCAGAGTCAGAGTCAGAGCCAGACCCAGAGTCAGAGTCCGAGTCAGAGTCAGAGTCAGAGACAGAGTCAGAGTCAGAGTCAGAGTCAGAGTCAGAGTCAGAGTCAGAGTCAGAGTCAGAGTCAGGCCTTGATGTTCCTGTGCACGACGCACGCCGCATCGAAGTTGTCTGTAATGGGGTGCCGCTCTGGCATGGACAGCAGCTCGCGGTTGATGCCACGCTTGTCAGCCCAGTCGGGCGTGACGGGGAGCATGCCCGCGCTGGTGTGGCGCGTGCGAGGGCCGCCAGGCGCAAACGCTGACAAACCTACCCGGAGCTCAGCACGGCACTCAGGCCTCGCCTGTAACCTCCCTGACGGGGCTCGCCCGCACCGCCTGCTCCGCGTAGCACTGGACGTCGCTGTCATCAACACTGTTGGGGCCAACCATGCGCAGCGGACTATTACAGCTCCCGGGCAAGCCGCGGTCGAATATAGCGACCGCAAGAGACGTCTCCAGGATACGGCACAGAAGTGTCGGGACGCCGGGCTAGATTTTGTGCCTATTGTCTTCGAGCACCAGGGCGGCACCACCAAGGAAGCCATAGGGGTGTTGCACTCCATCGCGGCTGCAGTGGCGAATCTGGAGGCGCGGGAGACTGCTGAAGTTCGGGAGGAGATGTTTGGCAGAATCGCGGTTGTGCTGGCGCGCGCGGGTGCAGCGGCTGTCGCCCGACGTCGCCGGCGCATCAGCGCCTGCAGCCCGATAGGGGCGTGTTTGGTTGAAGCGGCGCTTGACTTGCCGCATGAGCCAGGGCAGCGCTAGATCGTCACACAATGGTGAGGAGGCCTTTTTGAACGTCTGCACCGAGTGAGCTCCCATGGTGTTGCTTTGTGTTCGCGCCACCCTCAGAAGGAGGGTAGGCATTTTCTCGAAGAGTTGCGCAGGGGCCACGCAGCGCTGGCTGGTGTCGAGGGGTGCCTATGAGCATGTCTGCTTGTGTTGCGTGTTGCACTCCCCTGGTGCCGCTTTGTCCTCGTGCCACCCTCAGAAGTATGGAAGGGCTTGCCCTGTCGTCGCGCCGCCCTCAGAAGTAGGGAAGGCTTGCAGGGCGTATGGAATCTTGGAAGTCAAGGAGCAACAGCTTCCTCTGGTAGTTTTTTGGCGTCGAAGTTGGAGGCCGCCGGGTTCCTGAGGCCGCCATCTTTTTGCGCTTGCTTGCGAGAGCGCGCGCTGCGAGGGCGCCTGCCATCCTTCGGCCCGCTGCCCAGCCGCTTGGGTCCTGCATTGGAGCGGCATCGTCGCGGCCCAGCGCGGGCCGCTTCTATGCTGCACCTCAGTGCACCTCCCTCTCACCAACGAGTGCATTGGGCGAGGTGCGGAGCCCGCTTTGCACGAGCTTTTGGCTCACATTGGCACGAAGCACCGGAGCGCAGTCGCATGGCCGTGCTGCGTAAACAGTCCGTAGGCCGTCATTGCGCGGGGGCCGCGCGTTTGGAGACGGTTGCAAAAAGGTGCGCGGCAAAAACAACTCGCACAGAATCATGCGAAGGTCACCTGAATCGAGTCCTCACGGCAGCCAAAACACGAGAAATCTGTCTGAAACGCTCTTTGTGTGAGATTTGTGAGTAGCCGTTATGAGATTGTTGGGTCATCTCCTCGGAGTGTCACAAGGCATTTCTGAATGTGGTTTTGGCATGTTTTGGCTCAGTAGTGTCGTTTCAATACGTTACCGACATGAGCACCGACACAGCTTTCAGGCTTTTGGCAGAAACTGCATGCTCAGCACTTTTGCGAGTCTCGTGCAATGTAGTGATGCATTAAGGAGAATCTAATCTCTTCAAGCGAGCAAGTGTGATTGTCATCCCAATCTTGCCAATTTTCTCGACCATGTCGGCGACAAATTCCAATTTGGTGAGCTTTTCCCTGGGGGCTGCTGCAGGGGTTGCTGCCTGTGGCACCTTGTACTGGGCACTGCAGAAGCAGACGTCCCCGAGAGCAGCACGGCCGAACAATGTCAACGGCATTTCGGAGACGGAGCCAAAGGAAGTGTCGAAGCACGTAGAAGCCGAGACACCTCCACCGGCTACACCTGCAGCTCCTGAAGACCGCCCGGCAGATGCACCAGAAAGTTGCCCTGGTGTCAGCAGTGAGCAGGCAGGTAAAAGTTCTTCGTGCGCCGGCTGCCCCAATCAAGCCTTGTGTGCATCTGGCGAAGCGAAGAAGAAGGACCCTGCCGTAGCCGACGTTCAAGAGCGTCTCAGTGCAGTGAAACGCAAGATTTTGGTGTTGTCCGGAAAAGGCGGCGTTGGAAAAAGCACAGTTTCTGCGCAGCTTTCATTCGGATTCTCTGGGCGCGGAATGGATGTTGGACTGCTAGATGTGGACATCTGTGGCCCATCAGTGCCGAGGATGCTTGGCCTCCTTGGCCAGGATGTCCACCAGAGCAGCGAAGGCTGGTCACCAGTCTACGTTGATGACCACCTGGCGGTGATGTCGATCGGCTTCATGCTGCCAAATCAGGATGATGCCATTATTTGGCGTGGGCCTCGTAAGAATGGTCTGATCAAGCAGTTCCTGACTGACGTAAACTGGGGTGACCTGGATGCCCTCATCATTGACACTCCTCCTGGCACGTCGGATGAACACCTTTCCATTGTGACCTACCTCCAAGATGCTAAAGTTGATGGGGCAGTCATTGTGACGACGCCGCAAGAGGTCAGCCTCATGGATGTGCGGAAAGAAATTAATTTCTGTCGCAAGGTGGGACTGCCGGTTCTTGGGGTGATAGAGAACATGAGTGGCTATGCCTGCCCGAAATGCGGGCATGAAGAGCGCATCTTCTCACCTTCGACCGGCGGTGCCTTGGCGATGTGTCAGCAGATGGAGGTGCCCTTCTTGGGGAGTGTGCCCTTGGATGGTCGTGTTGCTGCTGCTGGAGATCAAGGGATGCCCTTGTCGCAGTTGCAGCCCGACGGGCCAGTTGCCAAATGCATCGACAAAGTGATCAACGCCATCTTGAAAGAGACGGACAAGAAGTGATGCAAAACATGCGAAGCAGCGCCACCTTGCACTGTGATCACATGTGCAGCAATTCGCCAAATTTTGACCACAGGTACCATACAGGTACAAACACAAAAGACACAGCAAGCTGGAAAAAGGAAAGCTAAAGGTATCTAAAGGTTCCGTGCACTGGATTCAGCGTGGCGGTCACAACTTGCATGCTTCAATGCTTGTGTTGGCCAATTCTCAAGTGCTCGCCTTCAGCATTTCAAGCCAAGTTGCTGTAGTTAGGCTTTCTTGGTCGATAGGACCCGGACTCACTGAGACACCATATGCAGCATGCGGCACACATGCACTGGCAAGCTGCTTACTAGCCCTTCGCGCCCACCCGACCCCAATTTGCGACCCCAATTTGCCATGCGACTTTGCAAAAAATGCAGGCGGGAGCATGCAAGCAGCAGCGTGACTGTTTTTGGTCGAGGAATACCATAACCAGGCAAGATCGCAAGTTACCCTAAGCCCTAAAACCTTCCACCCTTGAACGCTTGAAACTGATGAATCCCTTTGCTTCTCCAGGTTGCATCGGGCTCCGGGTATGGCGCGGAGGATGCGGGGCACTGTTGCCCCGTCCCGCCCGCTGACGCCTCGAAGCCAAGCTTTCTGAGGCCGCAGATTTTTGGTTTGGGCACATTTCCTAAACCTTAAACCCTAAACCCTTAACCCTAAACTCAGGGAAGCTATGCGGGAGCGAAAGAAGACCAAGGGAATAATTGGGTTCTTGGCCTCACTTTCCGAATCCTTGAGAGCATCGTTGTCGCCTGTAGAGGCCGGCTTTTGATGCCACGCCAGCGTCGACACGCCAAGTTGACAGGCCGCAACGTGTTGAACAGGCATGTGGCCAAAACTGGTCATAAGGTATAAGGGTTATAAGTTATACGGCTTAAAAGCTATAAGGGTTACTGGGATTTCAAGGGTCATAGCATTCCAAGGGCTCTAAGGGTTCTAAGGCTTATAAGAGCTGTCAGGGATTAGACTATGCATCCGCCGATGGACCGGCAAAAGACAGCCGGCTCTCCCCGACAGAGCTTGTCAAAGAAACCTTGACCCTCAAATCCCTTAGCTGCGCATCTTGTAGATCTTGTAGGGCAGCTTGTGCCAGGACGTCATCCCATGATCGGCTATGCGATCCAGAAGTACTGTTGGGGACTTAGCAAACGGCCAGATGAAGCTTCAGCATCCTTCAATGCCTAACACCAGGCCTTGTAGGATTTCGGATTTCGGCATTCGGCATTCCGGTGGCTTTGACCTCGGTCAACTCGCGTAAACCTTAAACCGCAGACCCTAAACCTTAAACCCTAAACCTTACACCCTGTACTGTAAGCACCTCATAAACAGCCTACGATAAGCTCGTAGAAAGCAAAAGCAAAAGGCTACAAAAGCCTGGAAAAAGGTCTATGAAAAGCCTATACAAAGAGCCTTTCAAGAGCTTATCAGGAGCCGATTCAAAGTAGTTCAAAAGTCTACCAAGGCCCTATGCCGCTCACACTGCCTTTGAAAGGCCTATACTATGGGGATGTCCGAAAGTAGGGGTACCCCTTAAATATTCCAAGATACCCTTTTAAAGGAACCTGCAAAAGGGTAGCCCTTTTTTCGTGAAACCCCCCCATGTAGCGCCTTCTGAAAGCCTGAGGCCCACGTCCATGGCCCAACCCGTGGATCCGCGACCGCCAAGCGCCTCCGGAGAGCGTTCTCGGGCGCTGAGCGCGGAGCTCATGTAGGGTTTCGGGTCTAGGGTTTAGGGGGTTTATGGCTGAACAATCGCCACAGGGCCGAATATTCGGATTTCGGGTTGTTTGGGTTTAGCAAGGAAGGACAAGGTTGGAGAAGTATCAACATTCCCACAGACTTTCCCGAGAAGCGACATTCACTTGAAACTTCTGGCAATCCAGGCTTCCTTTCGTCCAGGTTTCTGGTTCTTGGTTCCGGCATGGAGAAGTTGAGACTGTCGAGACTGGATCAGGAAACTCTTGAGTTCCAAACAATGCTTCTGTTGCTTCTGCCCAGATACTGTACCTATCATCTTAGACATTGCTCTCGATACTCACACTATTCACAGCTGATTTTGCGCCATTCAGATTGTCATGTTGCAGGAATATGCAGGAGGACCAAAGGAAACATCTTGAAGCACAAGATGTCTACCATTTATGTTCTACTTGTTGGTTGGCACGTCTGAGTTCCGTCTAGGGGGCCTAGAGTTGCAACGAGTGTGGTGAAAGGATGTCAACCAACTTGCGGGAAAGTCTATAAATCCTTGCTGAGAGGTCAGGGCTTCGTGAAGATTTCGGAGATTGAAGCCACGAAGCGCTTGAATGACTCCTTGGAGCAGGCGGAGCCAGCTCAATGTTTGCTGGAAGGAATGAGGGCCGTTCAACATATGTGTATGTATATACATATACACATACCCATATATACATATACATATATATATAGTTTGTGATGTATATGTATGTATATATATATATACAGTATATACAAAAAGATGTCTATTTATATGTACACATTTTTATGTGTCTATATGCATAGAAAATCGGAGGACCCCAGAGCACTGGCAAAGGCTTTTGGCAAGGCTTCGCATGGCTTTGCATGTTTTGCTCAAGCCGCTTTAGCGCCTCAAACCCTGACGTCCACCGAAGCCACGTTACAAGACGTTACAAGCAGTGTGCACATCTTGTAGATCTTTTGTGCATCTTCTGCACATCTTTGTACTCTTGGGCTTGCTGTGCCGTATCTTCATCTAGGAAGCCCAGCGGTAGACACCTGACGCCTGGCGGACATGGACCCACGCATCGTGTGGACGGCTCCCGGCAAGGAGCCACCAAGGCCAACAAGGCTGGCAGGCCATGGAGTCGGAGGCGGAGCCTGGGCCCACACCCGGGGCTTCGCCTCCCGCTTCGCCTCCGGAACGTCCCTGATGCCCCTGGGCCTGTCCTTTGTGCACCTCGCGGGGGGCCTCGCTGCTGGAAAGCTCGCGGCCCGGATGACGAGGAAGGCCAAACAGGTTCGATGCCTTTGGCCGAGAAGCGGCGGTGCGAGGCACGTGGCGTGCGCTAGTGGCGCAGGCGACTTCGAATACTTGATGGACCTCGAGGGTTTCGTATCCCTGTGCAAGCGTCGTGGCTTCGTCTTCCCGTCCGGGGAGATCTATGGGGGCTACAGCGGCTTCTTCGACTACGGCCCCTTGGGCGCTGAGTTGAAGAACAACCTCAAGAAGATGTGGTGGCGCAGGATGGTTCATGGCCGTGACGACGTCATCGGCTTGGACAGCGCCATCGTCACAACACCTTCTGTTCACCAAGCCTCCGGCCATGTGGACAACTTCTCGGACCCCATGGTTGACTGCAAGGAAAGCAAGCAACGGTTTCGGGCTGACCAGCTGATGTGGGCGAAGGTGGAGCTCGAGGATGAGGGCGACGTGGGCTACGTCTCCATGGTCGAGGATGGCAATGTAGAAGCTGCATTGAACAAGGCAGCAAAGAAGCTCGCAGAGGGGAAGAAGATGAAGCCCCTGATCATCAAGGACATGACGGAGGCCAGCGAGGAGGAGGTCGCCTTGATCCCCTCGCCGGCGACCAAGAAACCTGGGAGCTTGACTGGGGCACGGGCCTTCAACTTGATGTTCGAGACAACCGTGGGGCCCTACTCGGATGCCGGGTCCAAGAGCTACTTGCGGCCAGAGACTGCGCAGGGCATCTTTGTGAACTACAAGCAGGTGTCCTACGTGATGCGGCAGAAAGTGCCTTTCGGAATCGCGCAGATTGGCAAGGCCTTTCGCAATGAGATTACCCCGAGGCAGTTTCTTTTCCGTTCGCGGGAGTTCGAGCAGATGGAGATCGAGTACTTCATTGATCCTGACGCGGATTTCCGTGCGGTCCAGGAGGAGTGGATCGAGGAGATGTGGAACTTCCTCAAGGCAGTGGGACTGAAGGAATGCTTGATGGACCGGGAGGTGCACGAGGGAGACAAGTTGGCGCACTATGCGAGGGCCTGCACGGACATTATCTTTCGATATCCTTTCGGCACCCAGGAGCTCTTGGGCGTAGCCGCGAGGGGTGAGTACGACTTGCAGCAGCATGCGCAGGCCAGCGGCCAAAGCATGGAGTACCAGGTGCCAGGCCAGAAGCGGAAGTTCGTGCCGCACGTCATCGAGCCGTCCCTGGGAATCGATCGCCTCTTCCTGGCGCTTCTCTGCAGCGCATATGACGAGGATGTTGTGGGCGATGAGAAGCGGTCGCTTCTCAGGTTCCACCCGTGTGTAGCGCCCATCACCTGTGCAGTTTTCCCCCTGATGAAGAAGCCCCCGGCACTTGTGGAAAAGGCCCAAGCTCTGGCAAAGCAGCTCCGACAGCGTGGCTGGAACGTGCTCTACGATCAGGCGGGTACCATTGGGAAACGTTATCGGCGCATGGACGAGGTGGGGACTCCCTTCTGTTGCACCGTGGACTTCGACACCCTGGAGGACGACACGGTCACTGTGCGTCGTCGGGACGACCCGCTCGAGGTCTCGCGGATGCCCATTGATGCAGTGGCGAGGTTTCTTGACGACGAGTGCCAGCTGCCTATGTGAGCTTCTCTTGGCTGAGCTTGCTTTCTCCGTGCCAACTCAAAAGAAACAGAAGCAGTCGGTTGATAAAAGCGACAGCTGCAGGTCGTGTAACGTGCAGCATAACCTGAGCTGCCGTCAGCTTAGAGCAAGTATGCTTGAGGTTGACCTGAGTTGCCCCCCCCCAAAAAGCCTTAAGAAGCCATCACTTCTCGCGCCTTTCTCAACAGGAGAATGCCTTGCTGGAAGCTGAAGTTGCCGAGCTCCTTCGGTGCGCCAAACAGAGCTCCTCACGATGTTGAGAGTGTGGCATGGTTCGGGTGTTGCACTCGTTTGCAGGGTGTTTTTTTGCAGCTTCTTTCTATATATAGTGCGCGTGGAATGTTGAGTTTTTTGTGGAGGGTGGCTCCTCAGGCACAGGTTGTGTGAGCATAGGCGTGCGAAAGACGGTCATGACGTTCAGAGGCTTGTTCATGTAGACCAGATCCCTTTTCTGCGGGTTTTGTCTCGCCTAGGCAGAACCTGCAGCTGCGTGACAACATTGCAAGTCTCATCCCCAACTTCTCGAAGCAAGGTGCTGGGTCAGAGAGATTGTGCATGCTTCTTGCCCGTAGGTCGGCTTACCTGCAGCCATTCTTCAGGTATGGAGATTTCCTTGGGCCGGAAGACAGATGGAGAGGCAGAAGAAGGGCAAGGTATCCAGGAGGCCCGTGTGGTGCCATGTGTCTGCTTGTGTGTGGTCCAGAGGTGGTCGTGACTTCTAAAGGCTCCGAGCCCCCCCATGTCTGTTTGCAAGGCTTTGCCCTGGCCATGCATTGACCTATCATGGCCCCACTTGTCTCGCAATCCTTTTTGGGCTCAAAGAGTTGCCAGGCTTAGTACTTAGTTGCCCCCGAAGCCTCGAGGTACCACGAAGCGTGACCTCAGGCTGTGAGAGGAGGCCATGGCTCCGCAGGGCCTAGACCTTTCGCTTGAAGAGGCCCTCTTCTGTGCGCTGGTGCCAAGTGGGTTCAGGGTTTAGGGTTTAGGGTTTACGCTCTGTGTGGGAGAGCAGGGTTTTGTACTTGTCTGGATTGATAATGAACAGGGCTTGCAGACTTGGACTTTGTGTGATGACCTGCAGATGGGCCTGTATCATTTTGCCATTACAGTGCGTATGCTGCATCCGTATTTCCTGCTGCATTGTGCCTTGGCAGAGGCACAGCTGGAGGCTCACTTACCAACATTGCATCGAGTCGCTGATGTTTTGCAAGAACAGTGTCAGATACTTCTCACCTTCAATGTCATACCTGAGCGATATATACGTAAAATTGCTACCCTTCAAGATTGATGTGAAAGCCTGCACTGGCTACAGTGTGTGTGCTTGCTTTTCCTGTACTCATCGACTCTTCTAAGAAGAGTTTCGGCATCCTGGCAGCAAGGAGTCCAGTTGCAAAGGGTTTAGGGTTTAGGGTTTAATTGTGCGCGGTTCTGCCGAGTTGCAGGTCATCAAGACGTCGAAGGGCGATGGAAGGGGCAAAGGCCCCGACACGTGGTATGTGGCCATCACTCCGAGTCGTCGAAATACAGCAGTGTGTTTAAGGCGAAGGACGTACGTCCAGGGAAGTAAGTTCAGCGGCCAGTGCCCACAGTTCAACATCAGAGTGGAACACTATTTAATCCCAGCAGCTCGTCTTGAAGTGCCTTTCCAGTGCCAGGCAGAAAGCAGGAGGCGGCAGCTAAGGAGACAAAGGCAGAGAAGGAGGAAGAAATCAATCTGGACCGCCGGATCCTGTTTCTTTTTGTGGCTTTTGTGGCACCTTCCTGGTGATTGTTTGTAAAAAACTCGCAGGACATGAGCCTGGATGAACTGATTGAGAAAGAGTACGTGCCAGCGAAGGCCCGGACACGGACTCTTAAGGAGCAACCAAAACCCGTGGCACTCAACTCCCCCAAAAAAAACCCCAGCCACAACCTCGCAAACCCCCGGCCTACTCAACGACTCAGCGCCTGAAGCCGAAACCTATAATCTTGCAGGTTCTTTGTTTGGAATCATGTAGGGGATTCGCGCCTCTAATGTCAACGTAATCCGTTGAAATTGTGTATAAACCGGGGTCTATGGTGTTAAATTCCAGACAGTGGAGTTGAGGGTTTAGAGTTGATGTCCTATGCACCAAAGAGCTAGGGCTCAGGGTTCAGGGTTCGAGGTGTAGGGTTTTGGGTTTAGGCTTCTCCGAATCTGTGTTTCGGGTTGTAGGGTTTAGGGTTTAGATGAGTCTGGGTTCAAGTGATGTGGCAGGAGTTTGAGGGAGAGCCCTGGCAGAGAAAAGGGGGAGCCACGACCCGCCCGCCCCCCAACAGGGCAAAGGCAAAGGCAAGCGAGAGGCCGACAGTTGGCAGCAAGAGCGTGCGCCAAAAGGCCGGATGAGGGTTCAGGGTTTAGGGTTTAGGGTTAGGGTTTAGGGTTTAGGGTTACAGGGTTATAGGGCTATAGGGTTTAGGGTCGGTCACAGGCAAGCTACCACAGGAGCCCTGAAGCAAAAAGGGTTTGGGGTTTAGGGAGCCTGCAGCTAAAACCCCTATAACCGCCTAACCCCCAACACACAGAAGCCCTGCACCCTAAGCGCAAATTGACACCTGGCTTGCCTGAAAACCTAAACAACCCTGAGTGCGAGTGCGCAAACCCTGCTTTGCTGGAGCTGCCCCATCACTTGAACCCTGAATCCCCCCCGCAACCTCAAACAAACTAACCAGCAGCACAGATGCAGCCCTAAACGTTAAAGCCTCAATCCCTGAACGCAAAACCTCCAAACCCTGCCCCAACCCACAATCCAAAGAGGCGAACCCCCACACCTGACGTCTGACGTTGTCCAAGCCTTTTGGGATTTCGAGAACGCGGCTGCGAAAGGGCTTAGGGCAAAGGGAAGGTGTGTCATAAGCGACACGGTCCGGGAGGGACAAGGGCTTTATGTTCTTGGGCTGTTGTTGGTTTTCGAACGGGCTTACCAAAACCTCTTGTAAAGCCCTAAACCCCCCTAAACCCCCCTAAACCCCCCTAAACCCCCCTAAACCCCCCTAAACCCCCCTAAACCCCCCTAAAAACTCCCCAAAACCACCCGAAAAAAAACCCTCAAAGCTGCCAGGAAAAGCCTGGGAGGCGGCAAATTGGAGCTCCGAGAAGCCCAAGAATGCAGGCGCCAAGCTGAGAGTGCCTGCAGGGCTGAGGGTTTAAGGTTTAGGGTTTTAAGGGCTTCTAAGGGCTGTAAGGGCTTTCTGGGTTTACGGGTTCCAGACTTGGGTTCTTCCAGGGGTCGCCAGCCTTTCCAGGGTCTCACCAGGGCCCTAAAGCCGGCTTTCTGGGGTTGCAGGGTCAGCGGGCTTTTGCTGAGGGCGCCGAGCAGCTTGTTAGGCCCCAGGACCTTGCCTCTAACGCTTGAAATTGGAGCCCCATGCCCTCTTCTTAGAAGTGCCGCACACCGCCATTCGACATGGAACCCGAAGTAAACCCAACAGCCCCAAGATGCTTTTTGAACCCTGAGCATGCGACCCTATAGAGCTTAGAGGGCCCCTCGCCAGAACGCCAGTGGACCAAGGCAATTCTTCCTGGAAGGATTGGAAAGACGCCACCCCGCAGTGGAAGAGTGGAGGCCTAGTAGCCAACGCCAACTCGAAGGTTAATCTGGGTTTGAGCCTTTAGGACCCGAGCTGTTCTCAGGTGGGGGAGGCAATTGGAAGGAGGTGGACACCTGGAAAGAGGCGGAGACCTGGAAGAAGAATGATTGGAAGAAGGCCGCAGGTTTTGCTGAGTTCGGGGGCTTACCAGCCCCGGTGCGACGTTACGGGGCTACCAGCCATACGGCATATCATGCAGTTTTTGTTCTCTGCTATGCAGCATGCTATGCTACTGGTATATTGCAGTATGCTACATTTTTCTGTTCTGGTTCTAAAATATTCTAAAATGGCAAGTTCAACTTCCCAAATTCTGATTCCATTCTGTCTGTTCCGTTATTGTTTGCGTCTGGAACACTTGGGTGCCTGGACTGAGAGACAGGCAGATGCCTGGAAGGCAGATTGGACCAGCCAAAGTCAGAGCTTGGCGCTCAGGGCGAGAGATTGCGAACGGTTCGGGATGTGGGATTTTGGGGGTTTGGGCTCATGGCTTAGGAGCTCCAGGAGATTCAGGGTGCCAAGGTTCAGGGGTTCTCGGGCCCCCTTTGAGAGGTCTTTGTTGCAATGCGGCCCCTGGTGTCTGGGGACGAAAGGGTGGCCATCATTGCGAGAACTGGCCATTTGGAGTAGCCAAGGTTTGGGGTTGGGTGTTTTCCGTCATGAGATTGGAAATCTCTACCCAAAACCAAGATTGGTCAGGTGGGCGCCCCAAGTGGCGGCAACCCGCCCAGCTAAACCGGGTTTTGGGGGGAATGCTCTCGGGAGTTTGGAGGCTCCAGCATTACCACCAAGAGATTCGCAGTATCGTCTCTGGCATAGAACAAGGGGAATCTGTAATCTTCACTATGACAGGGGCGGGAGGGGGGGGGTTCGGCGTCATTTTGAGGGTCGCTTTTCGTGGTAGGCACATCTCTAAGTTTGAACGTAAAACCACACAGGACGGTAAGCGCCAGAGAGGGCGAGAGAGAGAGAGAGGGAGAGCGAGCGAGCGAGGATGACCCTGGTGTGAACATGCTGTGACGCAGGCAAGTGGCAGGACGACTGGAAAGCGCCAAAAGCCAGTCAAGCACCCAGAATTTGTGTAGGGCATTTGGGAATTGAGCCCCTTTATGTCCCCCATGAAGGGTAGCACAGGGGATTTGAGGTGTGAGCTTTCAGGGCTTTCCATGTTTGTTTGCTCTATTTCTATTGATGCTGTTGGACACCTACATCCCCCTCCCCCTCAAAGGTCAAGATTGGTACGGCTCCAACAAGTCGTCGTGGGATGGTGGCGCGCTCAGGTGACCCTTGGTCGTCTTGAGCCGTCTCCTGGGTTCATGGGGAGCATTCGGAGAACTTCCGCCAAGAAGAAGCACGGGCTTGGCTTTAGGGCACGGCCTTTTTTCTTGGGGACTTGTGCTTTGCTCCTCTGAACTTGTTCATTCCGACCTTCAAGAGACTCTCCTTGTAGGAGCTTTCAGCGTGCTGTGGCGTGGGAGCGGGCTGGGCAGAAAGGGCAGCAGTCGAGCCCCTTGTGAAGAAAAGGAGCTTTCAGCGTGGCACTCTGGCCCCAAAGGGATATCGTCAGTTTAGGGGCTCCCTGGTTCCAATTTTCAGCCCTTAATCCCAAAACCCCATAACCCCCTCAGCTCGCTCTGAGGTCACAGCTCAGGCTGGCAGTCGCAGAGCACCCGTGTCGTGGAAGGCTGGGGGCGCGGTAGTTCTTTTTGGGGTGGGGGGGAGGGGCACCTGGTGATCATGACCCTAATCCGAATGTTTAGGGTTTTGGGAGGTTAGCGCAAGCTTAAGATGGAAGCATCAAATCTCGCGCCTCGAGGACGAAGCTGGTCAGATCGCCATGCCGCCCGTCGTGGTACAGGGACATAGGGTGGTTGAACCACACCATCTTGAGGTCTCCGTGATCAAACCGTTCAGTCTTTCGGATCGAGAGCCGGAGCATCTCACGGCATGTTTTGTCCCGATCCCTGTGAGGAAAGCAGCATACATAGAGTCGGAGGCAGGTACCAGTATGGAGAGAGATCAGGAGACCAGGTCCGATTCATCTAAGCCCCTAAGCAGGACGGAATACACTGGGACCCTATGCCTTCTGAGTAAAACGGTTTAGGGTTTCGGGTTTAGGGTTTAGGGTTTAGGGTTTAGGGATGTTTAGGGTTTAGGGTTTAGGGTTTAGGGTTTCAACCCAAGAGCCACTGAGGCAGAGCCCGCCTGGACCCGGCCAGCAAAGACCGAGACCGAGCGCGAGGACCCCCCTTGCACACAGGGGGCCCAACCTTTGAGGGATTTAGGGTTTAGGGTTTAGGGTTTAGGGTTGAGGTTTCGAGAAAGATTTGACTTCTGCGGCTTTTAAAATGGGCTTTCTACCCTTCGTGGCTCTGGGTTGTTGTTGTCTGGTGTGAAGTCTCTGAACCCCAGGCTCAGCTCCTTTGCCAGGAGCGGTGGAATGCGGCTCCCCGTGGCTACGGCGATGTGCGAGACAGACGGTCGTTGTCGCAGTGATTCAGGGCTTGGTTTTTGGGAGTGTGGAGTGTAGGAATGTGGTGCAGAACTTGATGTCCAAAGCCAGCTCTGCAACTGACAAGATGGCGTCTTTGCATCACGACCCGACCCAGGTTCGCATGGCGGGACGAACGCAGGGAACACGACTACCGATCCGCGGCTGCACTTCAATCGCGGTCTTGGGTGAACCCCTGGAAGCCTGCTTGACTTGGCCAAGAGCGACTCATGTTGGTGAGGAGATAACGGCTATGATGTGGCATCCTCAGGGCATGTGCCATGGGAAGCCAGGGTGTTTTTTGCATGGGCGGCGGAGCAGAGACGACTTTCTTCCGGCATGTTGTCAGAGGCTCCACAGGCTGTCCGCGTGCAAACAGACGGCCCCGTCGGAATTGGCACTGTTTCGTACGTGTCGCGTGCCGATAGCATCGTTTTTGACCGGCGCCTCGTTTTTGCCGTGAGCGAGTGCGAGAGTCGAAGCCCCAAATCCCCCGGAACATTCCTGAAGCCCCAGGCCCGGGATCGCCGCGGCTTCCTCAGAGATGGGGGTGGGGGATCTTTTGGGGGCTGCGGCAGTGATTTTGAGGCTCAACAAGGCTTAGGGGTGTAGTGAGCGTTCTAAAGTTTTGTGTGCCTTGAAGAGGTCTAAGGATTGGTGCATGGTACTTACAAAAATGGTTCCGAAGTAGCAGTGCCCTGTCGCTTTGGGGCCCACGGCGGTGCAAGGTGAGCCAGAGAGGCAATGGCCCCGGGGCCGCTCACGCACGCCGCCGCGTCGATATTATGACGATATTCCCAGGCGATTTTGCAAACAGAGGGACGGGTGGATCGAGTCAGGAACCCTATCCAAATCGACGCCCATCATAGGGGAGGTACTTATCAGACCCATCTTCGGCGGATCCGGAGGGGGCTTTGGGTCAGGGGTTCGGCTTAAGGTTTTGCATCGGTATGCATCAGAGTGTGGACCGGGATTTTGGCGACTGGGAGCCTTTGTAACAAGCATGTGTAGGCGCGTTTCCTGAAAACTAAAGGCTCTCTTTTCCCAGGTCCCAAAAAGTACAGTAAAAAAAGCCCAAAAAGCAAAGCCCTCACTTGCATCCTCGCCAGGGGCAACGTGATCATGGTGCAGAACATCCCTCCGGGCCTCGACTCGCGGGACTTTTGGCAAACCCTAAACCCCTAAACCCCTAAACCCCTAAACCCCTAAACCCCTAAACCCCTAAACCCCTAAACCCAAAACCCAAAACCCTAAACCCTAAACCCCCAAACCCCCCAAGCCCTAAACCCCAAACCTTGAACCGAAGCCCCTAATTAAACCCTAAACTCAGATCCATGAAGGGTGGGGGTCTTCAGAGGTTCTTGGGGGCTCTGAGAGTCGATCCGTTCGTTGGGGTTTAGGGCAAAGGCCGGTTTAGGGTTTAGGGTTGAGGGTTTAGGGGTTTAGGGTTTAGGGTTTAGGGTTCAGGGTTTTGCAAAAAATGGTTGCGTGAGGACATCAAGGACGCCTTCCAATCCGCAACGGGAACCGTTAACAGCTGCAACCTGCGCGGGGGGCCTCAGATGCTGTGCAGGTCTGGACTCTGAACTATTCCCCCATCCCCTATCGAAAGCCCTAATCTCCTGAATTTTCAGCCCCAAGCCCCAAATTGTGTGTTCGCCACCTCCGCAGCCCTGGTCTGAGTCCACTGAGGCAAGGATGGCACTGCAAGGATATCTTTCGACAGGCGCGCTTTCACGGGCACGTGGCAGTTCGGGAAGCTCCGCCCGGGTCAAAAACAGGCGGTTTAGCCCCTGGTTGAGGCTTCAGGGTTGGGGGTGGGTCCACACACGCAGACAGCGAGTCGCTCGCTGGCTCGCTCACACACGCAACACACAATTTCGTCCCCTCCCCAACCCCTTCCACTCCACATGAACACTCAGTTTGGAAGGCCGGAGGATGCCAAAAAAGCAGTGGCGACCTTCGACCACGGTGAGCTCAATGGACTCCTGGCGCCTGAAAAAACCCCCCTGGGTTTTAGGGCTCCAAAAAAGGGCAAGCCGGTTGCAAGGGTTTTTGAGAACAATGCCTCGGTTTTTCCATGCTTCGAACGATTTGGTGTTCTGGGAGGACGTCGGCGCCCTGGTGGCTCGCAAGTCGGCTGTTGTAGTACACATGTACCGAGGACGTCCGGGTCTTTGGTGGCTCGAAAGTCGGCGTAGTACAAAAGTAGTACGCAGAGGACGTCTGGAGCTCCAGTGGCATCAAAGCCGTTCTTTCGATCTCATGTGGTCTCTCACTGTTTGGGGCCTACGCTGGCATAATATATATATATACATATTTATGTCACATGTATTTCTGTATATGTATATATAGAGACACACACACATACATACATACATACATGCATACAGACATACAGATAACATGGAGTTTGTGGCTTTGAGAGCGGCCGGGGAGCGTTGGAGGTGGTGATTCGTACAGTTCTCTCTAGTTCATGGCCAGTTTCTTGGTGAGCAAACACCCAGGGATCCGTATCATAGCCCTTGATTAAAGAGCCACGCCATTCTTAGGGATCCGTTTTTTGACTCAACAGCTTAGGGGTGAACAGGGCCAGGTCTTGGGCGCCAAGCGATCCTAGGGGAGGGTTTGGGGTTAGGGTTTGGACGTGTTTTGGGTTGAACAGCTTGTCCCGGCAAGACCCGCAAGCCTGCTGCAAAATTGTCTCGCATGGTGCCGTTGATGCCCTGCAATGCTCCCGCACTTGAGGAAGCATCATCAGCGTCCGCATTGAACACTGAACGCTGGCCGCGTGATCCCAGCTTTGTGATCGTCAGAGAACGAATGATTCTTGCAATGCAAGAGAGGGGCCTGGTAGGGAAGTGCTCCGCCCTCCCGGCGGCTAGTAACGGTCAATATGCTTTCTTAGACCTTCTGAAAATCTTTTTTGCCCTGAAAGTCAGAGCCCTCTATTAGGAGGATTTGAAGGACTGCGGCTCTCCGCAGGAGCTGCGAAGTGAAAATGTGCCTAGGACCCTTAGCCGAACGTACTCTTCTGGAAGGCTCCCCGTTTTGCTATCGATTCGGGGTTCCCATATGCAACTCCCGAGATCCTTGGCATCTCTAAGACTGGCTTCCTCCTCTCTGCCGCGCGTGCTTCCCAGAAGAGACTTCGTCCAGGGTGTGGCAGTTCTGCAGCGCCCTGATTAAGCGAGCTCAGTCCTCGTTTGACGACGGATCACCTGAGTGCCATGCGTTGAGAAACGGTGCGAGTGCTCAGATGGGGCGCAGGGGGGGTGGGGGGGGGTCCGAGTGACCAGGCTCGGAACTGAACTTGCCCACCCCAAAACCCGAAACGCAACGGACCCATTGGCACTCCATGTTCATGCCCTGCCGTTGCAGGCTCTCCCGGATTCCGGCTCAGAGCCGTAGCAGGCCCCAGGGCTTGGGCTGATTCGGGTTTCGGGGTTTCCCCTTAAACCCTAAACCCTAAACCCTAAACCCTAAACCCTAAACCCTAAACCCTAAACCCTAAACCCTAAACCCTAAACCCTAAACCCTGGGGGGTGGGCATTTGGGGCTTAGGGGGGGTCCGCTGAAAGCTGGAGGTCACTGGTAGAACGAGGCGGAGGGTCTGACGCGAGAGCGGATCTGGCAAAGCCAGAGTGTCCCTGGCGCTGAAGTGGGCAGTCGAAAAGCCGGAAAGCAACCACAAGAGCCTTTGAGGAGTGAGTGAACCAACCGCCCTTTGCTGGTTTAGGGTTTAGGGTTCGGGGTTGAGTCATTGAGGGTTTATGGGGTCTGCAAGTAACCGTCTAGGGTTGAGGCTTTGGGGTTCAGGGTTATGCGACGCACCCAGAAGAAGCCTGCTGCAGAAAGGGGTCTATGGGGTCATGGGTCTGCAGGCCGTTTGGGTTGAGGGTAAGGGTTCAGAGTCTTTGGGGTCTGCAGGTCTGCAGGTAAGCGTTAACCCTGTGCAAGGTTAGCCTTTGGTTTCCCCCCTGACTGAACAAGTAGGTGTCTCTATTGGGTTGCTGTTCATGCACCTAAGCTAGGTCACCAGAATCAGGAAGCAGTATCTTTTACACTGTATGCATTCTCCATGCTATGGGAAACTTCTTTGTGGCCACCTTGACGCCAACCCAGGTCAGTAAGTCCTGAAGCGTGCCTTGCATTCTTTCAGCTTTCGGGGCGTGAGAGCCGAAACGGTGTGTTCTGCTAACGGTCCTTTTTAGGGATTATAGTAGGGGGTACTGTAATCCCTACTAAGGACTGTTAGTATAAGGGGGGAACATCCCAACCGAAGCCCCTGAAACCACTTTCCTTGCGAAGCAGACCGGCTCAAAGCTGGTTCTTCTGGCCCGCGGAAAGCATCGCAGGCATGTTCCGACACCGTACCTGATGTGACCCTCAGCTGAAAGCTCCCTGATCCCTCACCCCAGGGGACCTTATAGTAACCCTAAACCCTAAACCCTAAACCCTAAACCCTAAACCCTAAACCCTAAACCCTAAACCCTAAACCCTAAACCCTGGATCTAGTGTCAGCGAGGGAGGGGATGGCACCATCCTTGAAAGCGGCACTCAAGAGCAGTTGAGAGGCTTCTTAAACCTCAGATGGGATCACCTGTTGTTGTGAGCCCCTGAGCCCTAAGCAACAATGCAGAAGCCCTTCAGCTTCAAGATCCTGACCAAACGCGAAACCCTCAAAAACACAACATATATATATATATATATACATATATATATATATAAATGTATGTGTATGAAATGAAATGAAATGAAATGAAATGAAATGAAATGAAATGAACGTAAAAAAGCAAACAAAGGCCGTGGTCTGCAGATCACGTCTCTGCTTCTCTCCGTCTGGGTATGCTTGGGCGAGGCAGGGCTTGGGGTTCTCTTTCTTGCCTTTTTTTGGGGTGCCGGGTTTTTTTTTGGGTTTATCTTATTCAGGTTTAGGGTTCAAGATTGCGGGGCTTAGGGGAAGCAAAGGGTGTTTAGGAGTTTTAGGGTTTGAAGGTGGTGGGTTTCGGGGTTCCGAGGCTCCCTCCCTGTACCTCGCGCTCCCTCATCCCCTTTGCCTCCCCCTGCATCATCTTCCCATCTCCCTGCGATGTGATGTATCACCACCATGCCTCAAGTCCACAGTTTATGGCTATCAGAGACCAGACCATGTAGAGTACGGTGCCATGTCGATGCACATACATGTCCTGAGCTAGAGAGAAGCGGCCGCATTCTTCCAGCCTTCGAGTGCCGTTTAAGGTCTCTTCACCGTTTGAAACTTATGTATGTATGTATGTACGTACGTATGTATGAAGATCTGGCAGATATCCGGTCTTGGTGGAGCTTATGCTAGCAGGTTCTTGACTGCCAGCCCGCGGAGTGCGCCGGCCCGAGTCTGCAACACCGCCTGAGTCTATGTTCGGAGGTTTGCTCCGATATTAAGGGGTACCTTATTGGGGTCCTTATTGCAAGTGAGTCCTACTATTTGGGGTTTATATTAGAGGTCCCTTAGTTTCGTAAACCTTATTGGGGTCCTTATTGCAAGTGAGTCCTACTATTTGGGGTTTGTATTAGGGGTCCCTTAGTTTCGCAAACCCCCGTTTCGTGTTCCCTGAACCTCTTGGCATTGGCAATGTCAGTGACTCTCGGTGTAGTTTCAACTGTGAAGCGCAATTGTCTTGCACCCCAAGAAAGCAGAAAGAGCCCCCCCCCCCCCCTGCCCGATGCAGCCTGCAAAGCAACTCCGAAGGAAGGATGGGAATTAGTCTTGGGCATTGGGCCTTACATGATCTGCAACTCTGCACAGCGAAAAGCGAAGTGAAAATGACATTTCTCCAAACTAGTATTGATAGTGCCAACTCAGTGCATGTGACGTGTCGGCGTACCCCTATTTTTGAAATCTCACGAAAAATTCTGAAGCTGAACGGCCGCCACAATCTGTGTGGGAGGTTCTTCAAATTCGGGGTCGAGGTCATGTACAAATCTTTGGCTTCCTAGAAGAAGAATAGTCGCACTTTGAGGAACGCGGTGGCACGCTGAGCTCCAGCGCGCACGGCCTTATTAAGAGATGGACCTCCAATTTGAGACACGACTTGAAGCCCAAGAAACCCTCAGCAAAAATGCCCCGGGTCCCCCAAACATCCCTGAACCCCCCCAGACAGGCCCGAAGCCTAAGGTCCTCTGACCTTGCTGCAGGGTCGGCTCGACCTGTTAGCTACATCTGAGACGAGGATATCGGATCTTTTGGAAAAAAGCACGGTGTACCCAAGTTGAAAGCAGCTGTGGTCCAGGAGCAGCGATAGCCGCGAGCTGCTTTGCCCCTTTGCCAGCACCCATGTTCAAGCATTTTGTGATGGTTGAGACCCTGCCGGGGGAGTAAGGCTAACCCTAAACCCTAAACCCTAAACCCTAAACCCTAAACCCTAAACCCTAAACCCTAAACCCTAAACCCTAAACCCTAAACCCACCTCGCATCCCTCAAGCCGGCCTCAGTGCGAAAACCACCCCCGGAGGCACGACCTCTGATTGCGCTCCAGCCGTCTTCATCGTGAGCTCGGGGAGAACGGGCTCCACCAGCATACTGCACATGTTGAACCTGATTCCCGGGACGCTTTGCCCAACACTTTCGGACCTTCGGATGGCTGTTTGAGTTTAGGGAGGGAAGTGGATCTGGAAGTTCTGATGGCCGCCCCTGGCAGCTGTAGTGGATGTCATGGCAGCTGAGGTATGACATCAAAGGCGGGTCTGCGGCCAGCCCACCCACCCACAGTCTCCTCCACCCACCCTAAGTCCTAAACCCTGAACCCCTAAATCCTGCGCAGGTGGCAACATGATGCTCTGGCCAGAAGTCTACGACATGCATGAGGTCCGCAGGGATGTTGGAGCAATCAAACCACCACTCCGTTTAGTCACGAATTCAGATACGTCATAGTGTGCAAGGAGATCTCCGGCTTTGGGGTTTGGGGGTCTGTGCGGCTTGTGTCACCTCTCAAGAATTCCAGGCGCGGACAGAGCAATGGAGAGTCTACAGGCACAGCCACCTCTATGCGTGGCATCACAGCAATGGAAGGACCTTGGCTGTTGAAGCATTCTTGTTTACATACGCTTTCCTGACCTCACCCCTTCGCCTACCCCTGCCACGTAGCCAGACATTCTGCCACAAAGCCGAAGCCCCAAAACGCCCAGGAACGAGACGGAACTCATGTGCAGCATGAAGATGATGCTGCTTGGTGAGCTGAACCCGGACCCAGCAGCCCGCGTCATCGGCTTCAAGGTACGGCGGGAGAGCAGAAGCGTTGAGGGTAGAACTTGGGGTTTAGAACGAAGCCCCTGCCAGGCTATCAAGTGGCGTCCCGATCTCAGTTTGCAAAGGCAGAGCCCTTCTTTTGCAGCCGCGCCGTTAAATTCTTTACCCTAACACCCTAAAAACGCTAAACCCTAAACCCTAAACCGCCAAGGCTTCGATGAGGAGCTGGAGGCTGGGGGCTCGTTCTGCCACAGAGGGCTTTTGCTTCATCCATCTGTAGCATCCATTGTCGTTGTTGTGATGATAAAAGCCCTAAACTTGGGATGTTCCCCCTATACTAACAGTCCTTAATGGGGATTATAGTACTCCGTAGTCTAATCCCCATTACGGACTGTTGGGGGGTGGTTTAGGAGGGAGGGTGTAGTGGGAGACTCCAGGACTTGAAGCTGCTCCTGGAGGCATGGGCGGGTTGTTTTGGGGGTTCTTTGGGGGTTTAGGGGTTTAAGGGTTTGTGTTTGGGATTTGGGGTTAGGGTTTGGGTGCTTTGGGTTTAAGGGCTCTAGGAAGAAAGGGTCCCTCAAAGGGTTTCAGGGTGTTTGGGCTTTGACCTCGCAGGCTGAGCTGATGTGGCGAACAATTGATCAGCAGTTGCTGGCTAGGTTACTGGTCGAAGTACCAACCAACCCTTTCAAGCCGCCAAAGAATCCCAAACCCCCAAAACCCTCGGCCTTGAGCAGGCCTTTCCATGCGCCAAGGCCTTGAGGGCCTTGAGCTTGAGAGACTGTTTGAGGTTTGGGGTTTAGGGTTGGGGTTTAGGGTTAGGGTTTAGGGTTTAGGGTTTAGGGTTTAGGGTTTAGGGTTTAGGGTTTAGGGTTTACAGTTTAGGGTTTAGGGTTTAGGGTTTAGGGTTTAGGGGCACAATTTCAGTGCTCACCTCGATCCGCGCTTGGGATCGGGGTAGTTCCCTACAGAATGATCCTGTTTTGTTTGGGTGCCCCGGAGATGCAAGGCTCTATGACGGGCCAGAATCCCTTGCTGTGTGTCCCCCCCCCCCCCCCAAAGAAAACGCCCGAATGGACAAGCGCAAGAAAGAGCTTTTGAAGATGCAGACGGGTTAAGTGCCCCGACGCCGATCATCCGTGGATGGTGGCGATGTTCTGGATCTGATCGTTATTCTACATCTGTAGGGTGTGCTTGACTTCGTTCTAGCTCATTCTGGCTATAGCCTGTTCTCAGCTTCTTGTAGGATGCTGCAGTTTATCGTTGTTTAATTTGGCGATTATTGGCTTGTAAAAGTTTTTCGCAATTTTGGAGTATGTATTTTTTTTGTGGCTACTGACGGGGGCTCCGGAAGTTGATTCCTCAGTCAAGCCCTCAGCGGGAGGTCCTTTGAGCAGGCCGGTCATCTTCACAAAAATAGGGCGTTTATTATAGGTCTCTGAGATTTTGTTAAAGAATAGGGATTGTAGTAAATGCAGTCAGCCCTCGTAGTAGCCTTCCCCCTCGAAAGTAGGGGCTGCTTGGGTGCAAATAGCCAGATGACAAAACCTGAAAACTCGACAAGTATGATACACCACATTGAGTGAGTTGTCCTTAAGCAGTTTTGGCAGTTTAGTTAATAATGGAATTGTTCCTTGAAAAGTTCGCTTGTTGAACTTTATCAAGGCACCAAAGCTACAAATTCCATGGGGGGATGGAGTAATGCTTCAAATGATTCTCATGGATCTGGCCCCAAAATCTATCAATTGGATTGTGTCAATTTGGCAATTTCTTATTATGGTTGTTAAGTCGGGTAGGTGGAGGGTGGGGCTCCAATTCAAGTAGTAATGTGAGTCGTTTTTTAGTGCCACTTTGTGGTGGAAATCCTTTGATTTGTTCACGTCATAAAGTTAACCCCAGTAGGCCAGCCCCACATTGGGGACTGACATCATATTAGGGTTGTTTTTTTGGGTTTAGGGTTTAGGGCTTAGGTTGTGTGACCACTGCGGTTCGCTTCATGCTGCCCTGAGGCATGTGTAGCAAGGTTTTTGGTTCTCGTATTCCCAAATGACATCCCCCCCCCCCCCCCCCTCCCCCGGTGACGCGTAGCTGCTGTGTGGTTGCTGTGGAGGATGAGGGGTCAAAGTACAAAAGTCCAAGATTTTCAGGCACGAAAGTCCAAACGTCACAAAGTTCAAGTTGTTTGGACTTTTGGACTGATTTGGGAATTTTCAAGATTTCATGCAAAGATGATTTCACATAATGCCACCTCTCCGAAGTAAGCAAGACCCCAAGTTAGAAGCAGAACATGCGAATCAACAAATTTCTATTAAAGTAGAGACCACTTCCGCTGCCTTAATTCATTGGTTAAATCATACTTTTTTGGTTGAAGATTTTCTTGAAAACTCAACGTACCAAACTGCCTTATAAGAACCAGGTGCAAGAGCCCCGAAATGCCTAAGCTCTAACGCACAGGTGGTTCTGAGCAAGCGCAGGAGCATCGACGACCAGCTCCTCTCCCAGGCGGAGGCGTTGCTAGGAAGCAACTTGGGATTGGGGTCAGGGTTTAGGGTTGAGGGTTTAGGGCTTTAGGGTTAAGGGTTTGGGGTTTACGATTGGCCTGGGCCGGTCACCCTCCCAGAATCCATTTCCATTTGAATTATATATCCATTTTTCTTACTTGGCACTGTCTACATGGCAGCTTCCTCCTTCACAAAGGCTTGATCTAGAGCAGAGGTTTTTAGCAGGGTCCCATGAAGTCTGATGCGGGGGTCCCAGGTGGGCGTCAGAAGAGTTAAAACAAGTTGTTTTTGGAAGCAGAAGGCCAGGGGAGGCTCCGGCCAGGGGCCAGGAAGCCCCTGGCAGGAGGCCGAAAACCCCAAATCCAAACCGCTTCATGAAGGTTTACAAAGTCATAGGCAGAGAAAGGTTTAGGGTTTAGGGTTTGAGGCAAGCAGCTGCTTTTTTCTGGCATTCCCCACCCAGCCCAGATTGAAAAAAGAATGGTTTGGGGAACATAGCTCGGGCTGTGGGCCACCCTGATCTACCAAAACCCTAAAGAAAATCCCCAGGTTTGGAAACTTCGACTACTTTGCCACTGAGCAGGCGAACAAGGCTGGCACTGCTGGCAAGGATAAAGGGACGTGTCAACGCACGCGGAAAGCAGGGCGCATCAGTGTGCATGTAGGAGCCGATGAACGGTGAGCCCTTTTTGGGGCTTGATTATAGTATCTCTTGAGCTGAGGAGGCGGAGAAGGGCCCAGAGATGCCCAGAGTATAGATCAACTCCCCATACACGTATGCAGCAGGGTGATCAAAGAGTGGACCGATGTAGGGTGTGTGGTTTCGGGTCTGCCAGGCCATGGACAGCTTTGCGCGGCATCATGGCAGTCGCGTCTTCAGCTTGGATTTGGAGGTGGGACCTGGTAACGTAACCTTCCCACTCGTATCAAGCAAAGCACCCTTTATGAGGGGCCCTTACATGGGTAGGTTCTTATTGCAATCAAGAATCCGGTGTGGAGGCCCCTTAGTGCTGAAAGGCTTTTCATACGACAGTGCATACGGATGTGTGGAGTGCAGAGGACTTTGATGTGGAGCACTTCAACAGTCTACTCCACTTCCTGGGTGAGGCGGCGCTCCGTGCCATCAGGTTTTTGGGGGTTTTAGGATGTCTCGCTCTCAGCCCGCAAAAAGGGAGACAGCCCTAGAGCTTGCTGCTAGCCCCTGGCAGGATGACAAGTGCCAGTATCTCGATGTCGTCCACGACAACGCTCCCTGTCAGCACTTTTGTCGGAGCCCCACATGACATAGGTATGTTGGGACAATCTGTACCCCAAAATGCTAAAACAATATCGGGTTCCATGTCGTAGGAAGCTCAAAAGTGCTCTCCCACCCCTTCCAAAACACAAAACCACACAACAGAAACAAACAAAAATGCCAACGGGCACAGTGCGTGTTGGAGAGGCCGGAAGGATGACGTCGCCTTCTGAGCCGCTGCAACGGACAGCGATTAAGTGCAACCACACAGGATCGTAATTCGACCCGCGTAGCTGCCTGGAGGATGTAGATAGCCCAGGCCAGCGGACAAAATTAGGGCTTCAGGTTCGAGAGAGAGAGCGGGACTCCTTACTGGGGTCGACCACTGCTCCGAAGCTTTCTATGGAGTATAAACGATGATGAAGACCCCCAAAACTACATGAGGGTCCAAAAACTGTTAAGGATTACGAAGGCTCTGACAGAGACTCCTTGCACTTGAGATTAAATCAACGTGTTCAGTCCACTCAACTGGAGGAACTTCCGACGCGGCTCAGAAAGGGACCAGAGAAGTCTCAGAGAAGTCTTCACATGAAATCGGGTTGAAGCTTTAGTTGTCAGCAGGATCGGGGGGCAAGGTTGGAGGCCTTTGGGTTTCTTTCATCCCAAAGCCATGAGTGCCTGCTGCGCCGACATGATGGCGGCGAAAGTGGGCCCCGATGCTAAGCCCTTCGTTGTGCAGCCCATGATTGAGGCACAGCTTTTAGTGGGAAAGGGCGCTAGTGGCTTCGGACTCCTCGGATCCCTCCCGAAAACCGAAGCCCGCACACATCCTCCTCATCCCAGAAGTGGCGGGGTGAGTGCATGCACACGGGCACAGCTCGATGTCAGATAGCTTGGGGAAGTTCGGGCTCCTGTTTTGGCCCTATGGTCAAAAGGGCGTAATCTGAGTACACATCATGGTCCCGCAAAAAAAGCGCACCATGGCTCCAGTTTTTTGCTTCTATGCGTCGCCTGGGTGTTTCTGCAGCTGCTCGTTTTTTGTTTCCACCATGGCTATGGTTGCACGGAGGCCGCCGAACTCCCAACCCACAACTTCGTGACATTCTACATCCGTTCACGACTAAGAAGTTGCTGTTGAGGCTGTAGGGTCCACAACCGCCATGCTCGGAGGACAGCCCCGAATCCGTGGAGTTCTTGGCGACTATGTCCGGACAGCTCCAGAACGTGCAGCACGTCATCGATGATGTCGCGCGGTGGCTATGAGCGATGATCGGCACATGGGCCCGGTTGAGGGTCCCTGACTAGAGGGGATTGTGAGCATGCGATGGGAGACGTCATCATCCCTACCGGACCCTGTAGAGATTGGGGCGGTGGTGGGCACCAGCCGGTTTCAGTATGAGGTTCCCTGGTCGAGGTGTCGACAGCTAGATGTGGTATTTAGGGACGACTGCCCTTGCTCTGGCTCCTCGAAGTATGCTTAGAAGCTTCTGAGCTTCGAGCCGGCATGCAAGACTTATGCCAAACGAGCCTGCAGCCCAGGTCACCACGCAGATTGCAAAGCTTCAGCAGCAAATCAACTCCAAGTTGGGCCAAGTTGGACCAGTGGTGGCGTTGCCCCTGACAACACGCGAAGCGGCTTCCCAGAAAGAGTCTCTCTCTCTCTCCCTCTCTCTCTCCCTCTCTCTCCCTTTCTCTCCCTCTCTCTCTCTCTCTTTCTCTTTTCGGGTGTTGTGTGGATGAGGGTTGGGAAAACGCTGGGAAGCCCGGTGTCCGAAGCGGGAGAGGAAGTTCAGTGTAAAGGCACCACAAGGCGCCCCGGGCTGCGAACCGCCTCCGGCTTGAGGCCACTCCGACAGACCTGGACACTATGACTGTGCAGTATGCCCAAGGTGCGGCCAACACCCTGGAACCCCGTCCCCCCCCCCCCCCCCTTAAAAAAAGGACCCACCGAAGCCTGCAGTTTACCCAAACGAGTGGGCTACGTGGTACGTACATGCCGAGTCTTACTTGCTTCGAAGGTACGGTCTGAGGGTATAAGTCTCGTGCCCTAGTGGGGATACGCGAAAGAGACACCCTACCTTACATGGTGAGTTTAGGGTTTGCGGCTTTAAGTTTAAGGCTGCGCAGTCCAGATGCAAAAACGAAGTTTGAGGCTGCTTAGGGATACTGAGCTCAATTTTTCTGGTTCCTGGCCTTCGGGTCTTCATTTTTCTCCATTCGGGCTCCAGGAATCTGGAACCTCCCAACTCCAAACCTCGACAGGCCAAAGCACGAGGGCTTAGGGGTGTCTCATGGAGGGGGCGCGCTGGTGCTGAGAGCACGCAAGTCACCCCCTCCCCGCCCTCATCTTGGGTTCAGGGTTCCCTTGCTTTCTGATCAGTGCTCATGTGCTCCATGCCCGAGTTCCGGGAGCTCCCCAGGCCCGGCCTCGGGGGGGCCTTGAGAGTCCATGGTGGCTTTGTGAAGCATCGAGCACAGCCGTGCCAACTTCAGGAGCGTTGGGTTCAGGGTGGGGTGGGTGCCGAGAGTTGCCGTGGCAGGGGCTTTTGGGGGCCGCACAGGGGTGCTGCGGGTCTTTGCTCTTTGGGTGCGGTGAGTATGACCCAAAGGCAAGCTTCGGAGCTGATGTGTTCCGCGTGGTTCGGGCGGCATCTAGAATTTGCCGAATCCAGAGCTCGAAGCTCTCCTCAGCTGCCAGGAGGCCCCCCGACCATGTTTGGAGGAGCTATGCAGCTATGCCCAAAAGTTTGGGGGTGCCTTATTCTAAGGCGACCTGACGGGCTCATCTAGGATGAGTTTACAACCACCTTCCTCTGCTCATCTTGGCTAGGCCTGGCTAGGCAAAAGAAGATGCCAGCAAGGGCTGATTCATCTCGAAGGCGCTTGAAAACCCCGTTGCGACGTTTGGCTTTCGGCAGCAGAAGACGCCAACACCGACGCGCCAGTGGTTGCCTGCCCGAAGCTTCCTCGCCTGCCGGCTTCGATGCCTTTGCCCTGCTCGACAGTCCTGGGCTCACTCGGAAAAAATCACTAGATCTCGGGGCCCACAGAACAACACCATAACAACATCGCTGCCTCGACCCCGTGCTGAAATCTTTCCCTGCCAGGTGCGGGCACTCGCGTACTGGAGCCGGTTTCAGAGCCGACCCCGGAGCCTGAAGATGAGAGCCTCGATTTCGAAGCCCAGTGTTTGGGAACCCCAACCATCCCTGCCCCCAGCCCCCAAAACCCCCTGCCAGCATGCATCCCAAACCCGTGAAAACATTCCCAAGACAAAAAGGTCCCAGCTGTTCACGTGAACACTCTAAGGCCCCCCTACAGGCCCTGAACGCCTCACAACCCCCCCCCCCCCCCCCAGAAACCTCACAAGCCTTTAAAAAAAGCTCAGGAAGGGCCTGGAGCAGGAACCCTCTCAGCACAAGCCTCTAAAAAGCTCAGGAAGGGCCCGGAGCAGGAACCCTCTCAGATGGAGAAGAAGATGACGGACGCAGAGAAGGCCGGTCCAGTTTCCCAGACTAGGGTTTGGTTTGTTGGCTAGAGTTTTTGGGGTTTCAAGGGGACTCAGCAGGACTTAAGTCTTTATTTGACATTAATTTTATGAAACGTACGCATGTGTGAGTTTATTCTTCTTGAAGTCTACAAATTAAAAAAAATGTCTGGCTGAACTTTGTTGAGAAGGGGCCTTCGGCCATGTTCATCCAATGCGAGGGGTTGGCGGGGGTATGACGGCGGGCCTCCCTGAACCCTAAACCCCTAGACCCTAAACCCCAAAACCTAAACCCTAAACTTTAAACCCTAAAGCCTAAAGCCTAAACCCTAAACCCTAAACCCTAAAACAAAACCCTACTTACAAGTACCCCATGAACCTTCAAGTACGAGCCTGTAACTGGAAGTCGGAGTCCGTTGACGGGCTTCGACGGTCTGTCTTTTGCTTCACGAGCCCGTTGGCGAAAGGGGGACCGGGGGATCTCGAAGTATGAAGAAGGAGGAAATCAATATGCATTATGTGCATTCATCTTGGTTTCGGTTGCTGGCCTGCGCTTGGTGAGACCACTCAGTGTTTTTGGCAAAGCGCTTTCCATTGGGACACTGGGGGTCAGGGCCGCATTGGCACCACGGTGCCTGACGAGCAAGCGGGTCAAGCCTAAACAGAAAAACCCTAAACCCTGAAACCTAAACCCTGAACCCCCTCTAGTTGTGAGAGTCGAAAGCCTAAACCCTAAACCCTAAAATCTTAATCCCTAAACGCATGCATTCCTCCCATCAAGGCGGCGCTTGATGAGCTGATTCAACAGTTCCAGCGCTGCGACGTGTCTACCAACGGCTTCTCGGCCTTACGTTGGGTGAAAAAGGGAATAATGGATGGGGATCGCAGTGCTAAAGCCGGCGGCCTCTTAGGGACCTCTTTCGGCTTTTGGGGGCCCTTGCAGGGGCCACTTAATGCTGCTTCGAAGCGTTTGGCTTCTTTGTCCGGCTCGAAACGGCAGTGCGATGGCCTAACAGCTACGGCTTAACATCGCGAAGTCCAAATCGGTGCCAGGGTCCCTATGTTATACTTGAAAACGGTAGGCTCTTGAAGCATAGATCGGTCTTCATGAGTGGATGCCCACGACCCTAAACCCGTGTCATGTCGAGGTTTCGTGTCCGGTCATGAGCTTGTGGCGTTGGCCTTTGCGCATGGGGAGCAGCTGCAGCTGGGAAGCGCCACCTGGCGGTCTTGGGGGCGTTGGCAGTTATGGCTGCAAAGAACTGGTAGGGCTTGCAAGAACCTGTCAGCTTTTGACAGGAGGTTGTTAGAAAGGCCTTGGGCCTTAAACCCTAAACCCACTGGGGCCAGGAAGCAAATCCTTTCGCTCAAGACCCAGGTCCTGAAACTCTGCACGTACCTCTCGTCCAGCGCCCGTGAGTCGGTCCGACCCATCATCCTCGAGACCATCAGCGATGAGCATCTGAGACTTGGCCCTTGCGGGTTTTAGGGTTTGGGGGCGGTTTTGATGTCAGTGTGGTGGAAGGGTTCAGGCGCCCTTTGCAGCGGGGTTTACGGGTGTCAAGCTGTTGCACTCTGGAATCCCTGACTATGTACTGCAGTACTGCGGCCCCCATCGAACAACCCCTGCTGTTGGCTTGTAGGGAATGCAAGAAGAGTCAGAATAGCAGGTTGAAAAGCCAACAGCCAACAGTTGTTCAATGAGGGCCTCTTTCTTTGTTTTTGTTTGGGGTTCCCTTTTAGAGGGAACTCGATTCTAAGAGGCACCAGCGTGACCCCAGTCAAGCCCTAATCCTTAACCCAAGTCGAGACTTGAGCAGATGGCGAGGAAGACCGAGTTGGACGTCAATGGCTTCATTGCCTTGCGAGGGCAAGAAGGGCTCTTTCAAGGGGCGCCTGCAGACTCTGGGCCTCCAATCTGGGCGCTCCCAACTCGCGGGCCCTAGAACCCACAAGCCCCCAACCCCGAAACCCACAAAAAAAATCAGGGCAGGCTCGCTGTTTCGGGTGTATGCTTCAGGGTTGTTTGGGTGGCGCTGGGTGGAGCATTCCAGGCGGATTCCAGCAAAGCCTGCAGGAACATGCAGGGTTTGTTGCTTGAGGCTTCGGGCTTCAGGCTTGAGAAGCTGAAGGTTTATCCCCAAACGGCTACCTGCTACCCTTCCCCTGCTTCAGGGTTCGAGTGCAACACGGGCCAAAGACTCCCAAAAAACCTAAACATCCTAAACCGTTTCAACCCAAACCCGAAGCTCCTCAACCTCTAATCCTAAACCCTAAACCCGAAACCCTAAACCCCAAACCCCTAAACCCCCCAGGACATCGTGGAAGCTGCGGCGGGGTTAAACAGGCCCTTCTTGTGCGATCGCAAGAAGTTCTGGTTTAGGGTTTTGGGTTTAGGGTTCAGGGTTTAGGGAATAGGGTTTAGGGTTTAGGGCTTAGGGCTTAGGGTTTGGGGTTTAGGGTAGTTTAGGGTTTAGGGACTCAACTCGAACCCCTAAAACCCTGACCCCCCGAAAGGACTTCTGGGCCGGTGGTTGGTTTGGGACCTTGGGGCCGGTTGCTTGGGGGTTCCTTGGGAGTATAGGCTTTCGGGATTTCAGGGTTCGAGTTTCGGGGCTTAGGGTTCTTGGGGGTTGGGGTTTAGGGTTGCGGTATGTTACGGTTCAGGGTCTGGGGCGGGGTTTAGGCCGAAGTAGAGAATGGAAAAGGGAGGACAGACCCTCCGGACCCATATGACCTGCAGTCATCTGTGTTCGGGCTGCAGTTCCATATCGCCTTCTGCAGAAAGCAGAGGGTCCCAGCATCATGAGTCCAACATCAAAGTGTGAGACATCCGTCACAGGTGAACGAACCCAACATAGAAACTGTACCACCGTCGGTCTTTCAATGTCTCCTGTTCCTCTGTCCTCAGTTCACCCTTCACACCCATCACACCTTGAGACCTTGTTCATGCATGGTCTGTGGTCTTTCATTGAACTGATTTTCTTCTTTGAGGCTGCCCTGAAATCCACCCCACCTGTCAGACTTTCTCAGAGTGAGCTAGAGAACCCCAAAAGCCTTCTGCAAAGAGTTGTGTGTGGTCTTTGGTGCCAGGGTCTTGCATTACTGGTAATATTATATACAAGTTTTTCCCTTTGATGGACAGTGCCGGGGTGTCATGAAGCTAGCAAAGAAACCGCAAAAAGCCCTGAACATCAGGCTAGAGACTGCCAGGCGATCTAGGCCACAAGGATAACATAGAGCAGGCATGAAGAACCGAAACCTTAGGGTTTAGGGTTTAGGGTAAGCCCCTCTGGTATGTGCCCTGCAATGTGTTGCGAGTGTCAGCTAGGCAGGTGGCAAGATAAACCCTAAACCATAGCCTGCACCATCACAGGGCCCTGGACCAAGAGAACCAGATCTACAAGTTTGACCATGCCACCCATCGCTGTTCGGAGATAGGGTTGGGGACAAGGTTCTGGAGTTCACTGGGGGCCTGATGAAGGCATATCGTGCTGGCACAGAGCGACAAGATGTTGCTAGAATACATGACATGATGGTGAAGGCACCTGCCAGTAACGAAGCGCAAAATCATGTAAGCTCATCTCGCGTGGCTTCTTCAGTTCGAACCGGAGGGGCTGTTTGCCTGTGGCGCTGTGGTGGGTGAAGCTTATGTCAAATCGGGTGCCGCAAAGGATGCCGACATCATGAGGCACCGGCAGCGTCTCAACATGGCGCGGCTGATAATGGACGCGGCTTGGCGAGCTCAGGGTCCCCAGAGCTTGTGGGGTGCAACTGTAGCATGCGAAGCCCCGGTCATTTGCTGGGTCAATGCTAAACGACATATCGTCACCTGCACTTAGCCTGCAACAACCACAACCAGAAATTCTGGGAACGTAGCTGGATACCTAAACTGGTGCAAAAAACCCTCGCAGGCATGACAGTCTGCAGCGATGCCCTAACAATTCGCGGCCGAAGAAGCTGCGACTTATCGCAGCCCCTAGTTTAAGCTAGCGCCCCCCCCCCCCCCTCCCAAGGCCGCACAAGGTTGTGCATACCCAACCCAAATCCAGCAAAAGCTCTAAACCCCAAACCCTCAGTGCCCTAAAGACCCGAAACCCCACGGTCAAACCCTAAGAGCCCCAAAAGCCTAAGAAGGACCCATACACCTGAAGGTTTCGGGTTTTGGGCTTAGGGTTTGCCGATGACATCCCACAAGCCGCAAGAGCACGCGCACAGAAACGAGAAAGCGGGCGTTTTTGAAAGACAATGCGACATCTGCAGACTAGAAGCAGGCTACAAGCCAGCGCTTTGCTTAGACGAATGACGAAAGGCACGTTTCAAGAAAAGCACCGTGCGGTTTCAGGGCCGGCGGGTAGTTTTTAAGCCTTGGTCCCTGCATCCGAAACCGTGCATCCGGTCTTCTTCCCCGAAACATAGCGCTGGTGTCTCTTGAGCACAGGCATGTTCGATATGTGGCCGGGTTGCGGTGAAAGTTGGAAGATCGAGCTCTCTGTGTTGCAGGGTTTAGGGTTTAGGGTTTAGGGTTTAGGCAGCCATCCCTTTCAGCGGAGGTCGGCATTGTTCTTGTCATATCGCTCAACGCTCTCGTCATTGGAATCAGCTCCTCGGCTACAAAAAGATCAAGCTTTCGGATTCCCACTCATCGGCCCCTTGGGATCTCTTGCGTTTTCTCTCTTTTTCCACCCACCAAAAGACCCGAACCCGTAGACATCCGTAGACCCTAAGGCCTTGAACCCAGAGCCTTGCCTGCCGCGCGCGAGTGTGAGAGTCGAATTCCTTGAGCCCCAAACCCTGAACCCTAAACCCCGAAACCCGAAACCCGAAACCCCTAAACCCCTAAACCCCTAAACCCCTAAACCCCTAAACCCTAAACCCTAAACCCTAAACCCTAAACCCTAAACCCTAAACCCTAAACCCTAAACCCTAAACCCTAAACCCTAAGCTCCGGAAGCCCGTCTCCTGAAGGTGCGGACCAGGATCCCGACAGCCCCTTCTGGGAAGTGCTGGAGTTGGTCTTCTTCGGGATGTACCTCCTGGACTCCTGTCTCTGAGGAGGTTTTTGGGGGTGTGTGGGTTTAGGGTTTAGGGTTTAGGGTTTAGGGTTTAGGGTTTAGGAGGGTTTGGCCTCCTTCCAGGCGCGGCTTCACAAGAAGAACCTTGAGGGTTTGGGATTGCAAAAGGGTCTAGGGAGTAGTCGGCTGAGCTGTGTTTTCGGCTGAGCTGAGAGCTTTCAGGAGTGCGTGGTGAAGCTGGTCTTTTTTGATGGCTGGCAGTACTTCGTTGGATCTGATCGCAGTGGCGCCCTGAGAATCTGTTGCAGTTCAGGCTTTGGGGTTTGGGGTTAAGTCTTCACTTCTCCCCAGTGGGACCTCATTTGAGCGGCCGGCAGGTTGGAACATCTTTGACTTCGCTTGCCTAGTCATCTCGGCCATTGAGCTCAGCATCTCCTACATCACCCGACTTGTTGAAGGAGGATGCCTGCCGCGGCTGTCATAAGAAGCATCGTCCCCCCTTTCCCGGTGCCCCAAGTAGCTCAGAGCCACCTTCGTTTTGTGATGCGTCCGTTGCATCGTGCTTTCTGCATGAAGGCAGCGAGTGGGTTCGGTAACGGCCCAGCGCCCCTAGACCCCCCTACAGGAAACGCCGCACGTGGGCAGCTCGCTCTTCTGAAGGCGCTTGGATTCCGAAACCCGTCAGGGAGTGCACTCCTAAGGGGCCCCACCAACCAAGACCGTTCTTTGGGAAGAAGACATCTCCAAAGGATGCTTGTATTGTTCAGGGCAGCAAGGGTCTGAAGAATTCTTGACTAACACCGAAACCTTCCCGAAGCCAAGAGTTTCACTCCCTCAGCTACACCAAGCCTGACCCGTCACACTCTGAATTTTGGGTTTTGGGGTTTCGGTTTCCGTGCATCGCCGGGTTTGTGTAAGCGCCTGGCCTCTTGCTGCGGCACAGCCTGGCGTGCAGTGTAACCCCAACTTCTGCAACTCTTTGGCCAAAGGTGCTGCGGCTGGCCCGACTAGCCCGGCTTGTGCGGGTGATGCGGTACAAGGTGTTTCGGGAGCCTTGGTGGCTAGGGAGTCGAGATTGTGGGTTGAGGGGTTTTGGGTTCAGAGGCCCTACCACTGTTGATCACAGCAACAGCAGCAACTACTGCCACTACAACCCTAAACGCTAAGCCCTAAACCCTAAACCCTAAACCCTAAACCCTAAACCCTAAACCCTAAACCCGAAACCCGAAACCCTAAACCCTAAACCCTAAGCCCTAAACCCAAATAATTCTGAGACCGACGGCCGCTACGACTATGGACTGTTCGTACTACCTTGCTCACAATTCTTTGTATTTTGTGACTTTCCCTGAGTTCCTGAACCATAGCTCCGGCTTTGAGGGTTTAGGGTTTAGGGTTTAGGGTTTAGGGTTAGGGTTTAGGGTTTAGGGTTTAGGGTTTAGGGTTTAAGGGTTTAGGGTTGGGGGCTTCAAAGGGAGGTTTCGCTGCCGAGGAGTTGAAGTTGATGGCCCTCGGCCTCTTCAGCGGGCTGCAGGCCCTCTTCTGGGCGCACCTTGGGCAGCGTTTGAGGCTTTGAGGTTTAGGGTTTAGGGTTAGGGTCTAGGGTTTAGGGTTTAGGGTCTAGCGTTTAGGGTTTAGGGTTTAGGGTTTAGGGTTTAGGGTTAAAGGGAAATCCTGAGAGTCGGCACCCACGCAAGCCCCAGAGTCGATGCCCAAGAGTCGGGGTGACCCAGAAGGTTGGGAGCTGACCCCCTGCTTCCAGAACCGGGCTTTGGGCGGTCGGCAGTTTTTGTTTTGGGGGTCCAGTGCGTGGCCTAAGTTCGATCTGGTTTGCAGTTGAGTGTTTTGGGACATTGAGTTTGCCATGAAGCTGCTTCCTGGGTCCCAAGAGGTTGAGAGTACAGGGTCCGGTGCCCTAAACGTTTGCCGCAGCCAGATTCCGACAGCTCTTTCTTATTTTCTTGTGTGTGTGTGGAGGGGCATCCTTCACATAGAGATCTTTCATTAGGAGCGTCGCCCTTTAAAAGGGGTCCTAGACCAGAAACCCCAAACGTCCTGCATTTCAAGCTTGGGTTCAGGGTTCAGGGTTTAGGGTCGATGGGTCGAAAATGTCTGGGTTGTAATGTACAGAGTGTCCGTGAGGATCGTGCTGCTGATGGCTGTGGTCTTCACAATGGGCATCATTGTACGGTCACTCTTCGGGTACCAGGCGTAACGTGGATGAGATCAGCGGCGTCAGTGCAGGGGGGTTGGGGGAAGCCTAGTGTTGACTGGAGGCTTCTAGTCCAGACTCGTGGTCGTTCTGGGATCAGCAAAAGTCGAGAGGTGGTTGCAGTAGCAGCAAGTTGAAATTAGGATTGGTTGTTTGTTCTTCCGATCATTTCTCTAGGGTGTAATTAGTCTCCTTACATTTTTCTACATCTCCTGCCCTTTTATCATGGCTTCCCCCGCAAAAAACAAGAAGCCGCCGAGCCAAGGGAGAAGCTTCCGGAGTTCAGCAGCGTGGACCGGGCCATGTTTACGCTCTTCCGATGCTTCACGGGGACCTGCGAGACCTACGGAGGGGATCCGATTCCGGAGAAGATGTTCGATGAGTTTGAGTACGGCTTCCCTCTCTTCATCGGCTACTTCCTGATCATGATGCTCGTCAGCGTGGGCCTCTTCAACCTGATCATGGCCGCCGGGTCCTTACCGGGATTTTGCTGGGCAAGCATGATGAGCCTGAGTCCCCAGAGGCTTCTTGAGCCCTCTGTTGCTCTTGGAGGGGTGCTGAAAGGTCTTCATCGACAATGTCACAAAGTCGCAGAACCAGCGCAAGCAGAAGGACGGCGGCGCCTGCCAAGCCAAACCATCATCATTGCTCCTGGTACCCCAAACAGAGAGGCTTTAAGAGAAGGACGATGCCATGAACCATTTTTGAGATTTGCCAAGGACTTTACGAGGGGTAGGATAAAGCCCTTTTTTCGAGAGAGGGTGAAGTGAAGGAGCTGGGCGAGAGTGCCGAGATGACGGAGATTGCCTTGAAGCCCTCTTGCTGCAATACGCGTGGGTTAGGAAACGCAAGAAGCTTAACGGTTAAAGTTTATCGAAGTATCCATCTGCTAGTCCTCTTCAAAGCGATGGAAGCTAGCTCCCCCCCTAGCCCAATAGCGCTAGCCTGCCGAGACTTCACAAACATGTCGGGGTTGTTCTGCATTCTAGGTACCGCAAGTAGTCCATACGGTCACAGGTGCCCAAAAAGACATCCGGGGAACTTGGCCATGCGTACTGCGCTCTGTGAAGCCTACCGTCAACCCCAGAACCTTGCGATGAGAGTCGAAAGCTAGCAATTTCCAGCTCCAGAAGTCTGCAGCTGGCCCCAACATGCGCGCGGACAAGCCTCTTGCAGTGCCGGCGGAAACAACTTCAAAACTTCCCTGTACGGTACCTAATAAACCAAAACCCTGAACCCTAAACCCTAAACCCTAAACCCTAAACCCTGAACCCTAAACCCTAAACCCTAAACCCTAAACCCTAAACCCTAAACCCTAAACCCTAAACCCTAAACCCTAAACCCTAAACCCTAAACCACCCATTGCACCCCTCAAGCCTGAATCCCCCCAAACCCTCGAGCCCATGGCATCACACGCAGACTTCAGGATGGTCTTAGCCAAGTTCATCAACGAGCCGCGGGCAGGCGAGTGATAGGGTGTACAAAGGGTTTATTGGGTTTAATAGGGTTTACAGGGGTTTAATGGGGTTTATAGGGATTTATAGGGGTTTATAGGGGGTTTTATAGGGTTTATAGGGGTTTATAGGGGTTTTATAGGGCTTATAGGGGTTTTATAGGGTTTATAGGGTTCATGTGTTCTGGTGCTGTCGGTCGTGGAGCGATGGTGCAGTCGCACTCCTCGTCACAGGCAGTTGCGTAGCGCCGGGTCAAAAAAAGGTTCGTAGGACCTGTAGGGGCGAGAACTCCAAGTTGAAAAGGGTCCTCGGAGAGCTCAGCTACATCGGGTCTGATGACATGCTTGACAATATGTGCCAAGCCCGGACTCTAGCATGCCGGTACATGCATGCGGCTGCCACAGCTTCCTACGCCCGCAGCCTTCACCACCCGAAGGATTGATTTAGGACAGATGTCAGGTCAGGGACCCTTCCAAATACCGGAGAATGCCCCGATCCTGGAATCCAGCTGTCCGGTTTTGGCAGATACAGTAGCCTGCAGCTCCCGCAGCTGGGCATTTGTTCTGGCCGCTAGCCTACAGGTTTGCTCATGGAAGACCCATAGCCCCCCCAAGGACTTAGATCTCTGAGTTGGGAGGCGAAGACTCGAAGGACATCATGAAGCGCATCTCGGAAGATGCGATGAAGAAGCTTGCGAGCCTTACAGATGCCGGGAGAAGCCTGGGCCTCGATTTCTCTGGGGTTTGCGGCGGCTTGTTGGGCTTCAGGGGTTGCAGTGCTTTTGGGGTGCCCGAAGCAGAGGCGCAGGCCTGAAATTGTTGATATGCTGCGGGGCTGGGATGCAGCAAGAGCACGCGCTCTTGCCGGGTAGGCTGAATTGAAGCCAAGAACTATTGCGACCACGAGAAGTGGTGCTGGTGATATGGTTTCTCTCTGTGCTGGTCTGCGTTTGCTCTCTTATTTTGCTTAGAGGTGTGTGTGCATGTGATGACCATTGTCGAACCGAGACTTCCATCCGGCATGATTAAGGGCTCGCCAGTAGTTGAAGCTCCGAAGCCTCCGCGCAGTAAGGTCGCAACCAGCAAATGCAGAAAAGGTTGGCGAACGAAGCCTTCAAAGTCTTGGAGGCATCCCGCGCAACGATGCTTTTTTGGATTTGGGCAATGCCAAGAGAAGTGGTTCGTAACCATGCACAGGCAGAACAGGTTGCACCTTTAGCTTGGCATTGTAGGCGTGTCTGGGTCGGGGGCGAAACCTAACAGGCACCCAATGGCTGCAGATACCTAGCGGACCTTCCTGCACATGGCGTGTTCACGAAAGGCAAAAGAAATGGGCCGTGTCACGAAAAGGAGCCTTAAAACGGACACCACAAACCAAATCTAGGGAAACTGACCACATAGATCGCTCACAACCCACTGCGTGACGTCACAAGATAAAACTGAAGAGGACAGCTGGATGCGACATTCAGTTGGAACCCTTGTCCGTGTCCTTAATGCTGAACTCTGAACAGCAACCCCAAAACCCGCAACCCCCAGCCGAAGTGGCAAAAAACCCAAAAGCAGCGCAGCGGAAACCCAGAAGCAGCATGGTTCGTCCAGCTTTGCTGGAAGCGAAAGAATAAGTCAGAACGCCTCAAAACCTAGAAGCTCCTCAAGGCACCCGAGCCCCGAGACGCCTCCAAGAGCCCCTGAAGAGCCCTTGAAATGCTTCGGAGGAGTGCCGCATCAACATCACCCGAGAGGTGTTCCAAGCGTGGCTGAAGGCCGGAAGTTTGACCCAAAACCCAAAACCCAAAACCCAAACCCCAAAACCCTAAACCCTAAACCCTAAACCCTAAACCCCAAACCCTAAACCCTAAACCCTAAACCCTAAACCCTAAACCCTAAACCCTAAACCCTAAACCCTAAACCCTACACCCTACACCCTAAACCCTACACCCTAAACCCCAAACCCTAAACCCTAAACCCCAAGGTTGAGCCTAAAAAGTCTACGCAAGTTGCGGGCCACTTCGAGGAAATACAGTAGCCCCCCCTACTTTAGGAAGCCTCGTCTTTCAAAAGAACTTCGCACGAAGGTGCAGAAGGGGCTTCTCACGATGGTAACGTAAGTTCCCCCGACCCTAAATCCTGACCCCGAGCCCCTATAAGTTCCTGGACCCTCCCTGAACTGGGGGCTTCTAAGCAGGCTTCATCTCTGAAGGTCTCGTTGCTCCCCCTTCCCTGAAGGATCCCGAGTTCGTGCGCGTCCTGGAAGAGGCAGACGTGGATGTCTCCAACAAGCCACGGGCGCTCGCAATGGGCATGGGGTTCTGGGGGGATTTTTGACTTCAGGGCTTAAGGCGTAAGGTTGGTTCGATTACAGAACACTAAGATCTGCAAGAAGCCTTGAAGCTTTGGGGTCTAGGGTTTAGGGCTCCGCTTCGGCTTTAGTTAGGGACCTTTAGGTCTTCCGGGTTCCTCAGAACCCAACGAGAAGCACTAAGGTTTGAGCTCTTCAATATCCTCGACGTGGCGGCTCGGCTTATGGTCCCCTAGGGGTGTAGGGTTTGGGGCCGACAGGGGCCTCAGAAAGGGTTGAGTTTAGGGCCTCAAGAAAGGTGCTTGGGGTTTAGATGCAAAAATGTTTTGGGGTTCTGGGTGCGACGAGGTTTAGACCATGCCGCTGAGTCTCATGCTTCTAGGCCCCTAGATTCCTTTCCCGACCCGAAGCCCCTCCAGCCCTACCTAAACCCCAAGCTGCCGAAGTGACCCGTGGTGAAAGCCCTGAAGCTTCGAAACCAATGCTTCGACCCTCGACTCTAGATGCTCAATCCTAAAGCCGAAGCCCCAAACCCCTGTCAGCTAGGCAGGCGGCAAACCCCAAAAAAAGGCCAAAGCCAAAAAGAGCCGCCAAACCCTCAAGCCCTGAACTCTGCGCAAAGGACTCGGGAGGCGAGCTGTCCGTGGAAGAGCTTCTGCGCCTCGGATCCTCTTTGCTGGCCTCCCCCTGGGAAGTTCAGCAGCTGGGTGTTCTCAGGTATCGGGGCAGGGCGGTCGCCTCTTGGTCCAAGGGCTGCAAGACCAATGACTCGTTTGTTGGGGCAGCCTCGATGATGTGGGCCGTTTTGAGTTCAGGGTAGACTGATGTGTATTCGCAGTAGGAATCCACGGAAAAGTGTGTGCATGCATGGAAGGAGTCCATATGTCCCGAATGGGCTTCCACTAGCAGATGCTGACAGGGAACGCAGCTGCCAATATGACCGGAAACGAAGACGACTTGAATACAAACAAGTGTCGATGGAAAGTTGCTAACTTGCGGCTATCATGTCTGAGAGACACTCACATGAATTTGTTTGCGTTCTTCGGACCAGGCTCCTGTGCATGTGGAGCGCGCGCCGACGAGCTCACTTGGGACAGCGCCCGCCGAAGGCAACTACCGGCACGAGGCACGAGGCAGGGTGGGCGCAGAACTGCCTGCGCCACGACGCGACTACGAGAATCCAATGCCAACAGAACTGGCAATCAGCCGATGGAGAGTGAACAGCAAGAGCTGTGGACTGGGGACACCCTGGCAACACCGGCCAGGGCCCAGCTGAGTCAGAACAAGACGATGCTGGTTGTGTGCAAACGCCTAGAACAAGGTCAAAACTCGTGATGACGGCCGCCACGTCGGTGACTGACGTTTCCCACTGGCCCGAAGTAAAAGCAGAAGAAGACAAGTCAGAGCAGGACCAGCAGAATTACCATAGCAAGAGGGGCGCGAGAGCGAGAGAACCCACGAGAAGAAAAAAACACAAGCAGAATCATCACAAGAGCAAAAAGAGAACAAGAACAGAAACAAAGAGCAACAGGCGAGTAAGTGAGCGTGAGAAAGTGGCCCGAATTCAAGTTCAAAACCTAGACCCCAAACCCTGAACCCTGAACCTAACCCAAAACCCCAATCCTGCCAAGGAACGGCCTCATGGGCCTGCGTGGTGACGTGTCCAAGGGCGATGTGGTTTCCATCCTTCTGCGGGTGCGAGACATTCTTCAGCGAGCCTTTTGGGCCCACTGAAGGGTTGCGGGCTTGGGGAATTGGCGGCTTCGGGGGGGTTGAGCACGCCGAGGGACGAAGGGGCGCATTTGGGGTGACGTTTAGGGTTTCGGTCTTCGGGTGCTTAGGATTCTTTAGCGAGATCAAGAGTGAGTCTTTTCTTTGGAGCAGGGTCAGCTTTTGCTTCCCACCAAGGTGGAGCGCATGGAGCAGCGAATGATACGTAATTTGTGACACTTGTGCCGGCACAAGTCGTCCAGAGCTCGTGCCGAAGGCACATGCATGGCTGTGTAGGTTCTGTTTGCTTTCATACCCGATCGCCCAGATGGCTATGACAGGAGTTTGTCCGCAGGTGTGCAATCGGACTGCAATTTGTGTATGAAGTTACACGCGTAGGCTCATTCCTTCTCATCTTCCTTCTCCGGAGCTCATAGGCACATTGAGCTTTCGTTGGTGGAACAAGCTTCCCTGGGCAAAGCCAGCGTGTGAGGGCCCATATGCCACCGGGGCCTTCGACCGAACACCCTGAAGAGCTAATACCCTTCTGGTCCCGATACAGTTATACTACAAGATGACTATAAGAGCCCCCCCAAAAAACCTATTCTAGTGACCTTAAGGCCCCTATGTGAGAGTTTGGTGGCGTTTGTCAGCTTGCTTGGGTAATTTTCTTGGCAAGGCTTCTGGCCTGCCCAAGCGCGTTAGGCCCAAGACAGGCAGAGCAATTCAGTGTGGCACTTGCAGCGGCCGCCTCGGCAAAGCACTGTGAACTGTAGGGCTGCATCTGCCGAGTTGCGTGCATGGTTGGTGCCCGCCATAGGTCTGGAAACCGTTCTGACAACTTGAAACGCAGCAATGTCTAGTAGCCTGGTCATTTGTAGGCCCACTTCATGTGTCACATTGTCAAAAACGGAGGACTACAGACGGGGTACTTGCTACTCAAAAGACGATGGAACTTCATTGTTGCGCACAGTTTGGTCGACATCCAGCTCCATTTAGGCCGCTAACTTGTGTTGGCAAACCCGATGTTCCAGAGACAGGTTGGCACAGCCTGCAGCAAGGAGTTTGGAGCAACTTTTCCCATGCTGGATCCCGAATCACAGATCTGTTTGCCCGTGTGATCGCACTGGCGCACAGGTGTTCTGGAGGTCCGGCAGGTTTCATGGCGGCCTTGGCACAAGACATCTTGGTGGGGTGTACGGGGAGTTGGGAGAGCACGATTGTGAGGTAATGCTTCATCTGTTTGCTGCATCGATTGCCTCCCTTTAGGGGAGCTGCCCAACGAGGCATCAGGATCAGGAACAGTATGTCTCAGGTGAAGATTGCTAGCTTGCTTTGGCAAGGTGTGGGAGCAACTCCATACCCTTGAAACTGTCAGCGGCTGCGTCAGAAAACATGCCGGATTTCGGGCTTGTGGTTGCAGCGCGGTCACCACCCAGATGCTTGACAGCTACCCTGCGCATGAGACGCTGACACCCTAAGCCCCTTCGCCCTGAACCCTCAACCCTGAACCCTTGGCATCTGAAGAGGGCTATGCCCGCAGCCGCAGCCGACATTTCTGCTCAGACGAAACCCTCGGCCTCAACAAATACCCTCGGAAAACCATTGGGATGCTTCATTCTTTCCTTATTTGCATCTTGATGTCCTTCAAGGGCCCCAGCAACCTTGCCAGGTAGACTTGGGAGCCCTGAGCCCCTTTCTTTCCAGGAAACCCTGCAGGAAAGTTTGCAGCAGTGTAGGGTCAAAGGCCCTTGAGTCCGGAGCCTTCTGAGAGGTAGCATGATGTTGATGTAATAAGGCTTTGAGCTATGATAAGATACCGCAGGATACCGCAGTACCCGTGAAAAGGAACATCTTGCGAGAATATAGTATATGATATTATGTTGCATGTTGAAAAGCCACCATCAAAAGTAATTAGAAAAGTATTAGAGCACATCAAAAAAGACTACAAAAAACAACGCAGCACACGGAAACATACTTTAACCTACCATAGTTTGGGCTCGAGACTCCCTGCTACACGGCATACAGAATTATGCCATAGTTACGTGTGTGTATATATATATAAATAAACATAGGTTTTTGCACATATATATATATGTATATATATATATATAATAGACACACACAGACAGACGCACACTCGAGTTCGAGCTTCCTGGCTCCATGGGAAACTCCGGTGCGACGCTTGGCGCGGGCCACGGGAAGAGGGCTTGGCATCCTGAGATTTCAAGATTCAAAATCTCAGTACATGCAGTGGGCTCGGCACAGCCAGAACGCCCACTTTGCAACCAGGGGTAGACAAGCCGCCTTTTGCATCTGCAATCTGGAACGCCCAAGAGAATCAGTGGCAGTCCTAAGCCGTGGACAGGGTTTGAAGTTTCGGGATGGGCCTATAGGGACTTAATATGCTCCAATATGGGAAGCATTCCCAACCTAAAGCCCGAAGGCTAAACGAAACCCACCCTAAAAGCCTCATCTTCAACTCAAGGACCAGGAGTTTAGGGTTTGGGCTCGTGTAAATGACTGCGAAAAGGATTTCAGGAGCTACTACCCCTATAATAAGGCGGATTCTGGACCACCATGTCGTGAGGCCAACTGCAGAAGCACCGCGGAGGTGCGCGCAAGAGTCGACCCCCCCCAGCGTCGACTAGGGTATGCGGCGGAGTGGGGTTTCGGGGGTTCGCCTCGGGCTTGCGACCTGAGCTGTTCGGGGACCTTTTTTTTGGGGGGGGGGCGGGGTGGGATTTTGGGCTCAAGATGGCTAAAGGTCCCGGGGGCTTTTGGAGCTTCGCAGGCTGGCTGCTGTGCCTCGACGAGAACCAGCGTGTCTTCCCGGCATGCGTTCTGTCAAAGAATCCTTGAGTCGCAGCCTCCCCCACTTTTAAGGTTCTTAGGGAGGGGGGTTCAAGGGGGGTATGTGCCACAATATTCCCTAACTAAGCTTCCCTAGGTACCATCTTATGCGCTGTCACAGAGACCGCTTCCTCTTGTCCAGGTCAAATGTGTGAAGCGTTGGGGCCCTAGCACCTCACCAGAGCATGACTCCATGTGTAGGCAAAGTCTTCTTCGAATGAAAAGATGAAGTTCACACCTGGATTTGTTTTTCTGCATTTTGCGTTTGCTTGTACAGAAGGTTCACGCTTGCATACTCACAATCTCTCTCTCTTTCTCTCTTTCTCTCTTTATCCTTTTTTCTTATGGGTGTGTAAATAAAGAATGAAATGGATAAAAAAGCTAAAAACGCACACACACACACATATATACCTATATATGTATATATACACACATATGTATCTAGCATTCTTTGCGTGCGATTTGAAGTGCAGGTCATGAATGTTAGAAACCCTTCCCGGCATCCAAGAATGTGTACGTAGATGCATGCGTAGATACTGTCTCCTCGATGCGTACATGTGTAAAAGGAATGTGTGCGTGTACCGTGCACATGCGCATGTCGTCTGCGGTATTTGCTGTTCTCTTCATGCAGTATCTGAAACTCTGAGTCGACCCTACAGTAATTCTTGAACCCTGAACCTAGACCTCTGCTTACAAAAGGATGATGTGATGGTCAGACGTTTGTTCCAGTGGTGTTGCCCTACACAGTGTTTGTCTGTGGGTGCACGTCCGCATCCAGTTGGGCAGGTGACAACAAACTCTGGACCCGATTCCGTAGGCAAAGATCTCTTTAGGGCAAAGGTGAGACGTTGTAGGAAAGATGACGAGTGTTTTACACGTTTTGCCACTCCCAGGGTGCAAAGACTGATAGGCAAAGATGCGCTAGCCAGATGGCGCTCTGCCTGGAGACTCTGTTTTCTGTACTCTGTTCAGGGTGGATTCTTGACAGGATGAAAGCAAGGCTCAGAGTCCGAGGGCTGCGCGTTCTCCCAACGTTCAGCACATTGGAAGGGCTTTTCAGGCCCCAGCGGATCTGTGGCCAGGTGGGTAGCCAAAAACAGCCCTAAACCTCAAAACCCTATAGCCTATAGCCTAAATCAATCTGAAATCCAAAACTCGAAGCTCTGAACCAAGAAAGCCCGAAACCCCCCCCCCCCCCCCTCCCCTAACCCTATACCCCTATAACCCTCAACCCCTCCCCAAAAACCTCAAACCTAAAAACCGCAAAACCCCTCAGGCGACCAGGCGAGGCCAAGCGATGCGCGGCTGGCTGCGGACCGTGCGCGGGAGGCCAGGACATGGGCCACCTTTGTCATAGTTGGGTAGCATTTTACATGTTTTAAGGGTACGTAAACCCAATAAGGAATATAAATTTTTATTTTTACATTTTTAAGGGTACTTAAACCCAATAAGGAATATAAATTTAAGTTTTTCGTACTATCCCAACCATGAACTGGCCACGACGTCCTCCTCTGGATTTTTTTTGGGGCATTCGGCGCTTGTGCTTGCCGGTAGGCAAGAAGACCTGGTGCTGACATCTGAAGGGAGGTTCTTTCGGGGTGCAGTTTTGCTGTTTTCTTTTCCGCAGGGCGCTGCCAGGAACAAGTTGCGGATCACCCAAGCACACCCAAACCTCAAAGCGTATGATGCCCACGGGATGCTCAGATGTCGTTAGATTTTTGTCAAAGGCTGGCCCATTTAGGGATGCTAGGGTTTAGGGTTTAAGGCTCTTAAGAAGGCACATCATCCCTAAACCCTAAACCCTAAACCCTAAACCCTAAACCCTAAACCCTAAACCCTAAACCCTAAACCCTAAACCCTAAACCCTAAACCCTAAACCCTAAACCCTAAACCCTAAACCCTAAACCCTAAACCCTAAACCCATCATCCCTAAACTACCACATCTTCATGTGGCGGAGGAGTCCAAGGCACAGCTGGACTCGCCGGGGGGCACAGAGGTCCGTGCAGGAACTGGGAACCGACCAGCTTCGCCCTGGCACGTTGGGTTTAGGGTTTAGGGTTTAGGGTTTAGGGTTTAGGGTTTAGGGTTTAGGGTTTAGGGTTTAGAGTTCTGAGCCCTAACACCCTGGAACCCAAAGACCCTTCTTGGCTCAAGGACGCTGATGAAGAAAAGGCTGAATTAGACACTTAGCATACCATCCTCTCACTCCCCAAGCCCCGTGAGCCGAAGTGGCAGGAAGTTCAAGAGAGCGGGACATAATGGACGCGCCCCCTCCACCCATCTCAGCACAACGAGCTCCAAAGGCATTGCCACGCGATTTGCTCCCGCAACTTTGACTGGGGTTCAGCGAGGCATCAGAAACGCGAGCTTATGGCCCCAGGTACATGTTTTTGCTACGGAGCCCGAATTGGCGGGCTTTGAGACATGACGGTTGCCGTGGTCCTTCTTGCCCAAAGGGCGGCGAAGCCAAGAAAGAAACCTACGGCCGGTGCGCGAAGCAGAGTTTCGGAATGCTTCTGATCGCATCTCACTCGAGTTGAAGCCCCATTCAGCCAGCTAAAGCCCCCTCAAACCCCCTAAAACCCCCCCCAAACCCCCTAAAACCCCCCCAAAGCCCCTACAAACCCCCTAAAACCCCCTAAACCCCCTAAACCCCGAGGCTGATGCGTGAGCTCTTCCGCCTCCAGGCCTGGGCTAAATAGCTCTCCCGGGCTTGGGTTTGTAGGGGTTTAGGGTTTCTAGTTTAGTTCCTTTACTTTTTTTGGTGTGTCTCTGTGTGTTTGTGTGGGTGGGTGGGGGAGGTTTGGTCTTCTGCCAGTCGGGTTTTAGGGAGGGTTTCCCGGTTTTCCAGTTCTTGGACTTTAGGTTTTGGACCTTTTCTGGGTTATAGAGGTTTAGGGTTTGCAGGGTTCTTGGTCTCAGGCAGGCTACAGTACTACAGGAGGCCCGGCAGCAAGGGCTGCGGGCTTAGGTTGAGGGCCTGCTATGGAAAAATCTGACTGGTGTGCCTTTTCTGGGTTTCTATTATGGTAGAACCCGGCTTTAGGCTAGCCAAGAGAATCGTGGATTTTGGGCCACCCATAGCAACCACCGCAGCAGCGCACAGGACCTCAACAAGAACGGCTTTCTTGAGGAGTGCCGGCCCTGGTTGAGGGATCCGGTGTTTGAGGCTTTTGGGACTTTGGGGCACACAGCCACGACGTTCAAAGCGGCTTCGCCACCGGTAACGGAAGCTGATGTGCGACTTTGGGGGCGCTTCGTATCACCAAGGCAGGAGCTCATCAAGTTGAACCAGAAGATTGTGCTCACCTCATCTGCTGATCCAGTTCGCCATTGTTCATTTTCATGTATCGACTTTTGACTTCCTGTAAGGCCCAAGTTTCAGGAAGGGTTGATTGTTGATTTCACTTGACCATGCATGGATGAACTGCCCGATCTGCCTGTCCGGATGGATGCCAGCAGCTGCCAAGGCCATGCTCCACTATGGCAAAGACTCCAAGGCCTTCAGAGACACTGTTGCAGCAGTAGGGCTTCCATAACACCTCCCCCCCCCCACCCCAACCCTGCCCCTACTCCCATGTCTTGCTTGGCTTGCACGCCCCCTGATGTGCAGAATGCCGACCGCAGCGAGGCCCGGCGCTGAGATCCCAAGACCCCAAGTGTTTTCCAAGTGTATCCGCCGGAGTTGCCATGTGTTAACATGAGCCCAGGTGGAGCAGAAGTACAGGAACCACTTCAGGGAGCACTTGGATGCCGAGGGCAAGCCGGTGGACTTCAACAGGCAGCACGAGAGAACAGCGGCAAAACGGATGGAACTTCGGCGCTTTCCTTGTGACCAGACTTTAACCCTAAACCCTAAACCCTAAACCCTAAACCCTAAACAGGTTCAAGGAGTACATGGTCGGCATGCTGGCCCTCCTGCGCAAGTGCTTGGGGGGAAGCCCAGTCTGTTACCCTTCACTTCAGTCCCTACCCCCCCCTATGACATCCAGGTTGGCGCCCTCATGGCTTCCGGGTTTCGGCCTTGCTTGGATTTCAGGATTTGCGTTTTAGTTCTAGGGCTGCCGGGCTTCGGGCGGCAAACGTTCAGGTCCTCGTTTGTGGCTATTTCTCGTTGGCATTGTTGTCTTGCTTGTCTGAAGCAAGCAACAAAACGGAGCCCCTGCCAGCGAGTCAACTGCAGAAAATACTTGCTGTTGCAGAATGTGGGGGCCTCGACCCCCTCAGCAAACACAATCAGCGGTGCATGAAGACAGTGAACCCGGCCCAAAGCCCTAGAATCTAACAACCCCAAAACCCAAGCCTCAAACCCCAAACCCGAAAAACCCCGATCAAGATTGTGGAATCCCTGCTGAGCGGTTCGTCCAGCTAGGCGGGCGCCGAAAGCAACCCCCTAACCCCTAACCCCCTAACCCCTAACCTCTAACCCCCAAACCCTAAACCCGAAACCCTGCGCGAGTGCTGGGCGGGTGGCAAACAAAACCCGCACCCTAAACCCTAACTTCTAACCCCTAACCCCTAACCCCTAAACCCTAAGCCCCCCTAAACCCCTAAACCCTAAGAGTTCCCGGCTCGCCAGAACAGCATCGACCCCGACCCGCGGGTACAGGAGATGACGCTGGAACAGCCGGGGGCCCTGTCCCAGGTACCTTACTGGTCCTTGGAGTTTAGGGTTTAGGGTTTAGGGTTTAGGGTTTAGGGTTTAGGGTTTAGGGTTTAGGGTTTAGGCACGTGAGAGAGCCCTCGCTGAAAAGGGTTTGTGAACCAGCAAGGCACAGTAGGCTTGCAGCGCGCAGGATTTGTGAGAGTGTTCTTCGACTCAAGCGGGGGGGGGGGTGGGGGGGTAAGGGCTCAGGGAGGCTAGTGTTCAAGGTTCAAGGTTTAGCGATCAGATGGCCGGGCTTTTGCAGTGTTTTGGGGGCTCGTGAGTCGGGCTCGAGTCCTGGCCCAAGGGGTGTCACGGAGGTTTAGGGTTTAGGGTTTAGGGTTTAGGGTTTAGGGTTTAGGGTTTAGGGTTTAGGGTTTAGGGTTTAGGGTTTAGGGTGTAGAGGATCGGGTTTATGGTGAGCAGAGTTTATTGGGTTTTGGGCTTAGGGTGGCGCAGTCGGTGTTCAGGGTTTAGGGCTTACACCTCAGGGCCGGAGCCTGAGCAGTCATGGGTCAAAAGGGTTGAGGCGAGACTTGGGCCTTGGGATGATTAGGGTAGACTCCGTTTGTCTGCATTCTTTTTGTGCATGCCAGCGGCATCTTGCAAGGCCGAGAAATAGATTACAACAAAAACAACGAAAAGGAAGTTGTATAAAGACATCTATATACTATGATGTATTTATATATTGTGCTATGTTACATATTATAAATGTATCATATGCCTCTAAATCATATTATATTCGAAATGTGTATATATACATATATGTACTTGAAGCAACGTTGCTGCTCCGATTGGTCTTGCGCATGGGCCGCATGGGCTCCTTGTGTCATCCAGCTGTCCCTAGTAACTAGTCGGAAGCTCGCTTAAGGTTCCCTTAGGGTTTGGGTGGACAGGGGGCTCGGGGGTGGGTTTAGGGATTAGGGTGGTTTCGGCCTTAGGGTCCGAGGTTTACGGCGGATCCCGAACTCTTCTACCTCAGCCCTGCATGCTGATAGGTGGATCGCGGAAGCGGAGTCCGGGCGGGCGGCCTTCTTTTGTAATTCCATGTCCAGCCAGCCGGGATCCAAGACTTGGGGCCCATGTCTGTCTTGAGAGCGCCATAATATCCTAAACCCTGAACCTGAAATTTGCTCCCAGATTTGGGCTTCTGACGTTGGTATGTGCAAGGCATTCTCTACTGCAATTGCCCCAGCTTGGCTAGGTGCCAACACAAAACCCTGAACCCTAACCCTGGCTTGTGTGCTTTAGCCTGGAAGCCCTGGTTTGTGCTTCCTGACTTCAAGAACAGTCGCAGCGCAAAGGCCCGAAGTCCGCAGCATGCCGCACCCCATAGAATTACTCACCAATCATGTATAAAGAGCCGTATATACACACACTCACCAAGAACAGCTATATATATATATATATATATATATACACATGGTAACCCCTTCCCATGATGGGGTGATTTTTATACATTTTTTGATTTAAGTGACCTTCATGACTTGAAATCGTATAGGTTTTTATCGGCCCTGTCGGCGTTTTTATCGCTAGCTCATAGCCCACTCTCCTGCCAAGACCCATCTATTTCCAAGCAGAAACGTGGATCATGGGGGGGGGGGGGGTGAGCATGTATACAAATATATATCTATACATACATACATGCATGCATACATACATACATACATACATATGTATACATGTATATATGCATATATGCACATAGAACCCCTACCTCAACCATCTTTCTCAAGTAACGATTGATGGAACGAGTTGCATTGACACGGAGTCAAGGCTCAGGGCTTCTGCAAGGCTTTGCAAGATGCTTTGTAAGTTTAAGGTCCTTGCTGCGTTTTGGGGGGAGGTACTAGTCGTGAACACGCTAGTGAGAGCCGCATTCGATTTTGCAGTGGCAGCTGCTTGTTTGGCGCTCCAGCAGGGACGCCAAATGGACTTGTAATAGTCACAAGCGAAGAACGGTAAGCTTCCCATGTCCCCATCAAAGCCTGCGCAGGTAGATTTGTGGCTCAAGTGGGGTGGGACGCCTCGGCCGTCTGTCCCCCTCCTGAGGCAAGCAACCCGGCAAGAGCGACAGTTTTCCAAAGTGAGCCGGGATGTGCCAGACTCATCTAGACATCCCCTAGACCCACGCCCGCAACTTCCCAGATTAGGGGTACCTATGGTCTGGGTGGTGGGGTTCCTTCGAATCCAATTTTTGGTTGCTTATCGCGAAGTTCCTTAGAGAGGGCCGCGAGAGAGAGAGAGAGAGAGAGAGAGAGAGCGCGTAGCCATTTTGGCTCAAGTCTGGGGGAGGAAACCCGCCCTCCGAACCTGGGCTTGAGCCGCCGCGCCGCCCGGCTCAAACCCCACAACCCACACCGGCCACTACACCCTAAATTGGGGGTTGCGTCCAGGGGACATTGACTGATGGCTTCTTTTCTTGTCCAGGACCGCGGGGAAACCTAATTGCCGTGTGGGGGCAGGGGAAGGCGCCACTTCAACAACACAATTTGCCTTGCCTAGGCTCTTCAGTCTTTGCCACGACCCTCACCTTCGCCTTAGTTCTTTGTCTTGGCCTTGTCTTTCCAAGACCTTCACATGAGCACACCCATCTCAGTCTAAAATTCCCCACAAACGCCATGGAACAAGCAGAGCGGTCGGGGGCACCACCACTTCGAGAGCAAGCCGACGGAGAGGCCACCCAACAGGGAGTACCAACTGAAGGAGAACAACTCGTCGAGGTGGCTATCTTGCACATGAAGCGAGCGGTGGAATGGACGGCGGCAACGTGCACGCCCCAACACATCGAGACAGTGGTGGGGATGCTCCATGAATCCGACCCGCACCAAGTGGTACAATGGTTCCAATCCACCCTCAACACCCTCTACCCCTCCGAAGACCACAGCAACCACACGCAAAGGGGGCAGGAGGACCACCAGGATGGCCACCAAGGGGACTACAAGGAGGACAACGACAAGAACACCAAGATCAAAGAAGAAAGAGCCGACTGGGGAAGCACCAGCGACACCGACAACGACAAGGACGTAAAAGGGGTGAAAGATGTCAAGGATATTGAAGACTACAATGCCGAGGGGCCATGTGCAACACCATCGGTCCTTGAACAGCATCACCTCCTCGACTCAACGACCCAACAGGACGACCCAGGAGCAGGCCAAGGGGAGCGATGAGAAATACCATCGGCTCAAGAGACACGCACCACATCCAAGAGCAAGGCCAAACCACCGGGAGAAGGAGACCGACGACAACACCAAGAAGAACGAGAACAAGGAGAAGACGACGGGAAGGACGACTACGAAGAGGTGACAATCGAAGCAGAACACACTGATGAACGTGGGAGTGCCAATCAACGATGGCCAATAACAACAACTACAACTACAACCACGGAAAAGGGCAAAGGCACCCAATCGCTACGACCGGCAGAACCACAACCACCCGAGAAGAGAGCATGGTGGAGACTGCGAACGCCACTGCCGCTGAGGAGCAACCCCTCCCCTACTACATGGGAAGCCACCCAACGAAAACGTCGACAACAACTTCCACTTCAACACCAACCTTCCACGTTGAAGAGCCTGCGAGGGCCAGAAAGAGACTATCCAGCCGGAGCAATGCCCACTACACCGTCAACCAAAAGAAAAGAGGAGCCATGTGAAACACCATCGGCATCCTGGATGGGGCAAAGCAGGACAGGAGGAAAAACAACTTGGTCAATGCCACCGACGGGGACACCCATTGGAAAGAGCACAACCTCGACCAGAATAAACCAGGGGGAGCCATGTGAAACACCATCGGCGTCCCGGACAGGGCGAAGCTGGACAAAAGGAGAAAGGACAACTGAAACAATGACACGGTCCAGGACACCCATTGGGGCGAGCACAACATCGAATCGGGGGCCATGTGAAAGACCATCGGCTACCCAAGAAAGGCGCGTGAAGAGAAGAACCACGTCACCGGACGATATTCCACAGCGAGAACGACCCCCACTTCCACGACTACGACCAACCGGAAAAGGGAAAAGCCGTGCGGGGGGCGACCGACACCACAGCAAGGGGCAGTCCCGGAGCCACAACGAGAATCTCGAGGAGCAGATCAGACGCCTGGCCAAGTACAACTGACAACTCCCTCCTCCACAACATCCACTACCACCACCACAACTCCACCCTACCACTACCTCAACATCGTCCACATCTGAGAAGAAGTGAGCAGAACCTAGTACATAAACTTGAGTAACCGATCTTTTCCAACCGTGACATTAGTTCAAAGGAGCGAAGCCTCCGTGCAACACAGCAGTAAACTCAACGGGAATCCTAGTTTCTTCAGTTTCTGTTTTCCGTACGTTCAGCCTAAATAGCAACTCTTTTCCGGACTTAGCACGAATTCGAATGAGCGAAGCCTCTATGCACTACGCAAATCCTCGGAAGTCCTCACCACTCCCCCTTTTCCCTCGTGGGTCCCTGGGTGTTGGTCGTTGGAGTTGGGGGTTTTGTTTGTTGGGAAAAGGGGGGCCCTGTGTTTCAAGGTACCTGGTCACCGAATCTGTGACATGGGAACCAAACTTGGAGGGGTAAGGTCCTAATTAGTGGGCAGGATCCACCTTTCGATCCGCACTCAGACCGTGCACGTTTTTGCCTTTCCCCCATTTGTCCCAATGAGGGCGTTTTTAGTCACCATAGTCGTGGTCAAGGTGCCTGGGAAGTTCTCTTTCTGATCACCGTGTGTGGCTAGCTGTAGTACTTACGTTGCCCGGAGCCCCAGACACCGATCAGCCCGCTGCACTCTGTAACGCACGCCTTCGGGCGGCCCTCTCCTAAACGGGGGGGGTTAAGTGCGCAGAAAGAAAGAAAGAAAGAGAGAGCGCGTGGGCTTCCTCCAATGAGGATATGAAGTACTTGGGGTATAAACGGGGCACCACTAACTATCAAAAGTCCATGCCCCAAATCCATCGCCACCCTTGTTGCTCCGATCACAGGAGCTCAGAGGGGGGAGGCCGACCATGGCGAGTCCAGGCGCCAGCATGGGAGTGTCTCAGGGCAGCTTTGGCGGGTTGAGGGTTTAGGGTTTCACTAAATTCGAAGCTGGTGTGTCCCGAGGTGTAACAGCTGATGTTTCGACTCCTCCCTGCTTGCGCTTGTTTCGGAGGGTGCGGTTGCCCGGTGGTGCGAGTTGACAGAGACGTGCAGTGCTCAGACTGCTGGATCGCGCTGTTCGGCTGGACGGGTGCAGATCCTTCAAAGTAGCGCCAAGTATTGGAGCAACTAGGCACTAGTTTCCTTTGCCTTCCAACATTGGTGAATCCATCCGCCTCAGAACCATGCTTGCAGCACGGTGAACTCGCAACAGGCAGAGTGCAGACAGCAGAAGCGCGAATGCCACTCCCCAGACGCTGATGTTTAACTGGCGCATCCAAGGGAGCCTGCTGTTAGCATGGGTTCCTGTTTTGCGCAGCTGGCCGTGGGACAGTCCGGAAAGCAAGCCGCCGGCGTCGCCATCTTTTAACGCAGATTCGTTGGAGCGATGGCTGAACTTCAAGCACGTGCTTGATATAGAGAAGGCTGGAGTTGCGGACGTGCAGGACTCCACTTGGGTGCGGCCACGAGATGTGCCTACGATTGAGAATTTGACTTTGGCAGACTATCGTGAGGCATATGAGGGCCAAATACCAGTGGTGTGGCGAGGGGCATACAAGAACGTAAGTTGCATGGAAGACGGCTGGGTCGAGAAGGCTGTTATGCGGCCTTTTGGGCGAGATCGAGTAATCTTTGTCGGTTTCGGAAAGAATGAAGAGCGCGTCATGTCCACCAAGCTGGAGACGTTCCTTCGCCATGTCAACACAAACACCCAGGATGCGTGGTCGTACGTTCAGGATCCCTATTTCCTCCACAGACATCCCGAACTGCTCAGCGAATGTCCTCCAATGCCTGCGGTGCTCCAGAACGAAGATCAGTTTTCCTTGATGCCGGCAAAGCTGGCGCCTCAAAATGCGACCTTACTTTGGGGAGGACGCTTTTCTAGGTCAAGACTTCATGTGGATTCATACAATTGGACTGGTACAAACCTGGTCCTACGTGGAGAGAAGATGGTGAGGCTCATCCCACCAGGAGGCCACGATGCGAAGCTCGAGGTGTCGCTTCGCTCTTCAGGTTCTGCACTTGAGTGCATCAACTACAATTCTGCGGTGGACCTTTTCGAGGGCGCACCCCAGGGCGTGCCTTTGTGGGAAGCCAAACTCACATCTGGAGACTTGCTGTTGATTCCTTCCGGCTGGTGGCATCAGGCAGTGAATCTTGGGAATACCTTGGCCTTGGCAAGTGGCTTAATAACCCCTGAAAGCGGATCATGGTCGGCAGTGGCGGAAGTGGTCAGATTTCACCACAAGGTGCACCCAGACTGGGCATGGGGCAAGTTACCATCGCCTCCTGTACCTGGAGTGAAGCTGACAAAGGATGAAGCAAGGCGCCTTTTTCGCAGGTTCATCAACTCATTGCCGCAAGGCGTCTTCAAGGCTGCAGACACGTGGCATGCCAAAACAAAGAAGCCCCAACGAAGCCATCGTGAGCCAAAGAATGATCTTTGATGCCTAACGAGGACGAGCAACGATCGCTTCAGAAACTTCAGTGATCGACGCAGACATCTGGGTTGTGTCGTTTGAATGCACCGTGGAAAGCCCGTGTGCTGCATCGAGGCTGAGCTGGATTAAGACGGGCAAGGCAAGATACCCATTGATGAGCGAGAACGAATGCATCCTGCACGGTGTGACTTCCAGGTTTGCGCGGCTGGCGGTAAATCAAAAAGGTTTCCCGGCAGTCACAAAAGCCTCTTAGAGACGGAGGCTTAGGGATTTTCGAGGTTTCTAGAAGCCGCGTGCAGGCTGCATCCTGGCGGGAAGACCCGTGGTTACGCGACTGGGCGGCAGCCAAATACCAGACCCAGCCGTATAGGAGTTGTATAGGGTACGTAGGGTTTCGGGTTCAGGGACATCGGGTCTGTGGGGGTAATTTAGGGCTTACCTACCTGCCCGTTGGGTGCAGGATGGCCGATCTTTCAGCCCCTTTACGGGGGTTCACTCTCCTAAGTCCGAAGCCCTAAGCCCTAAGCCGTAAGCTCTAAGCTGGGCATCGATGCTTGAGCCCGGATGTGGGATGTTCTGCTAATGGTAAAATGGTGTGGCGACCTCTTAGTGAATCCGGTCTCTGAACCGTCTAACAGCGAGCCCCTCATCCTGAACCTTTGAACCCTGTACCCATTCGATCACGGCGCCGAACTACCTGGCCTTGATCTTTTGCGCCGCAAGCTGCTCTCAGTGTGCAAGTGGCCTGGGAGCCCCTGAAACTCTCATCTCATTGTACGAGCCAGGATGCTCTGCTCTCCAGGCACTCTATCTGGACCGTTCTCGACAACACTTGGCCCCCTGTTTTTGGGACACTTAGGCTTGCAAGGAACCCTAAACCCTAAACCCTAAACCCTAAACCCTAAACCCCTAAACCCCTAAACCCTAAACCCTAAACCCTAAACCCTGAATCCTTCTTCAACCCTAAGCCCTGGCCGCCATGTCGGATGGCAGCCGGCCGCGGGGTCTGCGGAAGCTTGCCTGCACCACCAAGCCCCTGAAGAACCGATTCCCTCGACTTCCTGCTTCTCAGTCAGGGAATGAGGGAATGAGGTAACGTACCATATATATATATATATATATAAATGGTTCTAAATGTAGAATCCCTTAAAGGGTCCATTAGGAGGACATGAGGTTCCTCATTCCGCCATCCCCTACGTCGAGCCAGTAGGCAAAACAGCCCACTCGCTTCGAAGCTCTGAGAGGCACCTGAACGTGCCCGGACATGACTCCGACGACGACATGTGGAGTGTGGCCTCGGAGGATTCGGTTGCCTTGAGGGTTTCGGGGTTTGGGGTTTGGGGGTCCAAGGGTTTTTGGGGTAGAAGCACCCTTCTAAGCACGTAGAACTGCCTGGAGTAGTCGCAGACCTCTCTCTCTCTCTCTCTCTCTCTCTCTTCGGCATCCTTCAGTTCGTTCAGCTTCGGCAGATGTCAAAAACAAACCCAGGTGGCTAAACTCGGGGCACCAGCTCAGCAGACAACAGGCTAAGGCAGAACTTCCAGCAGAGGAGAGGGGGGCTCCTTTGGACGCTCTCTGTAAGGAAAAGAAGTATCCAACATGGCGAAAACAGGACCCGAATCTAGACTCCTGAGACCTCAGCCCCCAAGCCCTACTTGCGCATTCTACACCCCACGTCCTGACATCCCCTCAAGCCTGTGCCCTAAAACCCTAAAAACACCCCTGAACCCTATAAACTCCAGAAAGGAGGCGGCCTCTGAGTTTCAAACCTCCTCGGCCACGCCGGGGGCCCGGGGGTGATCGGAGTGGCTGGCAGTTTTTACTTGTAAACAGTTCTCTTGTAGAAGCATGTGTGTTGGTATCCTCAGCAGGCTTCGGGTTCATGCTCTATGCCTCGTTTCGGTTCCAACGTTTACGGCCCCGCGACCCCAAAATCCCAGGTTCGGGGTCCTCAGCCCTGGCAAAAGGCCAGAAACCCTAAGCCTCAGTGAGCGGAAGCTCCAAAATTGATGTGCGTTTGGCTGCCCGGGCCTTCTGTCGCTCCTCATATTGATTGAGAAGACGTAGTGGGATCCGGGTTACGGTAGCATCAACAATCAGCCATCTACCTTTTCTTCGGGAGCCCAAATGAGCTTCAGGCTCATGCCCCCATATAACTTTAACATAGGCCACCCACGACACCCATGATTGATAGCCAAACAGGATCCTGTACGGCCCTAGCCCAGCAAAGTTCTCCTGCGCCAGGCTGCAATGCCTCCTGCGCGCCCATGAAGCCACCGGCGTGCAAGATGCCGAGGCCTACTCGCTTGCATGGATTATGATTACATATGTTGGGTGCAAAAGGGCCATGCGGCAGCCTGGCCCGGGGGCTTTGCCTTCTTTCATTGGGTGTCGGGACAAGGAGATGCAGATGCAACGAGGGGCTGGGATGTTTGCCCTTTTCATAGCGGTTCAAGGATTGCAAAAGGGTTGCTTATTCGATCTTACAAGTCTTACTCTTCAGAGGAACAGCAGGTAGATGCCAAGAACATGGAAGAGAAAACCAACATCAACATCGCCAAACAAGACAGCTGGAATGAATGGTACCAGGTAAGTGTTTGGGGACCTAGGTGGTCCAAGCCCACACGAAGTGTACAGTTGGGTATGACCCTCCCAGAGGCAAACGGCTACCCGAAATCCCAAACCGAAGCACCAATCCCCAAACGTGAGAGAGACTGCCAGCCGGGCCCGTCATGTGCGAGTGTGAGAGCCGAAGGCGTGAGCCCCAACCCCAAAACCCCTCAACCCTCAACCCTCAACCCTCAACCCTCAACCCTCAACCCTCAACCCTCAACCCTCAACCCTCAACCCTAAACCCTAAACCCTAAACCCTAAACCCTAAACCCCAAACCCTTTTTCAAACACAATTTCGCTTCATCACTCAGACTTGGAATCCCTGTGGAGTGGTTCGTCCAGCTATGCGGGTGCCGAAACCCTCAACCCTCAACCCTAAACCCTAAACCCCAAACCCTAAACCCAGGGTTTCAGGGGGCTCCCCCCCACCGCCAGGACCGGGTGAAGCGCTTTGCCGACCATGGCCCTGAGCTTCTGAGCTGGTGCCCTTGGGTTTAGGGTTTAGGGTTTAGGGTTTAGGGTTTAGGGTTTAGGGTTTAGGGTTTAGGGTTTAGCGGTACAGAAGGCACTGATCTACACAACCTTCTTCAGCCCTAAAGTGCCCCAAGCCTGAGGCCCTGAAAGCCCCGCTGTCGCCTAAGGCCCCGAAACCCCAAGCCGTCGAGTCTTATGTGGTCAGCCCCAAATTTGAAAAAAAACCAGAAAATGTCATCAAAGGTACTTTTACCCTCTAGGGTGTTGGGTCAAACCTGAGCCCCTATAGGGCTCAGGGATGAGGGTTTCGGGGGACATTTCTCCAACCAGGTACGCCCGGCGTGTGGCGGAGCTGGAGCAGGAGAGGGGGCCTCAGGCAAGACCCTGGCCCCTTCGTCTTTCTCTCAGCATCCCGAAGTTTTAGAGGGTTGAAGCCCTACACCGTGACAGGTGGAGACTCCGGGCCCTCTCCCCCAACTCCCTGGTGCCCAAAATCCCCCACCGAAACTGCAGCCCTCGGCTTCCGAGGAACAAGTCGCTGCGAAGCAGCTACCTCAAGGCCCATTCTGGGCCAAGGGGAAAGGGGGCACTTTGAACCGTAAGCTACTCCTAAAGGCTTTGGGTGTTACCATGGTCCAGTTTTGCGGTTTTTCCCCAACTTGGTGCATCTCTGGCTCTGGAGCTGGCATCAAAGCCTGCAGTTTGGGGTGTACGGCTTTTCGGTTGCAGGACAAAGCCTCAATCCTCGAGACCGCAAGACAGCCTGCAAAGGAAGCGAGGGGGCCGCAACACTTCCGCATGGACTCTGCAGAGGAGCGCGGGAAAGGTCATGGTAGAGGCCAAGGCCTGCAAAGACAGGTTCGAAGCCCCTGAAACCTAAACCCCCGGTAAAGATGTAGAAAAAAGGAGGCTTTCAGCCTCCTGTAGGGTTTGGGGTTTGAACGTATCATCTTTGGAGTGTACAGGGGTGCCGTCTCGTGTTTGGGGCACAGGCTGGCAGAGCATTTTTGTATCCAGGAGGAAGAGGCCGCTGGCCCGGAGTCGGATGCCTCTCGCCAGGCCGAGTGCTGCAAGCGGTGATTTTGCGTAATCGTTTGGAGGTCATAGGCTCTTTTGCCAGTGGAGCTTGCTCAGCCTTGCTCTTTTTCAGATCCTCTCCGGAATCAGAAGTCCGCGCAACTTGTGGCTGCATAGGCCTGACGAAGTGTCACCAGCTTGGGCTCTAAGGTGGGCATGCCGCCCTCGAGGATGCGAGAGCACTCGTCCTTGCAGAGCCTTTTCGAAGTCGATTGGGACAACTTGGGCACGGAGATGCTGGAGAAAGCAGCTGGCCTCAAGATAATGGCGACTGCATCCATATTGTGTATCTACAGCTAGTGCACAGAGTCCCGGAAGCAGTGGCAGAAAACCGATCCCAAACCCAAATCCAAGACGTGGTGGCTTCTGAGGCCAAACGGCACTGTCCCCAGCCTCTGCCAACGCAGGCGATCGATAAGGAGGCACCCTCTCCATCCTTCTTTCCGATTGATATGGAATCGACACGACCTTGTCGTTGCGCTCGATGCATCTAGCCAACCAAGATGCCCAAGTGGGTGTTTCTATACACTAAGATCGCCTTTTGTGGGTTCCTAGGAGAACGTGGAGTCTATGTTTTTTTGTGCCAGAACGGGGACCCTGATTCTGAACTGCCTGCAGGTGCTTCATGATCCGCGGGAGAACCTGTTGGCGCTGGACCGCCTGCTGTGTGCACTACCCGAGTCGCAACTTGCCGGCAGCCTCCCCAAACCCTAAACCCACCCAGAACCCTGAGTCCTGGGCCAAGCCATGCCAATGTCAGCCCTAAACCTCAAAAATCTAAAGCCCTCAACTTCGACAAGGGACCCTCAAACTTGGAGAGAATGCGGAGCAGTTTCCACTTCTTTCCAATCCTTCTAAGCGAACATCTTCTTCCTTTGAGTTCTGCTCAGAGATGCCGAGATCTTTGTCGCAATCCATCGTGTGAGCTGGACTAGTCTGGGTCGTCCGGTCCTTTAGGCTGGCTTCTTTGCGACTGGGCGTAGTTGTAGTGCCTGCCTTGTGCGTGAGCATAAACTGGAAGTAACAAGCCCCAAACCCATAGACCTCCCCCACACAACAGAATGAAGACCCAAAAGCAACTTCGAGCCCTGCGAGCCAAGACTTGACTTTCGAGGCAGGCCCAACTCATCTGGTGGCAGTTTGCCCGATATGAGTCTGAGCTGGGGTACTTGCGCTCAGTCATCGCCTCTTACGAGGACCATGCTCATAAGAGTAAGAACTGTAAACAGACTGGTGCTCATAGGGGTGGTTGCACTACGGGTAGCACTGGTTCTCGAGTTCTTACCGCAAGGTAGGGCTGAGGTGCGGCATGTCTTTCAAGGTTTGAGATGCAAAGGTTCGGAAAGGTTTAGGGTGGCTAGGCTCACTCTCCCGTGCTACCAGATGCCGATCAAAGGGATCTCTGGTTCCGCTGTCCAGTCAGGCTTGCTAGCTTTCCCGCTTCCTGGCCGATCTTTCAGGCCTGTTTACTGGTTTCACTTCTTTTGAGTTCCTTTTCAAGCCTCTTTGCAAGTGAACTTGAATGCACATGAGTGCGCGTGACTCGAGCCTGTGCTACTCAGTCATAAAATCTCAACTTTGTCCAGGTTTCTGCCCGCCCTCAATAGGTCAACAGGAGGAGTTGGCTTGTTTCGTCTTTTGCACGCCGCTCTCAGAAGTAGGAGCAGGCGGTGACAGTGAGACTCAAGCTGAAGTTTAAGTCCCTGCAAGAGGAGATCTGCGTGTCCGCAGTGGACCCGGCGCTTGGTGACGTGAGGGCTGAACTTCCTGAGACTGGAGCGCCAGAAAAAGAGAACTTGTTGGATTTCACACGGGCCCTTCTTGCGGGCTGGATGTCGAAGCCGTTTCTTGTAGTGTTGGGTTCAGGCCGGACGCTGGTGTGACATAGGTTTCCTCAAGGCACCCAAAATGGTAGCCCAGCGCCCCCAAGCCCCTGCTCCCGTCCCCCAACTCCGCCTAGAGACCTCCTAGGCAGACTTTCTAGCACATCTCCACAAAGCACCCTTGTTGGGTTTGGGGTGGTTGAGAAACATTGCATGTGGGAATACATGTGCTCCCCCCCCAAACCCAAGGCTGCATGGCACGCCGGTTGCCGCTCAGCCCGCAGGGGCACGGCCAAGCAGAGAAGGGAAGGACCCTGACGACGGGTTTTGTTCTAGATTCGGAACCCAAAGCCCTAAGCCCTAAACCCTAAGTCCCTCTTTTTAGGAGGGGCGCCTTTTGAGCTTTCAGTGGGTTGCGCTTTTCGGGTGTCGGCAGGGCTCGCTTTTGTGTATGTGCTCCAGTGGTAATTACCAATAGTATCCTCTTATGCTCCCTAGATTTTCGTGATGACAGCACCTTGTTGCCGTCTTGGACCTCCTGGCTATTGTCTGGGCAAAAAAAGCCCAGAAGAAGCAGCCCTAAACCCTAAACCCTAAACCCTAAACCCTAAACCCTAAACCCTAAACCCTAAACCCTAAACCCTAAACCCTAAACCCTAAACCTTAAGCCCTAAGCCCTAAGCCCTAAACCCTAAACCCTAAACAGGAGAGGCCCTCTGCGCCATCAAAAGCGGTGCTCCTTGGGGCCATAGGTGGGCTGACGACGCCCGGCTGGTATGGGCTCAAGGTTTGTTGGGCGGGGGTCTAGGGTTTAGGGTTTAGGGTTTAGGGTTTCGTGGTAGCTGTGCATAAGGAGCCTTAGAGGCATCCGAAACGAGACCCTAATGCAGAAGTTCCCACCATAATTCGGTCTGAGGTGCATGGAAGAGTGCCTGACACTGGTAGCGAACTGTTTTAGCGCGCATCTTGTCTTGCCGTGCTCTGACTGTCCCAATTTTACTCCCCAAGCATTGAATTACAAAGTTAGGAACCGGTTTCCCGTGGCTGCCGAGTTGACGGAGTTTACCGGCAAGCCGTGCAAGAGGGTTTTGGTGTTAAGGGCTTATCTGTGCCGTGAGGGAGGCAGTGATGAGGCAGGCATGTGCCCGGATGCATGCCCATCGATTGGAAGGTGTTTTTCCTTGCATTGATGCGGGAGTGCAGCCGAAGCCCAAAGCTCGAATGGCAGTTCTTTGCATCGTTCGGGGCCAAGTGCATCTTGTGGCAAAGGCTGGCGTCTGGTCGCCCCCCAGCCGCACGCAAGACGTCTTTTCGAAACAAGGTCAGCCTAGATAGGTGGCAGGACGCCCTTCTTGGCGTGAGGTGACTAGGCAGGCGGCAGGACCCTTACCCAAAAGTGACTTGAGCACCCGCAGTGGATGCCCAGCCGCCCAAGTAGGCTGACAGCCGGACACCCTCGCCATAGCCTTACTCCCAGTAGCAGTGGCCCATAGTGCCATAGTGGCCCCACCAGGCCGGTCCACCAGGCGGGGAGATCTTGTGCTGATGCAGGCCGGTTTCGTTTTTGGGATCGGGTTTCGGGCTCAGGGTTTCCAATGCCCGTACTTAGAAGACTGTTTTGGAAGTGGCGAGACGTCTGCGTGCAGGCGCGTGGTGATTATCGCGTGTATCCGGCGGCAGCTTGGCTTACAGTGTTGCATGCCGAAGCTTACCGGATCTTTGTCTTTGGCAAGTTTCGGAGCAATGGACTGGGAGGGTTCTCACCAGCTCATAAGCTCAGGAAGCGGTCCTTGGCGAGAAGGATGCCTGCGGAGTAGGCGGGTGTCGTTGTCTGCTTGGTGTTGCCCTGCCCTGGAGTTCTTAGGCTCCCTGCACACTACCCTGAACCATCCCGAACCTAAGCCTTGATGCTGATCTGTGCAGGAATGATTGCAAACATGGAAAAGCCTGCCAGCCACGACCTGCTGGAAGCCTCCCGACTAGGGTTGCTTTCGGAGGTACCTTTTTGGGCTCGGCCACTGGAAGATCTGTGTCATCGGAGTCATAGGCCATCCCAAGAGTCCTGGCGAGCCAAGCCGTGGAGCCCAGTGTTCAGTCCAAGGTCGCGCTGCGTGCGCTCTCCTGCATGGAGCACCGTGGGGCGTGCAGCGGGGGAATGGACAGCAGCTGGTCAGCCACGGAGCATTTGCAGACTGTTTGGGATGCATTGTACATCGAGAACTCGCGGTAGATGAGAGGAGCTCCTGCTGGCTCCTCCACATTGGTGTTTGTGACTACGCAGAAAACTCCCCCCCGAGTCAGCAGCTTGAGTTTGGTACCGATATGTACCAATGCCACTAAGGCAACATCTCGCCGCTTGTCTGGCCTAGTATCCCGCTTGCTTGGCGTCCCCTTATCAGCTGACTCCTGCTGTGCTGTTTGTGTTGTCCATCTTCCGTGGTTAAACTGGGCCAGCCAGGCAGCTGGTCTATACCCTTAGGGTGTGGGATCTCTGCTCACTGTCTGCAGGATCTGCGGTGGCGATGATAGTGGCGATGGGGCTGGGGTCATGACGCAGATACCGTCAGAAGCTCAGACGGTGTCGAAGCAGGGGAGGCTCCTGCTTCACCAGGATCTCCCATTGGCAAGAGCAAAGAGCTTAGATGAACCCTCAGTTGTCCTGCCTAACCTAAACCCTTCATCATGGGAATCAGGGAGGGGGGACGTCGTCAGGAGGGGACAACGGACCTGAGGCTTTTCGGGCCAACCTCCCTCAAGACCCCAAAAGAGGTCTGTAGGTTTCCGGGTGTGAAGGGGAGCCTTTGGAGTCAAGACTCTTGACCAAAGAGCCTTAAGCCCAGATGGGAGCTCTTCGCCAGCGACGTGAACCTCCCGGAAGACTCCGGCACGTGTGCGGTGGGGATGCTCTTCCTCTCCAAGGCTCGGGAGGCAAAAATCAATCCCCGAAACCAGCAAAGGCCCCTCAACCCTAAACCGTCCCTTAGACCTCCCAGACCTTCGATGGTCTTTTTGGTGAGGGCTGTTCGGTTTAGGATCACGTGCCCATTGTGGTGTCCTTTGGGGGAAATGAAATGGGTGTAGGGTCGCTCTGGTCATACACTTGCCGTGCGCTTCCTCACGATGACTCGGGTGCATAGGTGTTTTGTGTGCGATCGCGGGATGAAGCTGAAGCTTCCTGAATGGAAGTGGCATGTGTGCCGGCAGCTTCAAGGTCCGTTCTTCTCAAGAGGGTGGTGCTAAGATGTGCTAAGCCTTGAGGGTTGAAAGTTGCTTTCGGGGGGGGCTCTGACGAGTCGCGAGCTGGAGCACTCCTGCAAACCCCCGTGCCTGCAATTTTCAAAAAGGAGGCAGATCTCCGCATCGACGCGAAGATGAAGCTGGAAAGCTCTCTTTTGCAGGAGCTAGAGGGTGACTCTTGGCGCCAGCCAGCCAGTAGCTGGGGAAGTTAGGCACTCCTTCTCAGGAGGGCTTTGAGATCCTCGGCTACCGGATTGTTCCCGTCGATGCGACTGTGCTCGGTGGCTCAGGCAGCATGTCAGCCCCAAGCCCAGCTAAAAGGCGACAAGAAACCCGAAGCCTAGCACCCTAAAGCCTGGCCAGAACCAATTGCAAGAGGCCGTTCTGCCATGTGCTCTGAAGTCTTTTGGGAAGGTCGTTGTAGGTAAGGCCTGATTTATCATCTTTGGGTGATGGCCTAGTACCAGTTTGATTCTCCGAGCTAAACCCCTAAAACCCCTAAACCCCTACCCCCTTAACCCTTAACCCTGTACCCTAAACCCTAAACTGCCCTTATCGGCTGCCATGCCTTGAGAACCCCAGATTCGATGTTCCGAAGTCAGTGTCTATAGAGGGTGCTGGAAGTTTCAAGTACCTTAAACCCCTAAACCCTAAACAAAGACAGCCCCCCCAAATGGGAGAAGCCAAGTGTCCCAAACCCTATGAAACACTGCTACAACCAGGACCCTGAAACCAAATAAACCCCTACAACCCCTGTAATCCGACCCGACAAAGCCCAGCCTCTAAACCCTCTAAACCCTCTAAACCTCTCATGATAAACCCTACCAAGCCCCGAAAAGCCCTCTAAACCCTCTAAACCTCTAATGATAAAACCCTACCAAGCCCCAAAAAGACAAACCCCTCAAAAACCGATAAAACCCTACTAAGCCCCAACAAAAAGACAAACCCTTCAAAAACCCCTGCGGGGCCCAGGAGAGCGCTCGGCACAGACGGAGCCCTGGATGGACCGCAGGGTTTGGTGTGACCTGAGGGTTGTAACTTCAGGTTTAGGGTGTAGGGTTTAGGGTTAGGGGTTAGGGTTTAGGGTTTAGGGTTTAGGGTTTGGGGCTTCCAGGGGTTTTAGGGTTTCGGGTTTAAGGTAGCTTGTGCGAGTCTGGATTCAAAGAAGGGTTGCTTAGGGTGTTTAAGGTGTCTTCTTAGGGTTTTGAAAGGTATCGGCAGAGGGGTCTGCGGGGTTTATTGAGGCTTTCTAGGAAGTTCCTTATGGGGTTTAGGGCCCTACCCAGACCCTAAACCCTAAACCCTAAACCCTAAACGTGAAAACACGGAGGCTTTTCAATCGGACGGCATGCCATGAACACTGTTCAGGAAATGAAATAACAGAAACACCAAATCTCGTGTGCAGGAGCAAATCTTTGTGTCCCATCCGACGGCACGGGATGCGGAGATGGAGAGCCTTCTGCGCCGCGGCACAGTAAAATCAGAATAAGAAGAGTCACACCACTCTCAAAGGAGTCTTACACGTAACAGTAAGTATTGTGATTAGTAAGATTAGAGACGCAGTAGTCTTCGAATCAGCCAGTGGATCTGGGGGCTGGAACACCAGAGCCCCCAAAACCTCACAAGGGAACCCTGAAGAACTGGCAGCCCCAAGTCAGTCTCCCAGGTACATCGCGCGCAAGCGCGTGGAGGATACGCTGTCCTATGAGGCCCTCTACGTCGCCTCGCTGTCCCCGAAGACCATCGTGTACAAGGCGGGGTCCGCAAGCAGGGGGAGGCAGGCCCCAAGAGCCTTAACCTTCACAACAGAAACCCATATTGCATGACCTGCAAGAACCCTCTAAGATTCTTGTAAGAACCCTACAACCCTGAATGAAACTCATAAACCCCTCGGGGTAACCCCTCGGGTTGAGGGAGGACGTAGGGCTGCTCAGGGCATGCTAAAGTCGTCGGCCATCGTGCGCTACTACAAGGACGTGGAGGGCAGTTGCATGGAGTCCCTCTTTGCTGAAGCTTTAGGGTTTAGGGTTTAGGGTGCCGAATGCGCTGTCCCACGAGGACCTGCGCGATCCACGGTACAAGGTTCAGTATGCGCTCTGGTGCACTTTCTGCAATGGGTATCGAACCTTGTTGACTGCGTCGTTCGCCAAGAGTTAGAGAGGGCCCGGACAGAAAAAACGAACTGAAGGCACCGACGGTTCAGCACCAACACAATGCCCCGGTGGCCATTGGCACAGCCATTCCGCGCCGTGGCCAAATTGAGCTTCAGCCTTCGAGACCCAGTAAGCCCTAAACCCTAAACCCTAAACCCCAAACCCTAAACCCTAAACCCTGAAACCCTAAGTGTTCCAGGAGAGGCAGAGGCTGGGCCGCCAGTAGCGCTAGAGGCCTGAACCTCACAGAGTCTGTTTACAGCTCAAAGCAGTGCTGTAAACATCCGGCAGGAGGCAGCAAACCCAAACTTCCCTCAGACTCCTACATGAATCCTACCAAGCTCTGTTGAAATTCCTCCAGAACCCTCTTGCAGCAAGCAGTTTGGTTCTCTACTGGCCAGCTGAAGGTCATTGTGCACAAGCCTGCACACTTGAGACACTTAAGTACTGGGAGCATGGCCGGCCCACCGCCCGACACTGCTCGCTTTCAGGATGTCCGCTCAAAGCTGAACCGCCTGAATTACACGCAGCCTCTTGGACAGGTTTCGCTGGCCCTCGTTGAGAGGTTGCTTGAAGATCTGCTGAAATCCGCTGACTCGTACCGCCTCCTCGAGCGCGACGCTAAAGGGCATGACCGCCAAAGTGAGGAGGTGGCTGCAGAGTTGGATGCGTTGCAGAAGGATCAGGCGAAACTCCTGCGCGAGAACGTGGAGCTTCACAGGCGAGTGCTGAAAGAAAGCACGGAGATGACTGCTCGGCGGCAGCAGTGGGCTGTCCGGCAGGCTTCCAGCGAGCGCGAGCTGCGGAGGTTGCGCGGGCTGCAGCACCTGCAGGAAAACCACGGTCAGGAACTTCTGGCTTGTGTGGACCGGCTGCGCACCCGAATGGCAGAGCGGAAGGCTTCGGCCGCGAAAGAGGAACGCGGCGCAAAGTCTCGGACCATTGTCATGCGAGGTCCTCCGCCTTCTGCGCCCGGCGCACGGACGAGACAAGTTGACGTCGGCTGCATTGACGGAGGGCTGCGCGCTGAGGCCCCTGCCCTTGCGAGCCACGTGGCCTTTCTCACTGAGCAGCTCGGGGAGACCCGGCGCCGCATTGCAGACGAGGTGCATTCGCTGAGAGCTGCCGAGGCCAAAGAAGAGTCTGCTGTGGAGGAGCTCAGCAAGGCCCAAGCACGCGCGGCCGAGCGAGAATGGCCTTCGGAAAACCCTGAAGATGTGACTGATGAGGTCAAAGCGCTACGAGATGAGGAGGCTCGTTTGGCTGCGGAATCGGCAGACCTCGATGCGGAGTGCACGGCACTGAGGCAGCGAGGGCTGCGCATAAGCGCAGAGGCCAGCGCGGCTGAGACCCTGGCAGCGCAGCACCGAGGCCTGTTGCAGCATGCGCAGCAAGAGCTGGATGTTGCCAAAGAGGCGACGAGTCGGCTGGAACTCCGCGGTGCAGATCCAACCTCTGCTGAGCTGGAGGAGGTGCGGAAGACAACTTTCCAGTTCCAGTCTGAGGAGTCCTCCCTGAACGAGGCATTGGCCAAGCTGCGCGAAGGCATTGAGGTTTCCCTGGAGACGGCCGCCAGCCATCGCCTCGCAGCTTCTGAGGAGGTGGCTGCGGCGCGGCATGTGGAGGCATCGCGGCGCTCCGCTGCGCAGGCTCGCCAGGAGGCACAGCTCCGCCTGTCGAGGGAATTGCACGCGGCGCGCACAGGGGCAGCTGAGGCGGATGCCAAGCGCCTAGAGACCCGTCGCAAGGAGGAGGCCATTTCCTCCGCATCTGCGGTGCTTGGCCGGCAGTTGGCCGCAGAGCAGGCGGAGCTTGTGGAAGCACAGCGCAGCCGCCGTGAGCTTTCTTCTTCTTTGGGGCACGCCACGCAGGAACTGGAGGATGTCCGAGGCCGGTGTCAGGCTGAGGAAGCGAGTATTCACCACCTACAGGTTTCCCTGGAGACGGCCACTAGCCATCGCCTCGCAGCTTCTGAGGAGGTGGCTGCCGCGCGGCTTGTGGAGGCATCGCGGCGCTCAGCTGCGCAGGTTCGCCAGGAAGCACAGCTCCGCCTGTCGAGGGAATTGCAGTCGGCACGCACAGGCGCATCTGAGGCAGAGGCCAAGCGTATAGAGACCCGTCGCAAGGAGGAGGCCATTTCCTCTGCATCTGCAGTGCTTGGCCGGCAGTTGGCCGCAGAGCAGGCGGAGCTTGTGGAAGCACAGCGCAGCCGCCGTGAGCTTTCTTCTTCTTTGGGGCACGCCACGCAGGAACTGGAGGATGTCCGAGGCCGGTGTCAGGCTGAGGAAGCGAGCATCCACCACCTACAGGTTGAGATGAGGAGCGTGGCATCAACAGCTCGAGGCCACAAGGCAGCAACCTCGGAGGCCGCGGCACAGCTTGCGGTCCTTCAGGCGGAGCTCGGGCAACGGCAGGCTGCGCTCCGCGAGGTGATCATGGAGGAGTCTGAGAGCCAGGCCAGTGTGACCGAAGCACGACGTGAGGCAGAAGCTGCAGAGGCGACTGCAGCAGGGCTGCGTGATCAGCTCCAGGATGTGCGCCATGGGGCGGCCAGCACAGGAGAAGCGCTGCGGGAGCTCGAGGCTGGTGTGGCCTCGCGCCAGAGACAGTGGGCAGCACTGAGGGAACAACGCCAGGCATACAAGGCAGAGCTCGCTGAGTGCTTGGCGGAGATTGCTGGGGAAGTGGGGCGCTCGGCGGCTACGGCGCGAGGGCCAAGCTCAGTCCGGATGCGCCTGCAGGAACTGGAGGAAGAGTCCAGCCGTCTGCACGGCACGATTTCTGGGTTGGAGGCAGACCAAGCGGAGCTGGTGCAGATCAGCGACAACGCCGACGAGAAGCTACGACCCTTGCGCTCGGAGGCTGCCCGGGTCCGTGCCCAGCGTGGGGAAGTGCAGTGGACATTAGACAGACTACGCCATCGGCGTGATTGCCAACATGGTGAGCTTGTGGATTCAACGAAAACCGCAGCCTCCACGAGCGAGGCGATCCGAGCAGTGGAAGCCGAGGTGCAGACTGCTCAGAGTGAACTTTCCGAACGGATGCATGAAGTGACGTTGGCTCTGGATGACTTGATGCACATGACTGCCGAAAACCAGCTTCTCCACGAGCAGCTGCAGCGTGCGAAGAGCCACCGCGATCACTTGTCTCGTGCTCTGGAGGAACAAGACATGCACAAGCTGCCCCTGCTGCAGGAGTTACGTGGACATGAGCATATGCGGGACACAGTGTTGCGTACGTACCAGGAGGCCATCGATGAGCGCCAGCGAAAGGAAGCAGCGGTGTCTGAAATGTCGAACCAGGTCGCGAGCTCCTTTGAAGAAGTGAACGGTCTCAAGCAGTCGCTGGAGGCGCTGCTCCATGCTGAGGACACGGTCAGAAATCAGCTCCAAGGTGGAGATTCGGAGCTCGCAGTGCTGCGGGCCAAGATGAGAGATGCCACGCAAGTCCTCGAGATGCAGGAGTTTGCAGCCCAGGAGCTCCGGGCAGAGAGTTCACGGCTGCGTTTGGCTGCCAGCTCCCAGCAATCGGCCATCAACGAGGCAGTTCTGGGCGCCGCTGCTGTGGCGGCACAGGCGGAGTCTTTGCGAGCGGAGGTGCAGACTCAGCAGCACGACTTGGAGCAGGCCCGCAACCACCTGGCAGATGGGCAGCGGCAGCGCGATGAGGCGATGAAGAGCAAGAGCCAGCTCGAGGACCTTCTCTCCGCACAGCGCCAGCTGCAGCTTCAAAGGGAGGCCGAAATCCAGGCCGCAAGGGGCACCCTTGAAACCACCCCGACTGAAAGTGGCCGAGCCTTGGAGCAGACCCTGGAGCGCCTTCAAAGGCTTGAGGACTGCTATGCGGCGGAGATCAACCGCTTGTCCACCAAGCTACGGAGCTTTCAGGCCTCAGAATTTCAGGCCACCGACCCGGAGCGCGTGCCATGAGACAAAGGCTGCTGTTAGTGGCAGCATGCGGAGTGCTTGGGGGCGGGGGGGGTGGGGGGTGGTTTGTATTGGGTGCTTGTGTAGATAATTTGAGAAGGCCTCCGCTTGGTGCCATGCAAAGTAGTTGAAGAATAGTCAGGTGCAGCAGTAGTTGAAATCGTGTATTCTGTTTTGAGCACTGGGTCCCTTCCCACCTGGACTTGCTACCAAGAGCCTCGCCCGTTTGTTGCCAGTTTGAGAGTCGAACCCCAAACCCCTAACCTTAAACCCTGGACATTGATCGTTAAACTCTAAGTCTAAACAGAAAAAGCCTGCCTTGCAGGTTATTGATGGGTTCCGCGCTAGGCTAGTTGAAAGACCGTATGGATTTGCCGTTTATCCATTTCCGCTGTCGCACGAGGCTACTTGGGTCACAATGGCGAAATCAACACCATCCAGGAATCCAGCATGCAATCCCGGCATTGCACGCTCTCGCGGGCATGGGGTGCTTTGCACATGCCCTGAACGTTCGTTCCACTCTGCCAAAACTTTGCGAGTACATGGCCTGAAAAAAAGTGTGCAGGGCAACTACAACTGGACCCACGCGAGATCGGGATCTTTCGAGCATCCCAACTTCGGCTATCGCATGCGGGAGGCGTCACAGACGCATGTCAGTTGGAGGTTACTTCAACAGCGTGAAATACTGTAGCTGGGACGATGCCATGACTTTTGATTTTCACCGTGTGTTGGAATTCAGCCAAGATGCCGATGTGTTCGGACCCACAGCCATTTCGCAGGTGCTGCCCCCTTGCCGTGCAGAAAATTCTGACTCTGGAAATATGGACTGCTTCTCGGCCGGGAGCGGTAGGGTTCTGATGCTGATGCGCGTGCAGTGGGCGATGTGTCCATGGTCCATGGCGGCATCACGCGGCATTCGTCAGCTAGAAGAGAGGCTTTCGAAGCCAGGAGCGTCCCCTTCGCAGGTGTGCTCCCCCCCTCGCCGCAAGCCTGACTTGCATCGGAGGCATCGCGTCTGAGGAGTTGGCCAAGAACTAAATTAAATGAAGTCCGATCCCCTTGACAAAAGGGCCCAAGCCCTAAGCACGCCTAAAAAAAGGAGCCCCTAAAAACCCCAAAAGTCCCACAATTCCCGAAAAGCCCTCAACGATTTCCTGCCTGCCCCGACCAAAGGCTATCTGGAGCTGATCCTGCGCTGCAACCGCGAGCTCCCGGAGGCCTTGATGATGATGATCCCGGAGGCCTATAAGGCCAGGACGTCTGAGGGTTTAGGGTTTAGGGTTTAGGGTTTAGGTTTGGGGTGCTAAGGTTGTAGCCATCATTTTGACGTGGTAGCCCAGTGGCACCCTTTTCCGTTTTTGTTTGGTGTTCTGGTTCCCTAGAAACAAAGTAACCAACCAACAAAAAGGGTGCCCTTGTTCTAATATGGTTGCTGGGCTACTGAGTTGAGAACTCACCATTTGGGTTTGGGAAATCTGGGTTGCCCTTAGCCAGCGCGCCCAGGCAGCGGACCAAGGCTCCGACGGGAAGGTCAGAGAATTCTACGAGCAGCCTGTCAGGGGTTTAGGGTTAGGTTTAGGGTTTAGGGTCTAGGGTTTAGGGTTGAGGGTGCCGTTTAGCCCTAGGCCTTGAGCCCTGAACCCCCAAACCTAAACCATTGAACCCGTAAGCCATACGCCCTAGACCCCAAACTCCAAGCCGTGAACCTTAAACGCCGCTCTTTAGACCTTTAAGCACGCACGCCCCTCAACCCTATACCCTCAACCCCAAAGCCAGTCTTAGAACCCTCAACGACCCTAAACCCTAAACCCTAAACCCTAAACCCTAAACCCTAAACCCTAAACCCTAAACCCTAAACCCTAAACCCTGAACCAAAAAGCCCAGGTATTGGGGTGCCCTGCAAGAGGCCTGGGATGGACCGGCGCTGGTGGCCTTTTGCGATGGCGAGTACATGGGCGCTCTGGGCTGGGTGAGTTCGGGTTTAGGGTTGAGGGTTGAGGGTTTATAGGGTTTAGGGTTTAGGGTTTATAGGGTTTAGGGTTTAGGGTTTAGGGTTTAGGGTTTAGGGTTTAGGGTTTGGGGTTTAGGGTTTGGGGTTCAGGGTGTACTGGGCTTAGGGTTGAATTAGTTTTTGGTGCTGGCAAGAAGCATTTTCCAAGATCAAGATGGGGTGATCGGAAGCTTAGGAAACAACGGGTTACTTCGCCAGCAAGGGGCCGCGTGGGAACCAAATCCGTTCTCCCGACGAAGAACCCGGAAGTTTGAGGGTTGCGGCTCCTTCAATGGGTCTAACCATTCTCCAAACGTGATGAGGCTCTTCGTGGCTCTACGAAGCTGATGAGCGGTGCAAGAAAGTGCAGCGCGCACCACCACCCCAACGCCCAAGACCCCGACTTCCTCCGCCTTCGCCCCCGAGGTGCCACCTTGGACCGCAACGGCCTCCGGCCAGCACGGTACTTCCAGCTCACCGCGCCCAGCCTGGACTCGGAAGTTGAGGGATTCGAAGCCTCCAGCGCTGCCGTCCGCGAGCATGCGAAAGCAACTCCGGATGAGGCTAGCCCTAAAGGGAATCGTCCAGATGCTCCGAAATCATCTCAATTCGATCTCCACGTCAGCAAAAGCCAAGTGCAAGGAGCAGGGGCGGCCTTTGTAAGGATGCGTCCTTTTTGAGTTCAGGGCTTAGGGTTTAGTAGTAAATGACTGCAGAATCCAGTGTCGCATGGGAATCCGCAAGAGCTCCTAAGCCCCAGACAATCGCACCCGGATGCGAGTTCCCACCTATCCTCAACGACAGGAAGCAGACCGCACATGAGCTTGCTTGCAAACAGCGGTGCGTGATTCAGTGACCGAGGGCCAACAAACAACATCAACGCCTCAGCCTGCGACCCTTGCAGTCTGAAGGGCTTGGACCCTGCAACCCTGAGACCCTCATATATTGGAGTTTAGGGTTGCGAGAGGGTCTGGACCCAAGCTTCAACCTTAGGCTTGAAACCCCGCGGGTGGCAAAAAAAAACCCACTAGCGGTGCTACACCCAGGATGGCACCTGCGTGGTGAGCTCGGAGACGGGCATCTTGGACAGCGAGCTTTTTCCGGCGGTCGCTCGGCTGATGTTTGGGTCGCATGGGGGCGAGCGGTGCGTTGGATGGGACACACTGAACTCCCAAACCCCATACGCCTGAAGAAAGCACTTGCATTCTGAAGCCCGAGCCCGAGACTTGTATTAAACCCCATACGCCTGAAGCCTCCCAACCACTAAAGTAGCGGCGCCCTCAGCCCCAAACCCTCCAGAGCCCAAACCCCTGAAAACCCTCAACCCAAAACCCTAAACCCTAAACCCTTCAACCCCTAACCCCTAACTCCTAACCCCGAAACCCTAAAACCTACAACCCCAAGACCCTAAACCAGCTGCAGGCCATGTTCAAGTCCAAGGGACGACTGGGCCCAGGGAAGATGGTGGCCATCGACCTGCACACCGGCCCCCTTCCTGCTTTGTTACCATGGGGTTTAGGGTTTAGGGTTTAGGGTTTAGGGTTTAGGGTTCAGGGTTGGGCTTTAGGCTCTATAGGGTCTCAGGTAGGCGGTTTTGGGGTGAGGGGCTAGTTTGGGTTCGAGCTGGCATCATTGGGAGGTTGGGTGCTGTTGGGCTTCATGGGATTTCGGCTTGTTGTAGGAGTTTTGGGCCTTGCCGTCGTGAAATGCTGGTGATCCCTGATCAAGTGTAGTGCTGGTATCGGCATCCTCATGGCACCCCTGAGCCCTAGATGCCCTCTTGAGCCCGACCTGAGCCCGACCTCTTCCGGAGGTGAGCTGATAGAGAACGATGACATCAAGAAGAAGCGTCCTGTCGGCTTTTGGTGTACCATGTGCAGCCAAGGGTGGCTGAAGGATGGTCCCGAAAACTCTAAACCCTCACGTGCAGTGATGGCAATAGGCGGGTGCAAAAACACAACAATTCCCTTAGTAGCGGCTCAGGGACTCTCGGATTGGCCAACGCAGTGCCATGCCGAAGCCATGCCTAAGCCTGCCGAAGCCTGCGGCCCGCTACGACGACACTTAGGATGGCCGCCAAGAAGCCCTATGGCGACTGGAACAAGGCATCCTCTGTCTGATGTCCTCCTTGCACTCGAGAGGTGTCGGAAGTGACAATAGCAAGGCTGCAAGCCCCACGTATCTGAGGAGCAAGAATGCCCTATCCTTTGGTGAGTCGTGAATGCAACGATTGCTCCTCAGATATGGTTCCCCGTGGCAAAAACAAGCTTGCAACTGTTGCAACATAATTTTGCCACTTCCTCCACCTGTGACTGGATGCTCTCCAATAGATCCAGGATCAACTCCCTGAACCTCAGACTTGGCATTCCGAGCCTGGACTCAGGAATAAGAGTTCCGCCAAGGATGCGCCAGTACGCAAAGTCTCTACCTCTAAACCAAAAAACCCGGAACCCTAATCCCTCAGCCCTAAGCCCCAAACCTGAAACCTGAATCCGGAAACCTGGTCAGCAGGTCTTTCGGGAGGAGATGGACCGAGAGCCTTTCCTGACTGCCGACCACGACCTGGCCGTGCCAAGGGCTGGGGCCTCGATGTTTTCTGTTTGGGTTTTGGAGTTTGGGGTTTAGGGTTTAGGGTTTAGGGTTTAGGGTTTAGGGTTTAGGGTTGAGGGTTGAGGGTTTAGGGTGCAGGGTTCAGGGTTCATGGTTGAGGGTTTAGGGCCCCTCCCCTACCACAAAACTGAACCAGCCCCTGAAACTTTGGGCGATTCCCACCTGCTCGGGCTCTGGTACCCGCAGTCAAGGTGGTAGAGGAGAACTTGGCCCAAACCCTGCAAAACCCTAGACCCTCTAAACCCTCAAAAACCCTAAGCGCCAGGCAATCGAGGAGAACCTGATGACCCTACAGTTTGACATGGGCTACACCATTGAGGCGTCACCTGAAGCTGCAAGGGTTTCTTTGGCAGAAGCCTCTTGCACTTTGTGATGCCGATGCTTTGAGCCTCAGAATCTGGCTTGATTCTTTGGGAGTTTAGACCAAAGGGTTTTGGGGGTTTAGGGTCCCGAAACCCTAAACCCTAAACCCCTAAACCCCAGTTAAGGGCTGTTTTAGGGCTCGTCAACAAGGCAGGTGGGTGTGTCTGGCCGTCAGAGTATGGCCAGCTTCAAAAGGGATGCTTAGGGTTTTGGGTTTGCGGTTTAGGGTTTTGGGGCATAGTCACGAGTGCTAGGTCTTGGATCCCAGACACGCTGTTGCATCTTGTACGAGTGCTCATGAGGGCTGCTTGGACAGCTGTGAAACCCGGCAGAGCTTCGACTGCAAAAAACAAGCTAGAAACGGGTTCAGTTTGAGGGCCTCATTTTCTGGGGCGGGTTTGATCTGTTGCCTTAGTAGTTTGCCATTTGACAACTTCGTTGAAGACCCCCCTGCCCCAAGCCCTTCGCGCTGTGTGTGAAGCCTGTGGAGGATGTCGAGATGGTTGTGGAGGCCATGGCACAAACTGGCAAGGAGCCGACTTTCTGCATGGGCAACGCGCCTCGGTTGCACTCTGGCCCAACGATGGTTCCTGAATCCGAATCGGGTTTCCCTTATGTATATACACACATATATATATATATATGCACATGCACGTACATATACATATGCATATACATATACAGACACATACACATACACATACACATGCACATACACATATACACATTCACATACAGATACAGATACAGATACATATACATATACATATACATATACATGTACATACATACACACATTTTAGGTACGCCCAGTAAGTATGTTGCGGCCTGCACGTATCCCGCCCCTCACCTGAAGCCCTAAGCCCTCAAGCAAACCTTCAAGCCCGTACCCCATGCCGAAATTTCCTGAACCCTGAACCTTAGCACCCAAAAACCCTAAAGCCCTGAACAACAACGAGACCATGAACAACTGCAAAAAGACCTGAAAACCCTAAACCCTAAACTCCAAGGCCTTAAAACCCCTTAAGACTAAACCCCTAAGCCCTAAACCCCTGAACCTGGGGAGTGTGATGACGAGAACAAAGAAGTAGGAGTGGCCGAAAGTGTTGTTTGGGATGCATGGTCGCAAAAACCGCCATCTCCTGCGAATCATCGGATGTCCTGAGGATAAGCCACTTGCGGCGGTCTCCGACAGGGCCGGCACCTCAACATCCCAGGCTTCACAACAAGTCCTAAACCCTAAGCCCTAGCCCTAAGCCATAAACCCTAAACCCTAAACCCTAAGCCCTAAACCCTAAGCCCTTGGTCCTACGGGTTGTACATGCTACTTGGTCCCTTTACCAGCATGCAACTTCCCCCTCCCCTTGAGTGTTTAGTCACTCAGCATCAATATCCTACCATGAGTGCCCGTGTGGCGAGAGTATTCCGGGTAGCGTTTGGCATACCTGGAGATACCGATTCTCCTTTTGAGTTCCGACCTTGTACCCCGCATTGCCGTGGCTAGTCGGGTGGCAAGAAAAACCCTAAACCCTCAACCCTAGGCAGGTGGCAACAACAAACCCAGAACCCCGAAACCCCGAACCCTAGTCCACTCCAAGCCCTCATTGTTTCGAGCGTGGGCATCGTAAAGCCTTGCTGTTCCTAGAGCCCTCAACACCTCCCCCCCCAAAACAACAAAACAAGAAAACCGAAGATTAGAGAAGCCAATGGCTTCAATCCTAAGTACAGTTTGGGAGTTAGGGGTTTAGAGTCTAGGGTTTAGGGTCTACAGGGTTTAGGGCTGCATGAGTCGCTCAAGGCCCACGTTCTCTACGACTACTTCACGCAGCGCTTCGCGCAGGCCTTGGTTCGGGCCCTGCCGCGGACCCTCAACCCCGACACCCCATAACTTGAAACACGTGGGAGGCACAGGAAGTAAACCTGAGATCCTGAGAGACCCTAACCCTAAACCCTAAACCCTAAACCCTAAACCGTAAACCCTATACCCTACACCCCAAACCCTAAACCCTAAACCCTAAACCCGAAACCCGAAAAGACGAAAGCAAGCCCTGTAGAAGCTTCAGGGTTGAGGTGCTCTGGGCCAAGGGCTCATGTCAGCGAGTGTGGACAGGGCTTGCTCCAAACGAATCAATTCGACTACGAAAGGCAGTAAGAACAAACATCTCTTATGATCTCTCTCTGTCTATATACACGCAAAACGAAGATATGCTGATACTGGGGCCCTTGCAAAAGACGGCCCCGTGGCAACCTAGTGGTGAATCGGAGACGGATCACATGCAGGGTCCGAGCCCCGGCTTTGATGTTCAAGCTGTCTGGCATTGGGCATCCGTGGTGCAGGTCACAAATCCGGCCATCGACCCCTACCGGGAATCGCTGGTAATGTCAACGGATGTTTTCCTTGGCCGTCAAGGCGCGGTCGCTGCTGCACCGAACGGCGCAATTTCTTTCCGCATTGGGTGTGGGGAAAGGCAACCTCATGGCAGAGGGCCCGACCTATTTCCAGAACAAGGCCAATAATCGTTTGGTGAAGGCACACGGGTGCTGCAGCTTTGCATCGAGAACATGTGCGAAAGTAAAGCCTCGCTTTCTCTGCTGTGAGGTGGACTCTCCGTTTCTGAATGAAAGGCAGGTGTACGCCAGGTGCTGAGCTGTTGGCAGAAGCACAGAAAGCACAGCTTCCGAGACGGAGCAGGTAGACACCCAGCACCGCTCTCTGCCATGTCAGTCCTTTGGTGCAGATGGCGAATGGAATGAAATCTCGATTTCTCTCCCTCTCTACATATCTACATGTAGACTGAGCCTGTGGAGACAACGGCAACTATGTTATGTCAAAGAAAGAGAGAAGGATGGATAGCGAAGAGACAGAGAGAGAGAGGGAGAGAGAGAGAGAGAGAGAGAGAGAGAGAAAGAGAGAGAGAGCACTCAAGCTCCTGCGCACGCTTCTGCTTGCAGAGACACTCAGAGACACACAAAAAAAAAGGCGTTGGTATTCCAAGGCCCTTGGGCTGGAAGCTAGAAAGGAAAGACGGAGGAAAGTGGGGGAGGGCGAGGGAGGGGAGGGACCCCGAGCGCACTGGGCCACCACCAACGCTAGAGGACCCTTGGGAAACTTTTCAGCGCCAGTGCTTTCGACTCCCTAAACCCTGAACCCTAAACCCTAAACCCTAAACCCTAAACCCTAAACCCTAAACCCTGAACCCTAACCCCTAAACCCTAAACCCTAACTCCCCTGAAATGAGGGCGTGAGGAACAGCGGGTTGCTGACGGTGCAGCTCAGCACTCGCTACGACTTCCAACGTGGTCCCGGTGCTTTGGAGAAGGCCGCAAGCAATATGCAGGTACAGAGGGTTTCGGGTTTAGGGTTTAGGGTTTAGGGTTTAGGGTTAAAAGCGGGGAGTCCAAGGACATGTGCTCTCAGCCTCACTGTTTGTGAATGAAGGCACATGTCTTCTCCCCTTGGAGGGATGTTGGGCTCTCGGGTGCTTTACGCCCAAGACAGCCCTGAGCCCTAAGCCATCAGCTTCAGTGTTTTGGGGCTGATGGACGCCATCCGAAGCTTACCACCCCAAAACCTCGAGAATCTGAAAGAAAGCCCCTAAGCCCTCAACCCTAAACCCTAAACCCTAAACTCTAAACCCCAAACCCCAAACCCTAAACCCTAAACCCTAAACCCTAAACCCTAAACCCTAAACCCTCAACCCGAACCCTCAACCCTGAAATTTGAGAAGGCCGTCTCGGACCTCTGCTACGAGGCCTCCAATGCCATCCGCAACGGGGCCGAGCTCATCATCCTCTCGGACGTGCCGCGCAACTCCGAGACTGAGTTCGCCTTGAGAACTTCTCTTGGTTGTTTGGGGTTTAGGGTTTAGGGTTTAGGGTTTGGGGTTTAGGGTTTTTTGAGTTGTTTTGGGGTTTTTAGGGTTCAAGGTTTTTTGGGGGGAGAGGGGGGGGGGGGTTTAGGGCTTACTTAAGGTTTGTTTGCCGCCCTAGCTGACTTGGTTTAGGGTTTGGAGGGGGAATGTCCAGCGTTCCCATATGTTCTAATATAAACGTCTGCACACACAACTTCCCCTCCCCCCCCCCCCCCAAGTTCTCTGCATCCGAGATGGATTTTTTGCATCGGGCTCTGGAAGCCCCTAACTCCTCAACCCTAAGCCCTTTTGCCCTGAACCAAAGCGCGCTAAGCCAGATGGTTTCAAGATCTGTTTCCTAGAGGGCCAGGCCCAGAGTCCAACGTGTGACCAGAAGTTCCTCATCCTCCACAGAAGCATTGAGGAGAGGGCACATGTCAGGGTATCAACAATCCTCTAAAGTGATTCAAACTCTAAACCCAAAACCACTATGGCCCGACAAAAGCTAAACTCTAAACTCTGCATCCCACGCCCTAGATCCTAGGACTTCGTATCCTTCGATGTAACCGACCCGGGCATCGAGCTGGAGCAGTCGGTCCTCGCCATCCCTCCGTTATTGGCCGTGGGCGCGGTGCACCATTACCTGATCCAGCAAGGAAGGGGGCTCCTAAAAGCCCTAAAGACCCTTCAACCCTAAACCCTAAACCCCTGCTGTTTGTCGGGGGTTTGGGGGAATGGGCTGAAGTTTTCCTGCTTGAAGAAGAAGAAGAAGCGGGTTTCGGAGGTGTAGATGGGTCAGCTAGGTGGGTGGCAACAAAAACCCATTGTCCGATCCAACAAGGCCTGCGGACGCAGGCCTCCCTGGTGGTGAGCACGGGGCAGTGCTGGAGCACTCATCACTTTGCCTGCCTCATTGGCCACTCGGATGCCCAGTAAACCTCTTTCGCCCTTTGCGGGCTCTGTTCTTCTAGACTCAGTAGACTCAGCAGCAGATGAAGGGCGCCCGTGATGGTTGCTGGGCTACCTAGGCTATGGAGCTTCGGCGGTCTGTCCGTACCTGGCGCTGGCACACATCCGTCGCTGGCATTCCACGGACAAGGGTGCTGCAAGGGCCGACGGGCAGAGTGTGGAAGAGGTGCAGGCCAACTACAAGAGGGCCATCAACGCAGGGCTCAAGAAGATCATGTCGAAGATGGGCATCTCGATGCTGGAGTCCTACAGGGGAGCTCAAATCTTCCAGTGCATCGGTTTGGATCAGAAGGTGGTCGAACGGGCCTTTGCAGGTACGCCCTGCACGGCACCGGCCCTGTCCTTCACGGACATCGCCAATGAGTCCATGATGTTCCACCGAAGGGCCTTCCCAGAACTCGATGAGCAGCCGGCCGCCGAGAAGCTGGAGTTTGCAGGCTGGTACAAGTACATCAAGAGCAAGGGGGAGTTTCACATGAACAACCCCGACATGTCCCGGGCGCTGCATCGGGCCGTCCGGAACAAGGAGCCCTTGGCCTACGAGGAGTACCGCCGCCAGATCATGGATGGCCGGCCCATCACGGCCATCAGGGACTTGCTGGATTTCGCCTCGGACCGGCAGCCTGTGCCGCTGCAAGAAGTGGAGGACATTTGCGTCCTTTTTTTTTTGGGGGGGGGGGGGGGGGGGGGGGTTGTTTTGGGAGTTCGAGCTTTTGCAGGGCTTGGGGCGTACTTGCGCTTGTGAGCCCGCGTGCTTGTATGTTGCGTGCATGTCATGGAACTCCGCCGAGGGCAGTTTCTGATTTAATTTGTTGTTTGGGCTCGGCAGGTGCCGTTGACGGTTTTGTCCGGGTCTTCCTGCGAGCTTTAACACGCGCAACTGCTGAGAGGATGCCACCTCCATTTGCGGCCGCTTCGTCACTGGCGGCATGTCCCTGGGCGCGCTGTCACGCGAAGCGCACGAGGTCATCGCGCTGGGCATGAACCGCGTCGGGGGCATGAGCAACAGCGGGGAAGGGGGCGAGGATCCCTTAAGGTTCCAGCCGATCCAGGACCGTACACTACTGAATGATTTCAAGAACCAGGGTTTAGGGTTTAGGGTTTAGGGTTTAGGCCTACTGTAGGGGCCTAAATAATTAGAATAGGGTTTTGGATAGTGATTAAGGGACCATAAGGGAATATTGTTTGTAATGTAGCATTGAAGGTTTCATGGTGTTGACGCAAGATCTACTTGGGGGGGGGGGGGGGGGCAAGCCGAACTCGCGGAGGACGTGGATGATGAAGGCAACTCCGCCACCTTCTCACACCTCAACGGTCCGAGCCTCAAAAGGCACGGCCTCCCTCGACTCCTTGACCACACCGAGTTTCACACCTTAGGCCTGAGGAATGGTGACTCTGCATCTTCGGCGACGAAGCAGGCACTTCTCTCGCTCTCTCTCATCAGCAAGGGAAGGCGATAGGAGCAGCAACCTGTACTGTACTGCTTCTGCTGCTATCTCTCGTCCGACTCGTCGCCTCATTCTCGTGATGATCGCTGCAAAATTTTTTGAAAGCCAGCGCGTGTCGCGCTGGCCTCCCACTTACTTCGGCTCTCGATCCCGTGACTTTTGAATACCTCCGCACCTCCCCACCGCGCCAAGCTGTTGCCTCGGAGGTGGCTTCCGGCCGCTTCGGGGTCACAGCTGCTTACCTGCGCAGCGCTGTGCTTAGATCTCGAGCAGTCCTGGGATTCCTGCGGGATGGTCGAGGGGCCGAGGGGGCACGCCCTAGCATGAAGTGAACGCAGCTAGCAGTCGTCCAGGCGCATCGGCAGAAATGGTTCTGTTGCACCGGTGGGGGGTTGTACTGCTGCCGATGGCCAGCGTTAAGCTCAGGTGCGAAGCAGCTGGAAATCAAGCAGCTCGGATTAAGAATATTGGGAACATCTATCATATCACCAATTGCCGATAATATCCGCAATATTCGTCAATGGTCATACATGTTCATGATGTTGAGGGTTCGGCTCTGACCCAAGGGTCCTAGGAAGTGGATTGAGGCCGACTCTGCGGGGTTTGGAATGAACCCCAAGCCCGAAACACAACAACAAAACCCACCCAAAAAGCGGGGTTTTAGGGTGTGGAGTTTGGGGTTTGCGGTTGAGGGTTTAGGGTTTGGGGTTTGGGGTTTGCGGTTTAGGGTTTAGGGTTTAGGGTTTAGAGTTTAGGGTTTAGGGCAAATGAAACCGCCAAAAAAAAAAAGCCTGAAACCCCGCAATTCCCGCAGCCCCTCTCCAGGATCGCCCAGGGCGCAAAGCCAGGAGAGGGGGGCCAGCTCCCGGGGCCTAAGGCCTCGGAAAGCTGTGGGGTTTAGGGTTTAGGGTTTAGGGTTTAGGGTTTAGGGTTTAGGGTTTAGGGTTTAGGGTTTAGGGTTTAGGGTTTAGGGTTTAGGGTTTAGGGTTTAGGGTTTAGGGTTTAGGGTTTAGCCAAGCTCGTTGCAAAAGGGTTTAGGGTTTAGGGGGTCCAGGGCTGATTGGCTCCCGCAGTCCGGATTCAAGAAAGGGGTCTGGGGTTTCAGGGTTTCAGGGGTTTCAGGCGTTTCAGGGCTTACTTACGGGTTTGAGGGGTTTGGTCGGCTTTTGGGTTTAGGGTTTAGGTCTTGCGGGCGCGGCTTAGAGGGGTTTTGGGGGTTGAGGGTCAGGATTCGGGTGTAGTTTTGGTGTTTGGGATCTCGAGGTCCCAACTCTTCTAGGATTCGCTGCAGTCTAGGGGTTTAGGGTTTAGGGTTTGGGGTTTAGGGTTTAGGGTTTAGGGTTTAGGGCTTCGTTTTCTTTTTTTGGGCTGCGCTTTTCACTACCACCCTTCCCCAAATGGCCGCCGGAAGGTGGATGAGTACATCGCCAGGCTACGTAACAGCGTGCGACGCCCAGTGCCCACCCGAAGCTCAGCCCTGTAGCCCCCAAAACCCAAAACCCTAAACCCTAAACCCTAAACCCTAAACCCTCGCTGCACCCTGACGGAGTTTGGGTTCATGGTTGAGGCGGAGTTTGGGTTCACTGACACAAGGTGCCGGGCGTTGAGCTGATCTCACCGCCTCCGCATCATGACATCTACTCGATCGAGGACTCCGAGTGGCTGAGTTGGATCCACAACCCCTACTGCGCAGATGTGAGCCCATGTCTCACGGAGTCAAGCCAGTGCGCAAGATGGCAGAATACTACACGCATGGATCTTCTGTTGCGCTTAGGTCTTCGGGTGTTCTTGAACAGAGACTGCCTCAGGACTTGGCTCAACTGATCTTCGACTTGCACCAGGTCGTGCTTGAGAAAAGACGAACCCCTGACCTAAGGGTTCGGGTTCACCCCGAACCCTAAAGTCCCACAAGCCTTCAACCCTAAAGACCCAATAAACCCCTGTAAACCCAACAAACCCTGTAGACCCTTCAAGCCCTGCAAACACCGCACTCTAACCATGTAAAGCCTAAAGCCCTGTGAGCCCTAAACCCTAAAGCCTAGACTCGAAGCCCTAAGCAAGACCATGCCGCCCAGAAACCCTAAACCCTAAACCCTAAACCCTAAACCCTAAACCCTAAACCCTAAACCCTAAACCCTAAACCCTAAACCCTAAACCCTAAACCCTAAACCCTAAACCCTAAACCCTGAACCCTGAACCCTGAACCCTGAACTAAACCCTAAACCCTAAACCCCTTGGAGGTGAGCCCAGATGCCAAGGTGTCCGTGACTTGGGCCTCAGAGCCTGGTAGTAGGCCTAGGGGATTAGGGTTTAGGGTTTAGGGCTAGGGCCTTCAAACCCTAAACCGCCTAAACCCTAAACATCCCTAAACCTACTTGAGGTTGGCCAGCCCAGGAACCTTTCGTTTTCTTTTCAAGGGGTTTTGCGGAGGGGTTTCGTGGGGGATGTTTCGAGTTTTTGGGTTTAAGTTTTTTTTTCTTATGTCGAAGGGTTTTTTTGGGCTCCGGTTTCATTTTGGGGTTCTAAAGCCGGGGGTTCTTTTGGAGGGTCAGGGGTTACAGGTCTACAGGGTTTAGGGCGCCTGTAAGTAGAAGCCTCATCTGAAGCCACCTCTGAGAAAGGTGAAGCTGGTGGCCAGCTCGGGAATCGGCACGATTGCTGCTGGGGTGGCCAAGGCGAAAGGTTCAGGGCCTAGTTTAGGGTTTAGGGTTTGGGGTTTAGGGTTTAGGGTTTAGGGGCTTCGGCTTTTGGCTGTCCAAGGCTGTTCTCCTTGGAAATTTTCAGTGGGCTTTCTGGCACTTGTGGGCAGTTTTCGAGGCTTCCTAGAAGGCAAGCAAGGCGTTGGCCCTTTGCACCTTCAGCCCGCCCTCGGCCCCTATCGGCATGTCTCTCCCTCTCTCTCTCTCTCTCTCTCTCTCTCTCTCTCTCTACTGATGAAAGCCTCGTGTTGCGGGGTATTTTGGGGTTTAGGGTTTAGGGGTTCAGGGTTTAGGGTTCAGGGTTGAGGGTTTAGGGTTTCCCCATACCCCGCGCCAGGCGAACGCAGACGTCATCCAAATCTCAGGGCATGACGGTGGAGAGCTCAAGGGGAATGTAAAGCTGAATCTTACGGCAAAGCCCAGAAGCAAAAGGTTTAGGGGCATTCTTCGGCGGGTGGAGGATCCTGAGGCTGCTGGGCATGTGTCATGTAGGTGTTGATGGCGGTTTTCAGGGATGTCCCAAGTTAAGGGCTCAGATTCGGGTTGCAAAAGCAAGCAGGTGGAGAAACTTGGGGGCAGTCTCGGGGTTTGAGGTAGATGCGCTCAGCCAGGGTCCTGGGATTTTTGGTACATTTAGGGGTCAAGGGTGTGGAGTTGAACCCTCAACCCTCGCCCGGTAAGGTGGCACAGGCGCCTCTCCACTGAGCAGCTCGGTGGCACTACGTCGCTGGAGCGACGGGGCTGTGGCACCCGTCGTGGCACCCCCCCCACCAGTGGATGGGGCTTTTTTGGGTTCAGTTCTAGGGGTCCTTTCGAGGGGGATTCTACAAATTGCTTTCGCAGCTCGCAGATCCATTCATGCAGCTTGGCTTTGACATTGTTTCCTCATTTTGTGCGTCCGCCCGGCCGTGTGCCTGAGGTAGCATCATGCATGCGGGCGGGCCTTGGGAGCAGGGATTGGCGGAGGTGCAGGGCGTGCTGACAGAGAACGGCCTCAGAAATAGGGTTACGCTGCGTGTGGACGGTGGCATCAAGACTGGCTGGGACATCGTCGTGGCCGCCATGATGGGGGCTGAGGAATATGGCTTCGGAAGCGTGGCAATGATTGCGGAGGGCTGCATCATGGCGCGAGTTTGCCACATGAACCGCTGCCCGGTTGGAGTGGCCACACAGAGGGAAGATCTGCGGAGGAAGTTCCCAGGAACACCAGACCACATTGCAAACTTCATGCTCTTTGTGGCTGAGGAGGTTCGCACCATCATTGCGGCTTTAGGCTACCGCTCCCTGGATGAGGTTATTGGCCGCTCTGACCTGTTGCGACCACGTGCAGAAAATGCTGTTCGGACCAACGTTCCACAGCCTGCCATGGCATCGCAGCAGAGGCGGGAGCCGAAACCCAAACAGCTGGCAAAGACCAGCTTCATAGACCTTAGTGGCTTCTTCTTGGACGAGCGGCCGGAGGAGTCGGGGCGTTTATCCTGGGTGGGGGCGAAGCGAGATAGCCCGGCCCACAGCAATGGGCCTGTCCTAGATGATGAGATCCTGGCTGATCCAGATGTCGCTGCAGTAATTGACGGCAACAGTGGCAGTGTGCACAAGCAGATGAACATCGAGAATGTAAACCGATCTGTTGGTGGCAGAATAGCTGGTGTCATTGCCTCCAAGTACGGAGACCATGGCTTTCAGGGTGAGATTGAGCTTAGCTTCGTGGGCTCTGCGGGGCAGTCTTTTGGTGTGTGGAACACCTCTGGCATGTGCCTCAGAGTCACAGGCGATTGCAACGACTATGTGGGGAAAGGTATCAATGGAGGTACCATCGTAGCTGTTAAGCCTCTTGAAAGCTCCTTCCCTTCGGACAAGAATGTCATAGCAGGGAACACTTGCCTTTACGGCGCCACAGGCGGCCAGGTTTTCTTGAACGGCGTCGTGGGCGAACGGTTTGGTATACGAAACGCGGGCTGTGAAGCCGTTATTGAGGGTTCAGGGGACCACCTTGGGGAGTACATGACCAACGGCGTTATTGTTGCACTGGGTGCTGTGGGCCGCAACGTGGGCGCTGGGATGAGCGGAGGCCTCCTATATATCTACGACCCTGAAGACGAAGGGCTCGAGATGAATGCCGACAACAGCAGAAACGTGTTCCGCGTCACGGCCCCTGCTGGCCAGGAGCAGCTAAGGAGCCTGATTCAGAGGCTCGGAGGGTCCCCGAAGCCTAAACCCGAGCTGCACGGGAGTTACCCTGAAATCACTTCGGGCCGGGCCCAAAACAGCCCCAAACCCTAAACCCCAAGCCCTTAAACTACGGCCCTACCTAAGCCACGTTGCGATGCTTACAACACTTTTGAGCAAACTCAGACACAGCGACCTGACGGGGAGCTCGGTTGCAGCCAATGTCCTCGAGGACTGCCTGCCGCTTTTTCATGTTCGTTGGGGAGGAGGGGGGGGGGAAGGTGGGGGTTAGGGCTTAAGGGGGTTTTGGGTGTAGCCCGAGCCAGCCTCAACTCAACCATAAATGCGGCTTTTTCGCCAAGCCTAGCCTCGTGGTCTTCTATTGCACAACGACCAGGGCCATTCTAGAATGGTTTGGCAGCAACACGCCGCTTGCATCGTTGTCAGTTTTCCAGAAGGCTGAAAGAAAAAAACGCCGCAGCCAAGCAGCCTAGATACAGATATGCGCCGGGGGGGGTGCAACCCTCTCCAGCCCTAAACCGGGTAAAACCCCCTGAAAGCAGGAACCAAAAGAGGGAGAGGAGCCCTACACCTTCCCAACCGCAATGCTGTCCGGAGTCATCCTCGCACACCTGAAACGGGGCGCGCGCTGCGCCGTGGCCCAAACCCCTGTGCCATGTGAGATGGACAGGGAAACGTGAAACAGAAAGGATCACACAGCGAGAGAGATAACGCAAGCAAACGACTGCCGAAAGCAGTCAATATCGAACAAAATTAAGTACCTCATGACTTTATAGTGCGCGAGAGAGGGAGAGAGAGAGAGAGAGAGAGGGATTGACCTGAAAGAGAGCAAGAAAGAGAAGGGTGCTTGTTGCAGTGGTTGCACGGCCTAAACCCAGGGTTACGGATGACTCCGGACAAGAAGCCTTGAACCCCCAAGCCAATCCCAGCCTCGGAGTTTAGAACTTGAGGTCGGGTTGTTGTGGGGTTTTGGGGGAGACCTTGGGTGCTTGGGGCCTTGCGCGAACATTTCAGGACCCTCACCCGAAACTCTCACCCTGCAAGCCCAAACCCCCCAAAGCCTCAACTTGAAGATTACCCCCCCCAAAACCCCCATGGCCCCAAAACCTCACACGACAGGAGCCGAACAAAAACCCAGAAGAAGCTTTCGAGGGTTGGGGGTTCGGGATTTTGGGGGTTGGGGGGTTGGGATTTGAGGGCTTGGGGTTTGGTCAGGGTTTAGAGATGTAGGCTTTCGCAGACATCAAGACATCAGAAGGCCTAGCTACCCTTATATCAGTTTTCCAACATGTTGGGGGACAAAGGGTGACAGGGGGAGACACACACCACTGGAAAACCAACAGACCTGTCTCGACGATGGGGAGAGGAATTGAGAACCCAGACAAATTTGGGGGGCTTAGGGCCTGGCTCGAGTTCTGGGGTTCAGTTTACAAGTTTCAAGAAACGAGTTTAAAGTTTATGGGGCCTTGCTGGTTGCACCCTCAAGCAAGAGGGCCGTGACGCAGCAAGGGCCTTGACTGGCAGGAAGTTGCTGGTGGTTCAGTTTCGGGCTTAAGCGTGGAAGTCCTTGCCCAAAATGCAGGGGAATTGTGGGTGATGGGGGCTGCGGGGGTGTGGGGGGATGAGAGTGCTGGGGCTGTGGGTCCTAGGGTTCCGTCTTCATTCCCAAACCTGCGTTTCGGCTTCGCAAATTTTGGGGAAGTTCTCTAAACGATGGTCCATTTTTGGGTGCCCTAGATATCAGGCTGCGTATCATCATAGAAACCCCCAAAGAAGGACCACAGTTTAGGGAGCCTGTGGAGTCCATTTACGCAAACGCGGTGCAGGTAGTTGCCGAGGGCTTCAAAACTCCAACAGCGCAAGAGCTTGCATCCCCAACCAAACCCTAAAGTAAGCCCGGACATTTCAGGGTTTAGGTTTTGGGGTTGGTAGGCTATTTTAGCCCCCACCCCCCCAGCTTGTATTTTGGACTTCTTAAGAGCTCGGCTCGAGCGTTCAAAACGGCGAGCCTCGCTGGAGATGTCGAGCCGCAGCCGCTCCCCTCGCAGAGATATCGCAGTCCCGGTGGCGGACGACGCTCCGCGAGAGTTTGGTAAACTGGAGCTGGAAGTAAGGGTTTAGGGTTAGGCTTTAGGGTTTAGGGTTTACGGTTCGCATCCAAGATTGCTGTAGAGGTCCGGGCAGCAGGGTGATGGAATCAGAATTCTATCTTCAACTGCGCAACTGCCAAGGCTCCAATCCCTAAACACTAACCTGCGCTAAACCCTAAACCCGCGTCGGCGCGCTATCGCATCCTAGGGTTTAGGGTTTAGGCTTGCACGAAGTGGGAAGGGTTACGTGTGATCCGAGTGTCATGTTCTGTGGCCCCGATTCCATGCGGCTTCTGCTCTTGCAAGGTGTCCGCGCCACCCTCAGAAGTAGGGTTTGCGTTTGAACTTTGTGCAGAACATGCATAATGTGTGGTTTTATCAGCGGCTACGTCTCTTGCTTCAATGTGCTAACCTCTTTTTTTGCATTTGTATTTTCGCGCTCTCTCTCTCTCTCTCGTTCGCTCTCCCTGTCTCTCCCTGTCTCTCTCCGTCTCTCTCTTTCTCTCTCTTTCTCCCTCTTTCTCCCTCTTTCTCCCTCTCTCTCTCTCTCTCTCTCTCTCTCTCTCTCTCTCTCAGGCCTGTAACCCAATCATGGAGTGGTTCTTGACATCTGGTTGCTTTTTCTTTTAACGTTCTGCTCTTGGCTCATAAATTTAAAGTCGGAAAACGCACGTCCACCAATGGGATATATGAAGAGTTGTTGTTTTGATGTCTATATGTATCCAACTAGTATCTATCTATCTATTTATCTATCTATCTGTCTATATATACATATATACATATACACACACACATATATATATATATATATGCAGCCTAGTTGTCTAGATGTCATCGTTTTTGCTTGAAAATGGGTGACACCTTCCAGGTCCGCATGCATGCAATTACCTACGAATGTGCGCGCTGTTGCATGTGCAGCACATGAAACACACATTCAGACACCGGCATGTGTTCGCATGTATGTATGTATGTATGTATGTATGCATGTATGCATGTGAAGGGTACGTGTGATCTGAGTGTCATGTTCTGTGGCCCCGATTCCATGCGGCTTTCGAACTGCTCTTGCAAGGTGTCCGCGCCACCCTCAAAAGTAGGGTTTGTGTTCGATCTTTGTGCAGAACATGTAATGTGTGGCTTTATCAGCGGCGACGTCTCTTGCTTTAATGTGCTAACCTCCTTTTGGTATTTGTATTTTCGCGCGCTCTCTCTCTCTCTCTCGTTCGCTCTCCCTGTCTCTCCCTGTCTCTCCCTGTCTCTCTCCGTCTCTCTCTTTCTCTCTCTTTCTCCCTCTTTCTCTCCCTCTCTCTCTCTCTCTCTTTTTTCTCTCTCTCTCTCTCTCGCTCTCTCTCTCTCTCTCTCTCTCGCTCTCTCTCTCTCTCTCTCTCTCTCTCTCTCAGGCCTTTTTGCCCAATCAATCATGGAGTGGTTCTTGACATCTTGTTGCTTTCTCTTTTAACGTTCTGCTCTTGGCTCATAAATTTAAAGTCGGAAAACGCACGTCCACCAATGGGATATATGAAGAGTTGTTGTTTTGATGTCTATATGTATCCAACTAGTATCTATCTATCTATTTCTCTATCTATCTGTCTATATATATATACATATACATATACATATCTGAATATATATATATATATATGCAGCTTAGTTGTCCAGATGTCCTCGTTTTTGCTTGAAATGGGTGACACCTTCCATTTCCGCATGCATGCAATTACCTTCGAATGTGCGCGCTGTTGCATGTGCAGCACATGAACCACACACTTTAGACACCGGCATGTGTTCGCATGTAGGCATGTATGTATGCATGCATGTATGCATGTATGCAGATATGCATGTATGCATGTATGCATGTATGCATGTATGCATGTATGCATGTATGCATGTATGTACATATGTACGTATGTACGTATGTATGTATGTGCATACATCTGTAACTTCATGCATGCCAAGTTGTGTGCTTCACATGCGCCAGTGCCCAGAAAGTGCTTGCTTGGTTGTTTCGGCCCACGGCGTAGTTTTCAGCGTATTCTGTCGTTTGAGGCAAGGAGCACACACCGCACTCATGATGTACTCCGCCATGACAGCTGCCACTATAACCACTTCCCTTACACCTACTTTTTTCATGGCTGCGCGAAACCTTTGATTTCTGGCGCGACCCAGAAACCATTCCACCTTTCTTACAAACCCGAGCTCATCCAAGGATGTACAAGCTTCCCATGCGCTTCGCGGACGCTATGACGCTCCAAGGCGTCTGCCAACGAGCAATCCACCCCTGAACTTGAAGCACTTTTACTACTGCTCCTCTATGAACTTGAACCTGCTTCTATTCTAAGCCCAAAAAGCTCTGTGGCTCTTGGAGGCAGTCCAAGTTCAGGGTCTCTGCAATTCTTCGGTTCGTGCGCCCCGACGGCTCCTCGGACGTCTTCGAGGCCGCTGGGGGTTAGGGGTTGGTTGGGGTTCGATCACAAGGAACAAGCTGTGCTTGGTCTTCTGCGAAGCTTCTCGGCCCCTAGACTGTCAGCGCGTCTGCGGAAACCATGGCAGAATCCCGGAAGCCCTTGCAACCCGTTGGCCTTCAATTAGCCAAACAGCCCCAACGAGACCTAGAAGCCCTAGTGTGCGAGCCACGTTTCAAGTTCCCAACTTTGAGTTTGTCTTCGGGCTTTGTTGCGCTGATGCAGACCAGACGCGACAAGTCAGTTGCCGGAGCGCCCGCGCAGAGGCGGTGAACGCCGAGCCGCACGACGCAAACATCCGGGGCGCCATTTGCGCCGAGCGCGCGGCGCTCTGCCAGTTCCAGAAGGAGCCCTTTGTCGTAAGACTCTGGAGTTTGTAGGGTTCGTAGCACCTTGGGTCTTAAAAGGCATGATTGAAGAAATGGCGACATTCGTTCCAACCGAAAGTATGTGGGTGCCACTTGAGAGTGAGAGTCGATGCACCCTTCTCGCTTCACACAAGCCGTGGCTCCAAAAAGAATGCCGTACATAAGCAAGGGGGGTTTAGGGTTTAGGGTTTAGGGTTTAGGGTTTAGGGTTTAGGGTTTAGGGTTTAGGGGTTTAGCCAATGAGTGCTGAGCAGTATCTATGGTGTTGCAAGTCCGGCCCTCAGCTAATACACCTAGGGGCCCAGATCTGGCTAGTCCCCAAGCCCAGTTGCACGAGGGTTTAGGGGTAGTGGTATATGAACTTTACGCGTTAAGCATGTAGGATGCTCGGCAGGAGGAACTCCAGAAGGGCAGCCGCGTCGTGCGCGTCGTCTGTGCCACGGACTGGGTTGCTTGAGGAGTTAGGGTTTAGGGTTTAGGGTTTAGGGTTTAGGGTTTAGGGTTTAGGGTTTAGGGTTTAGGGTGGGAGATTTAGGGGGCTCTACTCCAATCCTGTGGCGCAAAGGGCATTCGACCACCAAAGCAGGCAGGGCACATGGTTCGAAGTTTCAACAAACTCAGAGCTTGGGGCTTCGAGTTGAGAGGTGTCACAGCGGGGCTTTTACCGTGGAAGCGAGCGGTGCTGTTATCAGAACGAAATCCTGAGAAGCTTAGCTCTTCTTGGAAGCCTGAAGTCCTGAAGATAAACCCCAAAACTGCACCCTACAGTCTCTACTCTAAACCCCCAAGCCCCCAGGGTTTAGGGTTTAGGGTTTAGGGTTTAGGGTTTAGGGTTTAGGGTTTAGGGTTTAGGGGTTCAGGGTTTCTGCGTCTTCCGATGTGGAGGACTGCGAGGACCCCATCTTCCCCGGCCCACTCTGCCGGGAGTTTCTCACGGCCACTTGTATGGAGCCTCTTGTGCACCTTGCAGCGGCTAAGAGCCGGAGCCCAGGCCTCAACTGCCTCAACCTCCAAAACCACACGTGGCCCAGGCCTGTGCACTTGATAGCCCTAAACCCCAAACCCTAAACCCCCAACAACCCCAAGCTTCAAACCTTCCTTTGCGGTTCCAAGCAAGGTCCTAAACCCTAAACCCTAAACCCTAAACCCTAAACCCTAAACCCTAAACCCTAAACCCTAAACCCTAAACCCTAAACCCTAAACCCTAAACCCTAAACCCTAAACCCTAAACCCTAAACCCTAAACCCTAAATCCTAAACCCTAAACCCTAAACCCTAAACCCTAAACCCTAAATTCCTAAGGCCACCTGCGACCCGGGCGTGGAGGTGGTGGCCACGGGCTCCAAGGGCTCCTGGGAGGTGCAGCCGCTAAGGGAGCTGCTGCCCTTGCCTTCCCTCTACCGGCGCCTGGACAACGAGGCCCTGGGGAGATGGGGGTGGAGGCAGAAGGTCAGTTCTCAAAATTCTAAACCCTATAATAAAAAAAAGGGGGGCCAGAGTTTTAGGATTTAGGGCTTTACAGGGTCTAGGTTTCAATTGGGGCTTTTTGGGCTGTGGCATTCGGGTTTAGGGTTCTTTCAGATTTAGAGTATAGGTGCGGGAGATGGGGGTGGAGGCAGAAGGTCAGTTCTCAAAATTCTGGTCCCCTTTTGGGGGTACCCTATAATTAAAAAAAGGGGCCGTATCTTTAGAGTCTGGAGAGTTCAGTCATCATACAGATGAGTTGAGTTGCATTTGTTGGAGGTCTTGTTTCTTTTTGGTCTGGTGCAGAGGGGGCCTTGTCTGGGTCGGACTGTAGGTTGGCGTTCTTGTCGGGCTGAGGCTGAAAGCGGTTCGCTCAGCAAAGCCACTTCTCCCCAGACCCACAACCCCGAAACGTTGAATCCCGCGAGCTCCATCCTAGAACCCCAACGCCCCAACCGCCCCCCCGGCCCCCCCCCCCCCCCCCCCCGAAATCACTATCACCATCCGCGACCCTGACAAGCAAAATTAGAGTGCAAAAGCACCCTACAATGCCCGCAAACCTGTAAGACTGCTGAAGCCCTAAACACCCTAAACTTAGCCCTAGCTTGAAAGGTCATCCTATATAAACCCTAAACTTAGCCCTACCCCCAATGCTCATCCTATATACGCCCTGTAGAATTCCTCCTCCGCCTGGAGCCGTGCAGGCCGCCAAGGCCAAGGCGGCCGAAATGGGCGCGAGCTCCTCCGCGCCCTCGGATGCCCGGTTCCTGAAGCTGTACCAGGCAACGAGGCTTTGGGTTTAGGGTTTAGGGTTTAGGGTTTAGGGTTTAGGGTTTAGGGCCTGCTGCAAAAGGGTTTAGGGTTTAGGGTTTAGGGTTTGGGGCTTTTGGAGTTTGGGGAGGAAACGGGCTGAGAAACATGCTCGACGGCTTTTGCTTTCTCAAGGCGTTGCAGCTTGCATCCTTTGTGTCAAAACGAACCCGGGGCAGGAACCTTCCATAAATCACATGGGTGCGGATTGTCGGGGTAACTGGCCTCTCTGGGAAGCCTCGTGTTGCGCTGAGCTGCGTGAGGCTGCGGCGAGCCTGGCGCGTGCCCAGGACAAGCAAACGACGATTTATCCGCTGGTCTTTGCGGCTGCTGTCAGCTTCGAGGACGGCCGGATCTCCACGGCCAGTGTGCCTTGGCAGCGGCGAGATGTCTTCTGGGGGTCGGGGTTGAAGGGCTTTGAATATTGCATACAGTCTTCAGGGCTTAGGTACAGATAGGGACAGCTGGGATGATTAGCACGGCAAAGCAGTTGGAAGAGCCCTCAGGGCCTTGTGTGTTTCCTTTGTGCCTGTCATCCATATTAGGGGTTGTAAAATAACCCCGCGGCTTGCGGTTAGAAAGGAGTGCGCCTGAGTAGCGTTTAGCTTGTAAAGTTAAAACAAGAAGAACATTTTGCAGGGTTTTGCTGTCTGGGTGAACCCCCCTCAGCAACCTCACTGTGGCCGACGTTTCCGGTGAACCGCCCTGACAAACCTCGCTGTGGCTAACATTTCGGGGTTTCTGGCTGTGAGGGCCTATGGGTTGTTCGGTTGTTCAGGTTTGGGGGCTCGGCTCTAAATAAACCCGTTAACCCTTCAAACCCACGGCTGTAGGCTCGATGTTGAAGCCACCTAGGCTTTGGAATGCAAGCCAGCCATGTACCCCGAAGCATTACCTTGTGTACGCAGTCGCTGTAAAACGATAAGAATTCTAGCCAAAGATACTGTGTTTTGTGTGCAAACACTGTAAAACGATAAGGAGTAGAAAAAATGATAACAATATTCGGGACAAGCCCATTTCCATCGTTTTTTTTGCAGCCCCTATTGGAGATCCAGTTTCCAGAGTGAGTAAGGACGGTTGAGCCACAAACTGCCCTAGATATGGGGGGAGACAACAGTTCCCATGTTTCGTCGGAGCCCCCTCGAACCTTCAAGTAAACCCCGGCAGCAGGAGCTCAAGGGCATCGAGTATGGATGCACGGTGGATGCCGTGTCCCTGCTCATGCCAGAGCTCGTTCGGGCACGCGAGGACGCGGGTGCTTTAGGTCGGTTTAGGGTTTAGGCTTTGCGGTTTAGGGTTTAGGGTTCCAGGGATTTCTCGACTCGTGGACCCCCAAAGCCTGCCGTACACAAGGAAGGTTCAGGGCTTTTAGGGACGGCTGCTGGGCATCAGTCCGAGCACTTTCCCGTCACACGCCTCGGCCTCCGTGTAGTCAGGGGTTCTGTTCCACCCTCAACCCCAACCCCCAAGAAATACGCCAATAAGCCCCCAAAACCCTAGTTACTAGTTTCAACCTGAAGCCGAAAGACCGCCAAGCGACAAGCCCTCGGCAGCTCACGAACGCCCCCCCCCCCCCCCCCCCATCCGGTTTCAACTTCTCACGCCCAAGTGCCGCTGATCCCTCATGCCTCATTATATAACCTTTTCGTTCCCAAATGAGGATGGAGGGCCGAAAGCAAGTTGCCTACTGCAAGTGGACAACTACGGCCTGGCGCACGCCCCTGGCATGAGGATTAGCATATTGAATCTGATTCCGCTGTCTGCTAGCCTTTGTGCCTTGAAGTGCTTACTATAAGCCGAGAAGAAGTGCAAGCAACAAGTAGAACCGCGATCTTGGAATGAACGCCGCTGATCTTGCAACTCCACTGGCGGGCTTTATCTCCAGCAAATTTGGGCCCTATGATATACCCTTTAAAGGGATTACATAGGGCCCTCTTCTATACCCTTGACGGGATCATATAGGGCCTTCAGATACCCTTTAAGGGATTATACAGGGCCCCTTATTCCCCCATTCCCTTCTAAGAACCTCTCTTAGGCTCCGTTCGCAGCAGCCCGGAGCCTGCTTATCGAACATGGCTTTGGGGAGGTGCTCCTCACAGCCCACGGAAGCTTGGCACTAGGCCCCAAGTGCCTCAATACTGGCTGGGTTCTTAGTAGGGAATGGGGGGACTTAGGGCCCTGTATAATCCCTCACTGTGCATCGACTCGTAGGTTACATCGAGCCAGTGCGCGGAAATCGACAGTCCTTTTATCTGGCTCTCAGAAGGAAGCACGTTTGTTTTGATCAGGGTCCAGGTTCTACACGGTCCTACTCTCTTGCTTACATCTTTGAAGCCGTTGTGTGCCAACAAGGCGACGATGGCAAGTGGGCTCCGCCGATCGCAGCCAAGGAGGCTTTGCCCCATGCAAACTTCTTGGCCATATTCTGAGGTGTGTGGTCGAGAAACGACCAGCCACCCAAACACGAAAGCCTGCGGAGGCGTTCCGCGGTGCCGACCCAACAAGGTCCGGCAGGAGAGGCGGCAAAGTGAATCTTAACCCTACGCCCGGGCCAAGAGCTCGCAGACGTTGGCAAAGGCCCAGCGTTGGCAGGGGCAAGGGGCTTTGCACGTTCAGGTGCACCCCTGTGCCGGCGACGGAGTGGGTTTCTGAGTACAAAGCTGCGGTGTTGCATGCCGAATGAATAATGAAGTTATGGTTATTACTGGCTCCGATGTTAATATTTTATTCTGAAGTGCCTTAAAACATCTGAAGGCCCTGTCGGGTTCTCCCAGCTCAGCTGTCGCTGCACCAGGACTGGGATGCAGCCGTCGGCCTGTTCTGGCAAGTGGCTCCTGCAACTTGGTGTCATTCGGATTCTGGGTTTAGGGTTGAGGGTTATGCGAAGCTCCCGCCTAACACCGCCACCCCAGCCCCCCACCCCCGCCAAAAAAGAAGAACCTTGGGTAACCACCTGGAAGCCATCCAACCCTAAGCCGCCCCGAGCTCTGAAACAAAACGTGGCCCCAAGTAGTTAGAAAGGGTGTAGGACTTAGGTTTAAAGGTTGAGGGTTTAGGGTTGAGGGTTTAGGGTTTAGGGTTCCCTGAACCCTGGCGAGCCCAAGGTGTCCGTGCAGCAAAGCGAGTTTGTCGGCGCTGTTGAGGAGGCGTGTCCATGGAGACTCTCCTATGTTTTCTGTTTTTTTCTTTTGGGGGGGGGGGTGGGGTGGGTGGGTGGGTGGGTGGGTGGGTGAGGGGATGTGGGGGTAGGGTTTGTACTACTGCTATAGCTACTACTGCTGCTGCTACTACTACTACTACTACTACTACTACTTCTTCTTCTACTTCTGCTGACGACGAACCACGACCACGACCACGACCACGACCACGACCACGACCACGACTACGTTTACGACTACAACTCTAACTACGACTACGCTGCGCCAAACCCTCACTCCTGAAAGTGAAAGTCGCAACCTTAAATCGCAGGCAGACAAGCTGCAAGCCACAAGCCCAGTGACCGTGGCTGCCCGCGGAGCCCAGCGGCAGCAGGCGCTTGCTTAGAAGTTGCCAGCAAACTGGTTTAGGGCTTGTGGTTTTAGGGCTTCAGGGTTAATCGTTTATGTGGTTTTTCCGGAGGGGTGGTTGCAGGGTTTAGGGGAATGGGGGTTTGCCCCAAACCCTCTCTAAGCCGTAGGCGATGTGCGGGTTTCTTTGTCGACGGTCATGTGCAACCCGACCAAAAGAGGACGCGCGTCACGGCCTTAGCCTGTCGCAGTGACGATGCAGGCCGGTGACTCCGCCTGGGGCTCCTCCGCGCCTGGAGCATAAACCTGCTTGGTGCCACACCAAGTGTGCTATCTGTGAGTTCCGACTAGGACTGAGCAGGGGCGACGGTAGGTGAATGGATGTGAGCCAAAGTGCAGCAGGCCAGGTTGATGACTGAAAGGGGAGGTGGTGCAAAGCTGTCTGCTCGCCCAAGGTCATTCATGTGCGGCGCGGGCTGAATACGCGGCTGCGCTTCACTGAGCAGACAAGCAAAGAGGGCGACCCCAGGACGCATGCGCGGAGCGCTCGCGCAGATTTTCCACCCTCTGCTTCGACGGCTTTCTGAATTTCTGAACCCCCTGCCTCCTGGATGCCAGGGAGCCCCCTTACACCGTAGCTAATCAGGACATGGAGCCTCAACTTGGAGTCTATTCCTTGAGGGGTGTTGGGCTCTCCGGGTTGAAGGCCGAAATCCGGGATGTGACCTGGCTCTTTTGGCCTAAGAGCCGTGGAGCGGCTCATCTGGCACGTTCCGGACACGAACTGCGTGTCTGCCGCATTGCTTTATTGCGCCTCTTGAAAGAGCCTCGACTCCCTCCCCCTCGTCAAGAACCCCTAACGAAGGTAGGGATGTGGATGCACAAAGTCTAGGGGTGCAGGGCTTGATGGCCCACTTTTGTGCAGGGCCGGCGTTCAAGAGAGCGCGCCCTCCATGCTGATCCGTCTATCTTAGTGATGCTGGCTCATCGTGCACAGGTCAGACTACGAGTACACCCAGAACATGTCCTTCCGGCAGCACGCACCCTAGTGTGACGAGCCTCGTCTTTCAAGGAACAGTGGTGCAGCCATGGCTTTACATCTCACAGCCGAGTTCCCTGCGCCTAAGTGTGCAGACCATCCCCCCCTCTACCCGAAGCCCTAAGCCCGAACCCTAAGACGCAGGTCAAATGTTTTTGGCAGCGCATCAGGCTGGGCTTGCCTGCGCTCCTTATGAGTCAATTCCAGAGGGTTTAGGGTTTAGGGTTCAGGGTTTAGGGTAGCTCTGAAACCGGCCAAGGCAAGGGGGGGGGGTGGGGGGCGAGGTGGTTCTCAATATTGCCGGATGTTTTTGGGGTTTTTGTCACGAGCACCCATCTACAGTGTCTACAGTTCCACCAAAGACGCCCGAAGACATCAGCCGGTTGTGAGCCTCCGGCAACGGCAAGAGGATGAGGGTTCAAAGTCTCGTTCACCGTGTTAGCATCAGAGGAAGTTGCAGACCATGTGGCGGACCTGGTACAATCGTGGCAAACCGGGTTTGGGGCAAAAGGTTTGGTTTAGGGCTTGAGGTGGAGGAACTTCCGCAGCAGGCATCCACTACATCTCAAAATTGCGTGGCCCCGGCCAAAAGCTTCCTGCCAACATCTGCTGGCAGGTATGCCACCGACAGCGACCTTGCCAGGCTTGTGATTTTTCTTCTTGACTTTTTGAACCAATCCCCTCTACACATAACATGCGCCAAGGAAATCCCAGCTTCGAAAGCTGCCAAGCCCTGACGACCCTCACGACCTAGAAGCCCACAAACAAAGCCGTCCTTGATCAACGGTTGGACGTTGTTCTGGCCACGCATTGAGTCCTGATTCTTTGGGTTTCAGGTACACGCATAAGTTTCTGTTTGTTCACCTTCTGGAATGTGTTCTGGACTTCGCCGCTGCTGGGGCTTGCCCGTTCTTTCCTAGTTTCTTGTAGAGGAACGCAAGGTAAGTTTCCATAAGTCTGAAACCCTAAATCCCGTACACCAAAGGCCTATATGTTAACCCAGTACAAGAAAGGAAGCCCCAAAACCCTGCACTGCCCAAACTCGAAAAACACTGACAGTTTGAAACCCGGAAACCAAAAAGAGCAAAAGCGGCCATCTTCACCTCGGGGCACAGGTGATGCCAAGGAGCCCAGCCATGGACTTTTTGTGTTTTCGTGGGGGTGGACGCTCGAGGGAGTTCGGTTTTGAGAAGATTCTGAGGATTTTGGGGTCCAGGGCTCAGGATTGTTCGAGGTTTTGCGGGGTACACCCGCGTGAGATGCACGCGCCTTCGAATTCGAAGCGTCGCCATTTGATCCCAAACCTTCATATACCTCCATAGGTATTCTGGTCTTCTGCTGCTTTCGGAGGTGGGTGGGGTAACCCGTTCCCTTTTTGTTGAGTAAAAAGTATGGCGGTGCAGCCTATTGCGAGCGCCTGTTTGGTCGCTGCATTCAGGACTCGAGGGCTCCAAGCACCGTGGAAGCAGCTCCACCCAGCTCGTGGTAGGGCTCTCAAGGGAGCCAATGTGGGTTTGTTTCAAAAGTTTCAGATGGAGAGGCCATGGTTTGAAGATGAAGTGTGAAGAGCACTTGCCGCAGGCAAGAAGTTCTGAGGTAGTTGGGGCTTGACCAAGTGTCGAGCGACCGGCGTAAAAAGCATCTGAGGTCCGGGCAGAGCTTTGGACCTTGCCTCAGCTGTTCAGCGGTTTCCTAGGTGCCGCGGTCATCGCTAAAAACCTGGGGATTCACAGCTTCGTAGCCGTCTGACATGCGCTCGAGACCAGGCCCCCGCCACACCAATGCCCAAAGTCGCAAATCTAAGGGCGCAGCCTTCCGATGCCATCTTCAAATTACCCAAAACCCCAAGGCACCCTCACTAAGAGAAACTCAAGATCCATTCAGCCACACCGAAACCCTTCAATCGGCCCCGAACCATAGACTTGCCCTAGTCCCTCGGCTGCCCTCAGGTCTTGAACGATTACCGCCGGAGGCAGGATACCTTGAACCGTGAACCCTTAGGTCTTGGTTTTTAGGTTTTGGGGCAACCAAGGCAAAAAGAGCTTTCTAGTTTTGGTACTTCATGTGTTCTTCTGCCACGAGTGTTGTGTGTGTGTGTGTGAGAGTGCAGTGTCTTTCTTGTCTCGAAGTGTGCACAGTTTGCTGTGCATGTGCATACAAGTAGCGGAAATGGGCGGGAGGTTGGCGTGGCACTCGGACATTCTGAAAGGAGTCGGAAGAGGAGCAAGAAGTACTGCAATGAATGCCGAGCCCTACAGTCCCTTTTGTGCCAGGGTGCGTGCAGATCCTTACAAGGATCTAGTAACCAAAGAGCTTGGGGTTATGGCGCCACGAGTTCAGAATGGGAAATTCCGGGATTGGGTACCTCATCTTCGCGGGATCATTTAGGGCGCTCTAAGTAAGGACCAGGAAGCCTAAACCCTAAACCCGAAACCCAAAAACCCTACACCCTGAACCTATAAAGCCTCTGGGCCCCGATAGAGGCCGGCTCGATGGAGTTGAGCCCTACTGCCGGGCGCCGGGCCCTCTCTCATCGCTCCCTCTCGGGCGTTTTTTGGTTTTAAAAGCTTGCTGCTTTGGTTTTCGAAAATGTCTCGGCTGATTGCAGAGGGTTAATGAGGGTTATGGAGTTATGGAGCTTATTGAGGGAAGCCGGCGCCTTCCAGCCTTCATGTCGAAAAAAGTCGTCTGCGCATCCACATGCCCTCAAGGACGCTCCCCTCGGCTGCTCTTGCTGTCGCTTGTGGCTCAAGGGAATCGATGAAGGACATAGGAAGAGGGTACGGCCATGCCGCCGAAGGCAATCCCAGCCGACTCCACCACTGCAGTCGCATCCGAGACCGCAGATGCACCTTGGCACATGGGTTGGCAGGGTTTCAAGGAGCAGCTCCTAGGGCGTTTGGAATTCGTGCGGTTGGGTTTATCGGGATCAGGGGCATTCGGCATTTGGGAGTGATCCAACGATTAAAGATGCACCGAGCTTTTGTCCACACCTCTTCTTTGTCAGCTCCGGGGGGGTTGCATTCACTTCCGTCGTGAGGTGACATCCTCCGACGTCTGCGGCTTTGTCTGCGGTGACACTGTGGTCGCGGCACGCGACCTGCGTGTCCGCGGCAAGGTTGTAGTTAGACAGGGTGGTAGTGGGTACGTTGTTGGCCCGGCATCTTCCTCCGGCCGAATCTGCGTGCAGTTTGAGCAGCGGGAAGACCAGAGCGACAACCGCCTCAACTGTCTGCCGGATGAGTTGAGGCTGGACTGGGGGAGCACAAGCCCCTAACCCGTCCTAGCAGAGACTCCCAACTTCCAACCCGACAGCTTGTAAAGGCTCCCACATAAAGCAGTGCCCGGGTTTGGGGATCGTCCCTGAGGCATACGCTGGCGGGAGGATACCTCGCGGGCACCCGAGTGCGCTCGAACCGGGCCCTGGACACGCCTAGCGGGGTGGCGCCTTGGTCTCCCGTTGAGGGCATGGGGGGCTTGGGGGCCTGATCGGGCTTTCAGGGCTTATGAGGGCTTTAGACACCAGAAACCTTCAAACCCTAAACCCTATATCCCTTACAAGCCATGCTCTGTTGCACCTTCAACTGTGAGGCCCGCTGCCCCTAAACCATGAGCCCTGGAACACCCCGATGTGCCTCATTGTGCCTCTGAGGCTGCCATCAGAAAGCTTAGGCCTATCAGCCCTAAAGGTAGTCTATAAAGCTCTAAACCCTCACACGACGTGCGAAGCCAGGGTATCCCTGCCGGAGCTTCGGGGGTTGTGGTGGGCCCAGCGCGGGACTCGCAGTTCCAGCGGCTGCTGGTGCGCTTTGCGCTCAACGGCCATGAGCACGTGGTCCCACGGCCGTATCTTAGTGCTCGAAGGGTTACATAAGTCGCGGGGTTGAAAGGAGCTTCAAGAGTGGGTTCACACCCACACACCCACACGCCCACACCCCCACGCACCCACACGCCCACACGCCCACACGCCCACACGCCCACACGCCCACACGCCCACACGCCCACACCCACTTACCCACTTACCCACTTACCCACTTACCCACTTACCCACCCACCCACCCACCCACCCGTGCACGCCCCGCCCGCCCGCCCGCCCGCCCGAACGCACACACGCACACACCACACACGCACACACGCACACACGCACACACGTGCACACGCACACACGCACACACGCACACACGCACACACGCACACACGCACACACGCACACACGCCCACACGCCCACACGCGCACACGCGCACACGCGCACACGCGAGTCACGCGAGTCACACGCGCACACGCGCACACGCGCACACGCACACACTCACACACGCACACACGCACACACACACACACACACACACACACACACACACACACACACACACACACACACACACACACACACACACACACACACACACACACACACACACACACACGCACACACGCACACACGCACACACGCACACACACGCACACACGCACACACGCACACACGCACACACGCACACACGCACACACGCACACACGCACACACGCACTCACGCACACACGCACACACGCACACACGCACACACGCACACACGCACACACGCACACACGCACACACGCACACACGCACACACGCACACACGCACACACGCACACACGCACACACGCACACAGAGACGCACATAGAGACGCACATAGAGACGCACATAGAGACACACATAGAGACGCACATAGCGACGCACATAGCGAAGAGACGCACATAGCGAGACACAAAGAGACACACATGGAGACACACACAGAGAGACACATATAGAGACACATATGGAGACACCTGTAGAGACACGTATAGAGACACATATCGAGACGCACAGGGCACAAAAAACACCAGGGCATGCCCGTATGGCAGGTGCCATGCCAACCAGACACCGGCAACATTTATAGCGAATGCAAACTTGCATTTGCCCTTGCTTTCTCTAATTATTCGAAGACTAGATGGCTTTCTTTGTTTGCAGGGGGGACATCCAGTGTACCTTAGGAAGAGGTGGCCGTTGATCCTGTAGATATTGAGACCAATATCCCTGGCAACTTTCGCCGTGGCAACGCCATTGTCGCGACACGGGACCTCCGTGTGGGAGGGCAGGTCGTAGTGCGGGAAGGAGTGCTTGGAACCGTGGTTGGCCCGAGCACGTCAGATTCCCAACACCGTGTCACGGTGTCGTTCAGCCACAGAGAAGATGGGAGCCGAAACCGCCTCAATTGCGTGGTCAATGAGATCAAGCTGTATTTGGCTGGTGGTCTGGAGGTCGGCGCGCGTGTTCAAGCCGTCCGCCCTATTAGCTATGATGGACTAGCACCTGTTCCGACAGGGTCTGTGGGCACTGTTGTTGGGCCTGCCATTGACGAACCCCTGGCACGAATAGTCGTCCGGTGGGACTCGGCATCGCCCGCAGGCACCCCACCTGAAAGGGAGGCACACTCCGACGACGTCCGGCTCATGATCGCAGGCGGCTTCCGACGTGGAGAGACCGTGTTGGCGGCCAAGGACCTGCGCGTCAAGGGCATCGTGGTGGTCAAGCAGAACGTGCTCGGCACTGTTGTTGGGCAAAGCTCGACGGATCCAGCTGGTCGAGTCACTGTTGTTTTCGCTCGTCGGGAAGACGGACGCAGCAACAACTTGTGCCTTAGCTTTCTGGCCTAAGCCTGAGCCTTCGAAGGCCCAGAACAGTTGTTTAAACGATCTGAGGCCCGTACTATGTCATGAGCCCTGTATGAAGGGACCGCAGTTTCCAGAGCAGCAGCAGCACATAGCAGCACCCATCCAGACCACCGAGGAACGTGGTTCCTGCCGAAATCCAGCACATGCCCTGCACCGGTGGTTTAGTTCCTGGCGACCGCGTCGCAGCCTTGCGCCAGCTCTTGGTGGTGCCCAAAGGCCGGTGCACCTGCAAGCCCAAACTTCCCGTTTCAAAATTTCCCACATTGTGAGCACCATTTCTCGATTCGGCTTTCCTTTTCTTGCGAGGGAACTGCTGGACTCCTTTTCTTAGGCTTGGAATAGCAAGGCAGGAGTTTTGTGATTTTCTTTGTGTGTGTGGTCTTTGTTCTTCTACTTCGCAGATGTCGGCATGTCACGCTCTTTCATTCTGTTAGTGAGTCAAATGAGGACTATGATGGACTCGTTGTCGTAGACAGGGTCGGTATTTCGTGCGCGAGTTGCAGGATGAGAGCTGTTTCCGGGCGAGGATCTCTGTAAACTTGTTTCCGAACGTTCGGGGATCAGGGTGTTAGGGTATTGGGGTGCTGGGGTATTGGGATATTCGCTTTTTAGCGTAGTACTGCAGGGTTCTGTCTCTCACTCCCAATCGCAGGCGCCCAAGGCGTCGTCGTCGGGCCGTCCTGCTCACAGTCGAGCCGCGTAGCGGTTCGCTTCAGCTCGGCAGAGAGTAGTGGTGACAAGGAGGGCGGCGAGGACGTCGCGGCCCGGCCGCATGACTCTTCTTCGGTATACTTACTCGGCTCGAGAAGAGCTGCCGGGCTATGAGGAACTGTGAGTTCGGGGAGGCATGGGTTTTTTCTACCGAAAAACACGGGAACCCCTTGTAGGCGCATAAAGATTGGGAGGCCCAAAGAGGGAGGCGACTGGACTGGACAGTGTCTGCCTTGAAGCATGGCTCCCAACTCCGACAGCAAGTAAGGCGCCTCAGCCAACCCTCAGCCAACCCAGCGCAGGCGCATTGTTCAAGGTAACATGAGGGCACAAAGCCGGGAAGCAACCCTCCAACAAGATGGACAGGAATTTTGCAGGTATGTCAACATTGCCTGAAGCTCCGCTGAGAGGAAGTTAGATTTCGGGACGCCGGCATGTCACATCATGTCACCACATCCTGCTTGTCTGCAAATCTCTGGCGCTGCACCAGAGAACCCTCCACCCCTTAAACGGCCAGCCTGAACCCTCCAATACCCTCCTACCAATTGCTTAAGAAAGATATTCTTAGGGATTCTTGTTTTTTGTGTTTTTTGGGGGGTCGGAAGCAAATACGTAGTAGCCTCAGGTTCTGCACGTCGAGCCAGAGGACCTGAAGGTCCTCAGCGCCGTCGCCGAGGACGTGGATGATGCCCTGCAACAGGACAAGGTGCGCCGGGCACTTTTTGCCCACCTCCCCCCCCACCCCCCTCCCCCTTCCCCTCCCTGATTGTTTGGGATTGTGGGACCCTAGACCCTAAACTTGAACCCTAAACTTGAAGCCTAAACTTAAACGGCTGAGGTTGTTGTGTCTGGGGATGGAGGGCCCAAAATGAGTTAACCTTAAACCCTGCCCTAACCTCTAAACCCTAAACAACCCTACAGCCTTGACCCCGGTGGCAAACATAAAACACCCTAAACCTCTAAAACAGTGAAGGCGCACCCTAAACCCTAAACCCTAAACCCTAAACCCTAAACCCTAAACCCTAAACCCTAAACCCTAAACCCTAAACCCTAAACCCTAAACCCTAAACCCTAAACCCTAAACCCTAAACCCTAAACCCTAAACCCTAAACC